TTGTCGGGCGGCTGTCAGGCTGTCTGTGCACAACATGAAAGCCCGGCAAAGGCATTAGGACTTCATTACAGAAACAGGATGCGGACTCCTTGGAGAAACGTGTGTTGGGGTGGTGTATGTGTGGGTGGGCGTCGTTATTGAAATTAACTGTTAATACAAAGGACGTCAAACGCTTGACTCAACAACCCACCGTTGGCTTAGTGCAATTGGTAGTGGGTTCTATTAGCAGAGTGCGTTCGAATAATTAAGCACATTTATAACGCTGATTGGGTTTAACATTCCCATGTTTTCAATTCAAGATTCTGTCATGGGTAAACCAACTATTGCCTAACTGGAGACCTTCCTTCCACTTTGCGAGTGTGAGTGCTCTCACTTTTAAAGTCCAATCCTTCCCTTGCAGAAATCACTGACTTTAACTCTTAGGAATAATGTTTTTGGGAGAAGATTTCACTCCTCACCCAAGCAAATCCCCACCTAAGCCGTCTGACACATTATCATCTTTGGGCTCCCTCGAAATACTTCAGCAAAGCCACTCATATTTATTCGCATTTCAGCCTAAATCTGGGAAGCAGCTGTTATAAATAATAAAGGAATATGTGCCCATATACATTTAAATGCTCATAAATTTGGATGCGGCTTTATTAAACTGTAGTAAAGGAGCTCGGAGTCAGCAGCAGCCACTTGGCCGTGATTTTACCGCTGCCCCAGCCACTGCCTACTTTCGGGGGCACCACACTTGGAATCAAGTCGATGTCGAAGCTCTGGCTGGCAGTAAAAGGCCTGGCATTCAGACCATTATTAGCATAATAAAAATACAAGCACTCACACACGCACATACGATGAGGCCTAAGCCAGAAGGGGGATTGCCTGGCCCTGCCTCGACTTGTCTGGATTGGTGGCAAGTCCGAGTTCAAGTCAGGGGCAAGCTGCCCCGGCCTGGACAATATAATTTTATGGTCACATTTTTATTGTACCAAAGAGTCGTCTTAGGCAACATCATCGCTATCATCATCATTGCCATCACCGCCGTCATCATCATCCTCCGCCACCGCCTCGGAGTAGTCTTTGGCGTCGTCATCGTTTGAGAGGCGTTGAAAGCCTAGCCAGCATAAAATTTAAATGTTATTGCCCCTGTTCCTCGCACACACACACACACACACACGTGTATCCATAAATGCAATAACAAATTTTTCGAAAGGGCGGAATGCAGATGGACACTCCGCCCCAGACCCATGTTCGTTTGAACCGCAAATTGCGAGTACTCCACCTGGGTTACAGGTGCCAACTGGGGCCCGGTGCCCGTAGAACGTTGCCCAATGCTTGGGTCTGTTGCTGTCTGCGAATGTTTTAATTAAATACTCCATTTGCCTAAACCAGAAAACCAGAATAGCGCGCAGTTAGTTTCCGGTTGCCCCCTGCCCTTTCGGCGTGGCACCCGGTGCAGTGCATAAATTCTGGATGGTTCAGTGGTCAGCACATGTTTCCACCGGTGATTAGGGGGCACAGCGGGGGCACTGGGGAGCACTCACCCACACAATGAGAGCAAGAGCTGGTCACTACACAGGAGAGTATGGACATTCCGTACGCCACAACTTAAAGCATTAAATTCCCAAAGTTCCATCTACAATTGAGTACTTTTCTGTATTTTCTCTTGCCGATCAATTAGCCGTAAAATAGCATTCTGTGCGGTCAGCGGGAAATGTAAATGCAATTGAAATGCCCCGAAAGCCAATAATGAGCCGCAGAACATTTCACAGCTGAATAAATAATTTCCACATTAATTGGCATTCAGTCGATGTAATCCCTTAATTGCTCATACGCCATGTGAGACTTGCCCTTTGGTTGTGTTGCCAAAAAATTACAGAAAACCAACGGAAATAAATAACAAATCACAATATTTGTTTGCTCTGGTAAATTAATTTTGTAAATATTTTTGGCAAGAGAAATGGCTAAAATAAAATGCAAATTGACAGACGAAAATTGAGAAATTTCAAAGCAAATCGAATTAAAATCTGTTGTGCCACAAAAACAGATTTTTTTTTAAATGTACTAGAAATTCGTTACATATTTTCCCTGAATTTAAATTAAAAATATTATGGCAAATAAATGGAAATGTTTGGTGTATTGTTACCCAAATAGCCATCTCTGCTATTTTCATACATTTAAATACGAAAAAATTACAATCTCAATTAATGATATACAAATCCTATTACCTTACGAAATCATTAAAATTCAATAAAATCAAACATAAATTATCAAGAATTCTAATTTTAGGAAGCTGCTACAACGTGACACATAATTCACTTGGGCCCCCAAAAGAGAGAAACGAAAGAACTCATTTTAATGAAAAATGTCAAAAGGAAAACCGAGAAAGGAAAAGTTTTACAAGCCCCGCCACTGCCAGCGGAAGCGGAAGTAATGCCAATGCCAAATGGGGGAAAAGGCAGGAAAATGGCAGGCGATGGAAGAGCGAACTGGGGGCCAGGCCAACACATAATAATGCCATCATCATCGTCAATGGCAAACAACAACAGCCCGAGGATGGGATGGACTGGCAGGAAATCGGCTGGGAATGGGCAGGCAGGGAAAGTATCGACAATGGGAAAAATTGTTAAAGTCGAGAGCAACAAATGATGGAAGATGCTCTAAATGAACAACAAGCAGAAGTCGAATGCAAATACGCAGCAGGAAAATAAATTAGATAGTAGCGGGGACCAGCAGCAGGACTCGGATCAGGACACGAAACAGGACAATGCCGCAAGCAAGCCGCAGCACGCGCAGGATTACCCCTCAGCCAGCCAGCCCCACGCCCTTCCCCCCACACACTTCCTTTGTATTGGGGCAACAACGATTTCGGCTTGGTTCGTTAGATATTCGTTTTGCGAGGGTTTCCACAGAGGTCAAATGTCAATAAGTTAAGTGGGCATGGTCACGCCCGGCCCGAGGACTAGGCTGAGCAACTTTTCCACGCCATAAATATGATTAAAACATATTTCCCAAGCCATCGAGTGATAAATGCGACAAACTTTTGTCTGCCACTGCCAGTGCCAGTGCCTTTGTCTCTGCCTGTGCCCCTGTATCTGTCTCTGGCCTAAAGCTCTCAGCGGGTGGCAGCAGATGCTGATATAAATCCAATTTAGTGGAGCCCATAAAATGTAGGAGTAATGCGACACAGCCATGGCCATAGCCACACCCACTCCACGCGGCCCCTTAACTATTTGCATGATAAAAATCTTTCATCAAGCGGCAGCACCAGAAACAATCTCAATCTCAGTCCCAACTTGGTCTCAACTTCTCCTGCATAATTCGACGATTGCTGGAGGATGGGATTCCCGCTTCTGGCCTTTTGTGTGGTAAACACCTAAAGTAGTAAACTGGGATTTAAGCATCCTCCCACACACACACACACACATTCTGCCGAGCACTGGGGCTGGTTCCCTCACTCACCTACGTGTCTATAAAAATTTTACGTTGCTGGCATCGGCAAGGACAAAAAACTTTTCCCAGCCAGAAACAGGAGGAGCTGATGCTGAAGCTGGAGCTGGAGCTGGAACTGGCTGCGATTGGGTGTTGGTTGAAAGGAAACGTCCTTATACAGGATATTCCTTTTATTGCCATGCGAGTGGCATGGGGAATTGTGATGCCCGAATACATACATAAATTCAACCTTATGTGCTCCTGCTCAAACTCCTGCTGCTGCTCCCGGATGCGTTGGGATTGCATGGCAATGCCTTGCGAGGCTGCTGAACACCCAATAGGGACATTATGTCGTGCGCCACAATCTATAGAATATGTAAAACGTTTCCCACAAAAAAGATTAAAAAATTTTGCAATTTTAATATCCGTCCAAGAAGCAGAAACGGCGCAACCTTTCCGCCAGCACAATTTCCAGACAAAGTCGCTGGGCAAACAAACAAAAATTTCCAAAAAGTTCTTCTTAAACAAAGGCAAGAAAAAAAGGGGGAAATACTGAAGCGAAAGAAGGTTCAGAGTGGCTATACATTGTTTGTTTGTCTATGCATGCCCCGTAATTGTTTTGTCAAAAAGTTTTATAAGCCTCAGCTGTGATGCAAATTTGGAAGGGAGAGAAACTATATTTGTTGCATGGAAATGTTTTAAATTAGAGGGGAGATTTTCAGCTCAGAAAAGGGGTTAAAAATCAGCAACTAAACTTACATTTTTAGTGGATTTCTTAGCAGAAAGAAGTTGCAAATATTGCAGCTGCAGAAGGCGTGTGGGGACCAAGCACTAAACTTCAATATAAGTTGGATTTCTTTTCTGGCAGAACGAGTATATAAAAGCCCTTCTCCTCGCAGACTTCCCTTAAATATTTGAGTTTGAAATTCACTTCCGGTCGATGAATCAACTTTTACTTTGGTGGGGAACAAAAAACTTTTCCTTTTCAACTGTACGATTTCCATTTCACTCAAGCCTTGACCCCAGCTCTCCCATTAAGAGCTGGTCATATCCCTGGGATCTGGGTTGTCCTGCCCGCAAAGCTGCTTAGAATCATGAATTCCATCGTTCATCGTTCATTGTGGCTCCTTATTAGGCCGTCCGCGTGCACCTTCCGAAAAACTTCCTCTGGTGGCTGCCAGGCAACCAACAGACTTGCCTAGCAAAAGCCCCAAAAAAAAAAGGAAGACGTTAGCAGCGCACAAAGGAGCACCCAACTTGATGCCCCAGCTCCAGCCTGGGGGCTCCGTATCCATGGCCTGGCATTTAAGATAAATGATCGCCTGCCAACAATGCACAAAGAGTCACAAAAACTTTGGTCACGTTTGTGCTATTTGGCGGCCCAGGCATATGCTCCGGCAGGACAACGAGTTGGGGGTGGGTGCTGAGTGCCGAGTCCCAGGACCCGAGTCCTCGGGGTGGCTGTCTAGCTTGCATCCTACCTTGGCGCAATTTTAATATGTTTATGGAGAGGGTGGGTGTGGGCTTGGGTGTGGGTGTGGGTGCCGGTTTAAAATTCAAGACACATGCAGCAGCTTAAACGTTTTAGAAATCTATTTTTCAAACGGGAGAAGGCGCCGTGACAGGCCAAGGAGTCCCCGTACTCCCGGCAGTCACATGTGTGCGTGCGAATTGCATTTAATTGAATCGTCTGGAGCAGCAGGTGAAAGTATTTCGTTGTTTGCCATTCCATTCCCCCACCCACCCTAGAACACTTTCCTTCTGCGAGTGGCCGCCTCACAGCCAAATGCCGACGAGGCAAACGACAAGGGAAATGATCGTCACAGCAATGGGCACTAGGAATCGTCTGTAGTAGGCCTCCTCGACGATCTGCCGCTGCAGGATACGCTCCCAGTGGCGCAGCTGTTTGTTTATATTCGGATTCACTTCCCCAAGCGTGCGCTCTATTTTCTCATAGAACTTCTCCAGCACCCGGTTGTAAGCCAAGGCCAGCTCTGGGTTCTGGATGAGCTTAGCCATGATGGCAATTTGGTTATCGTCCAACTCGTCGATCATATTCATATCTTCGCCCAGCAACAGTTTGCGACGAAGCTGCAGCCGGAGCACGATCCCGCCAAGAATGAGCGTGTCCCATGGTGGCAGGGACCTGGAGCCTTGACGTTGAGTTTTGAGGATGCGCTTCGCCTCGTGGTAGTGCCCCTGACAGATGGCCAAGATCACTTGATCGGCCAGATCGCGCTGATATCGGTTCAGGTTCATCTTCTCTGGAAACAGTTCATCGACAAGCAGCTGATGTGGCGTCAGATTTTGTGGCACATCAGCCATGGCTAAAGATTGGACAGGATCAGATTAGTTTCTGCGCGCCCGGCCTTGGCGAATTTACTTACTTGGGATTTAATTTCTGTTGTAAAATCTATACATGAATATCTGGCACTGTTTAAAGTTGCCTACTAGATCTCTTAAAGGTTTATTTCGTTCTCCCCTGTGCCATTTGGGCACTTGCCACGTCCATAAATCGGTGGCACATATGGCAACTTTACAAGTGGCTCGCGTCGCCGTCTGTGCGCACAATTCAAATGGAAATCAAAGTGGGCGTTCATGAGTTAAACACTCGACGAGGCACGAGCCAGGAGCTAGCAGCCACCAGGCAACGGAAGCCCCAATGTGACAAAGTCGCTGCCACACAGAAGCCAACCAAACCAAACCGAGTCGAGTCGAGGCACTTGTGGTTTACGACCTGTCCTGGAGAGGGATCCTGCAAGCAAAAATAAAATCACACACGACTGCCAGGAAGGAACCACGGCTGCTCCAGTGGACGGGGGATGATGATGGGGCTGGAACATGTTGGATAGGGCCATGAAACATAAGGAGGATGCCTTAAAATGGCTGCTGCTACTGCTTCTGCTGCTGCTGCTGCTTCTGGCAGTGCCATTTCTTTCTGCTGCCATTGGGAAATTTATTATTCTCGTCTAGATGAGTTCATTATGCGAACAGCAGTTGCCAGTCAGTGTGAGGGCTGGCTGGCTGGCTGGCTGGCTGCCGCCTTTGAATGCCGAATGCGAAAACGATTCAATTTTATTGTTTTCCACATAAATTCTCCCCGAATTATGCATTGTATAAAAAAACATCATATGAAATTTGAGTAGGACTCCCGTTCCGTCCATACACACATGTGATGGCAGAGATGGCAGAGATTGTTGGCCATATAATTGAGTCACGTTTGCTCAGGGATTAGGTTGGTTCCCTGCCCTGGTTGTGGGGTACCCGAAAATATACAGATTTATGCCGCGAATGGAAAGTTATTGGGAATTGGCTCGCTTGATTTATGGAAATGACAAGCTCACATGCATAGCCAAGTTTTCAGTGCAAATGGAAAAGATTAGATTGGAAAGAGGAGCGAAATTTATAGGAAATTGGACCAAAAGTATAGCAGCTGAATACCTTTTGCATTTCCAATTACAAATTATCCCTAAAAATATATTCATATTCAGGCAATGACAACTCGTGAATACCCAGCGGAAATGATTAACTTTTGCCGCAGGAAATTGGTCAACGAAAATCACAATTTAAAATCAGAATTTTATTTCTCACTTTCCCAAAACTAAAACCCCCATTAAGACCACAAATAAACCCATTTTTGGAATGATATCATAGCGGCGTGTGCAGGGCTACGTGTTTATAATGCCAATAACCTCTGACAGGACGGATGCCCGCACGTCAGGCGGCCACAACTAATATGGGACACAGGGGAGCGGGGACAGCGCACAGGGCAGGGCACGGGAATAGAAATCAAAATTCGTGCTGGCATGCAAGTTCAACGGCTCCTGCTACTGCCATCGACAGACTTGTAAACAGGACAAGGAAATTTAATTTATCTGTATCAGTTCCAGCACCCCCAAGGAGAATGGAGAATGGAGAAGGTCCTCTGGCGGAACAGCTGCAGCAGGAGCTGAACACATGTTCGGACAAATTCATCTGCCATGTCACAATGCGCAACGGTATGCAGAAATATCCCAGGGATGGTCTTTAGGGATGGGGGCAAATACTCGAATAAGCTCTGGCTTTGGCATCCCAGCTCTGCCAGGCTGCAGCTTGCACGTGACAGGACTCGACGAAAAGTGAAACTTGGCAAATATTTTTGTTGAAACACACAAACACAATTGGGTACGAGATGTCTATCCCTGTGGAAGGAGGAAATAAATTGGGGGGGTTTCTTCAACCCCCAAGCCTCCCCACAGACCCGTCACAAGTGTCATTAATCAAATGCCGCCCAATAAGTTCCAACCCTTCTTCGCAGAAATTTTTGAAATATGAACTTTTTGCTCTGACGAATGCCGGCAGTCATTAATAAATTAGGGGTTAAAATGCCATAACAACGTCAACGACTGGGTTCGGGCAGCCGCTGAAAAGTTGTTCATTTAATTGAAAGCGAAACGCGGCAGACAGCCCCCCGGATTTGCTTAACTCAATTAAATTAGGCGCCAACTGGAGGAGTGTGGGCTGGGATGCAAGAAAGGGGAGAAATCAGTTTAACTTTTGATTTAACGATCCGTGCAGTTGCTGTCAACAGTTTAAGGTCGGATTTCATTTGAATTCCATTTTGATTAGACACACACAAACACACACACACTCGAAAATAGTTCGAATAAATCCCCGAGTCAGCATGTGGAACTACGGAGAGTGCCGGGCACCGGGATTGCCGCAGGAGGAGAGCGAAATACTGACCAGCGGACCTGAACCAACGTGCACCGGCGGTGAGGAGGAGGAACAGCGGGATCTGGACGCCCTCTACGACGAACTGGAGGCCTTTAAGCAGCGTCTCTGGGTGCTGCGCAGCAAGCTGGTGACCAGCCCCAAAGATCAGTGCGAAGCGCAGGCAGCGCTAGCGGACACGGACGAGTCGTTTTTTACCGCACAGAGCCGTCAGTTGGTAGCCCTGCGCCGCCAGAACTGCGTGCTACGGTGCCAGCTCCAATTGATGGCCGCACACCTGAACGACAGCCGCAAGGAGCTGAAGGAGGTGGATGGGTGGCGCTGCCTGCTCGCCACACGCATTCAGCGGATGCGCCGAGAGTTGGACATCTTCGAGGAGTTCAAGTTGCAGGCCATCCACCACTTTGGGCTGTGCATCGAGCGCTGGGAGCAGCACAAGGCGTGCAAGATGGACAACATTGTGTACCAGCAGCGGATGCGGCTGCTCATCCAGCACATCGATGGCAGGCGGGTGCAGCTGGTCCCGATACATTGCCACCGCCAGACTTGCCAGCAGTTTCGCACCGAGATCATACAAACTCGCATCTTCCTGCTCAATCTGTTCGAGAGCATGCTCAACCACTTCAGTTTCTTCAACCGGCAGTTTAGCGTCAAGTGAGTTTCGGGACTGCACTGTTATCCGGCGGGGCCAGCTAAAAAATCTCTCTCTTGCATCTTTTCAGGACCTACTTTGTAGAGACTGACATCCAAAAGTCAATCATCTCCAACGCCCCCTCCTCCCCACCCAACTCAATACGCTCTGAGTTTCGCGATTCAAGTGAGATTTGAGTGGTCCTCCCTTCACCCTTCACCCTCCTCTCTCAACTCTTAACTTTTGGCAATTAATGTTGATTTTTATTCTCCAAATTTACGGGGGGATGTGGCAGTGTTGGGTGGGGTAGGGTCTGTTTGTAATTGCTTTGGAACTGTCGCCCAATTAGGGTTATTGACGTTTTGCGGCCTTAATGGCCCCTTTGTGGCCCATTCCCGTTTCTGTTTGCCCATAATACTCGTACAATAATTACCAAAATTTCAACTCTGCGAAAAGTGCCTTAAAGTGGGGATATCATGGACACTCGAGGCTTCCTAATCCGACTTTCGACGCCCATCCAAATGTGCACGCATTCCCACCAGGATAAGATGGCAAGCGGCTAAAAAGGAAACGGCATCAGATAAAACAAAAGCAGATTTGTTTTTCCTTTACCCCCCGTACAAAGAAACAAAAAAAAAGGAACCAAATCCCCGCCACAGAAAGAGACATACATAGAGAGGAAGTTGAGCTGACAGCCGGGAGCTAAGCGCCGGCAGGAATGGCTGAAATCCTTATCCTGCTCCGGCTCCACTTCTCGTGGTCCTCCTTCCGCCATAGCTCCAACTCATGACTCCAGCATCCCATATCCCTTTTTGGAGGTTGTCGAAATGCGTAAAAACTCAATTGCTGCGCATTTACCGAGGGGGTGAGTGAGTGTGGGGAGGCAGCAGGACCTGGTCTAGGGATCGACATGGGTCTCGCACACTGAGTGAGATGCAAGATAACGTGAACGGGAGAGCGATGGCAAGAGGGCAAGGGCGCAAGGGGGGACGAGCGAAAACGAATTTATTGGAGTCATGTGCTGATAAGCGGCTCTGGCTTCCCAATACCAATGCCAATGCCAAATTACAATGCTCTAACAAGCGGCGAGTGGCCCGAGGGAATGGTGAACAACAAAACGAACAGCGTATACTCTACGCCAAAGAAAAGCATAATATTTTGGAATATATTGGCTTGGGTGTTCACATAGCGATACTTCCCTGGGCATAGGGTATGCAAACACTGATACAAACACGCAGATACACGGCTACAGACACCGACACAGGGGGGCTGGATGGGGATGGGTATGGGTATGGGTATGGGGACAAGCACAGACAACGGGCTGCTACATGGCTAAAACACAGGAAACGCATTAGATACTTTTTGGCTGATTCGCTGGCTGGCCATAGTGGTAGTCATAGTGAGCCCGAGGCCCGGGGCCAGAGCGGGGTCTGGCTCTGGGACGAGGACTGAGTCTGGACAGGGGCTAGTGCGATAAAAATCTGCGTAAAATGATGCGGCAATTTGATGAGCAACTAAGTTCGGGCAATTAGTTTTGTAAACGTTCGGAAGTTGGTCGTGTCCAGCTAAACTGTTGCTGGGCAAGAGAGAGCCATCCGCATGCCATTTAGTTCTGTAATGTGCTTAACGGGGCTCACAAAGTTGTGCGTAGAGAATCGTGTGATTTATTGGGGGCCCATCCACAGCGCTGATGCAGATCTGAGGTAACACGTTTGCCCCGCCACCCCCACCGACAATGGGCACTCGACTCCGATTGATCGGCAATTTTTACCCATTTGGCCGCCACACAATTCCCAGGCAGGCGAATATGACCCATGGCCATTCTCCTCTCCAGTTCTAACGGAGTTCCTAACAATCGCCAGGCGATTCGTGCCTTTCCTGCTCCACTGAACTCTTTGACAGGCCAAAGTAACAGAAACCAAAAAACGTTTCCCCAACTTGCTAATAAGCCAATGTCTAACCAAAAGTAGGAATCAACAGCCGCAGCAGCAGTAGAAATGGGAGAAAGAAGCCTTCTGCCTTGGGCTGTTTTCTAGCAATTTCAAAGATACATTTCAAGTGCCTAACTTTGCTCCACTCTACTCTGTGTGTGTGTGTGTGTGTGTGTGTTAGTCAACCGCAAAAGTACAAATAATTTCCATTTGGCAAAAGCGGCAACATTTGCATTTTTCTTCAGTTCTTCTTAGACAGGGACACAGACACAGACCCAGCCCATTCCCAGTCCCACTCCCAGTTTCTGCCTCAAATAGGCAAACATGCCTCCCAGCGGCAGCTGCACAAAGAAGGGGAGCTAGCAAGCGAGTGAGCGAGTATTTAAATAGCAAACAGATACGTCGTCGTCGTCGTCTACTTATAAATACTTTGTCGTCTCGGCAAACTATACTACGGCACAAGTTGTAGATAAATATGGCATAGATTACATAACTAGTTCTCTGCCACAATAGAACTTTTTCCTCTTCTCTTCGAAAGATAAGTGTATGCCCACTATATCTCTCTCTTTCACACGCATGCAGCGCATATGTACAGTTATTTATGAATTTTCTTCTGGCGGCCCAACACGGTAGCATTCTGCAGCTTTTGTGCACTCTTCTGGCCGAGCAGCTTTCGAGGGCGCCGTGGCTTAGTTGGTTAAAGCGCCTGTCTAGTAAACAGGAGATCGTGAGTTCGAATCTCGCCGGGGCCTATCCCTTAAATTGGCTAATAGGGATTCTACTTTTTTATGTAATTCCCTTTCCCTTGAACTCCAGCGCCTGTTAACCCCATTTTCCTGATTTTCTTGTTGCCTTTAATGGCTGCTTATTGTTCCGCTTGCCAGCTGACGCCTTCTCTAACCCCCATTAACGTGTTTCAATTGCCCCAATAATTGTTTCAATAATCATTAAAATCACGCAGGAATATTGCCTGCCACAGTAGCAAGGGCCAAGGGCCACACCGACACAAGAAAAGCTTTTTCAGTGCACTATGGGCGCTATGCTAGGGAACTATGAAATAATCTTTATTCGATAAGACAGCAATTTCATAGGTAGAGAAAGCACTTCAGTAGCTGATTAGATATAGAAATGACGGTCATGAAAATGTAAATAATAACTTTTACTCTTTGGATGGATCATTCGACTTGGAAATACTCTATTCTCAATGTTTAAAGTACCGTTGAAAGTCCTTTGTAAAATAGTAACCCCCTCTTGATGTTAGCTTTATGTAAGCATAACATTAGGGAGTTGGTGCTTATGCAGCTTTGAGGAACTACTGTTACAACTAAAGCTCTTGCATACCGTTAGTAGCAAAGCTTTCATGTGAAAAGCTTATCGTGTCCCGTTAAAAGCTCACAAATAAGATAAATAAGCAATAATGAGAGCTTCCCATTAACATTTCTGGAATCTTAACAGTTGCCAAGCAAAACCGTATCTCTCTCTGGTTCAATATCTTCAAATTGAAACAACTGAACAAATATTAATTTGGTTAATAGACCGTCCAGACCCATCCAAAAATAGGCCTACACCAGTGGGGAACTGGTGGGGAAACCGTTTCTTAAATTGAGTAGTTGAAAGGTGGAAGTTTCAAGGGCGCCGTGGCTTAGTTGGTTAAAGCGCCTGTCTAGTAAACAGGAGATCGTGAGTTCGAATCTCGCCGGGGCCTTCCTTCAAGGACATGAGGTTGTTGTCTACTTTTTTAGCCATGTTTTTTTGTCAATTTCCAATCTTTTATTTCGTGTTTGCACCTAAACTAAACCTAATAAGAGTACCAATAGAAGCTTTATAAGCTCTGAGGACTAATCCTTGTGGACCAGATACAGGACAACGATCATGAAGTAGGTGGGCCGCTCAAAGACCAGCTGCGTGAAGTTGTCCCGCTTCTCGTCCATCAAGTGGCACATCCTCTGATAGATGCCCTGATTCTGCTTCTCCACAATTGACAGCAGGCAGATAATGCGATGCCTGCGGAGTGAAAATTAATCAGTGAGAGAGGGGTGGCAACATGGCAACAGGCGGAGATCACACTTACCGACTGTGGTTTAACTTCTTGACCCGATCGCGTATCTCGGCCGCCAGACTCTCGACCAACTGCAGTGCCCGCCAAGAGTCGTAATTGCGACTGAAGCGATCCCACAGCAGACGCTCCTCGATGCAATCTTCGATGATCTTGTGGGCACGTTCCATATTGAAATTGGTGTGAAAGAATTTCCAATCATTCTTTGGCTTCTCGTTGCGCTCGCCGCCCTCACATCCAGCCACGCCCTCGCCGTCTGGGTTCAGGGCCCGTCGCCGGCTGAGCATCGACTCCGAGAGCAGGGCGTTCATTCGGTTTGTGGTGCGAACCGATGCGGTTATCCTGTACACAACAATGGCAATTTTGGTATTAGCCATGACTCAAATTAAAGATTCTATTTTAGTTGCTGCGACTGGGTCGCATCCTACCGCGTTTTCATACTGCTCCAGCTGTTCATTGTTTGTCTCCCGAGTGTATTCCGATATAGTGTGCCTGGTATATGGTAGCCTCTGTCTGCCGGCAAAAGGAAAACAAATAGCGAGCGCTGCTATCTGTGCACTGCCAGGGACGTCAGCCAGGACGACATGCCGACACGAGCCCTGCCTAATACCGAGCTCCGAATTCCTTAGGTGCCCTCATGGGGTATCCACACATCGTCAAAAGTTTCCCTTCAGCATTATTGGTTTAAGCCCACTCTTCACATTTGGCCCTGGAGGTGGCAGCGGGAGGCACGCCTGACACACGACCTGAGCACGTTAGAAAGTACAGAACTCTCTGCCAATTGGGAAAACTACGAAAAATCATTTCCCAATATATGAAGTAGTTCATCAAAAGTCGAATCAATATATATATCTTTATCTGTCCGTCTGTTTCTATAGAAAGGATTTACTCCATTTGATGGGATCGCTCGGGAAAGTTTTTTAGATCTTTGTTTTCAAAGACATCTTAAACAAACTTCAGAAATAGCTACTCCAAAAGTTTCTAGATACCTTCAACTGTTATTTCTATAGAGTGATCACTGTACTTCCCATAGTTGGCCAATAGAGAGGCACAGTCGTGTCACGCTGCCAACTTTAAGTGGGCGGAAGCCTTGCGTGCCGTTTATCATAAATCCAAGTCAGAGCGCTCCAATTGCAACCCACCGGTGATGGCGGTGGAGACGTGGGTGTCATCACCACCAGACACTCGGCCGTGGCACAGTCGGGGGGCCCGGGGGAGCGGAATCATCGGCAAAGTGTTGCCATATGGTTGTGTGTGCTGTGCCTTCGTGGGGGAAATTACTTCGAGCCACGAAGGCACGCGATTCCTTTTTGAAGTTGATGACTTTTGATCGGTTGCCTTGCGACACCTGTGAGGTCTTCCTGGCCAGGTCTCTCCTCTGGCTCTGCCCGGTTCTGGCCCAAAACTTTCAAGCACTTTGATTGCTTTTTATCGCGAAAGTTCGTTCGATTTCATTTGCATAGGCTTCGCTCTGCCCCCCTAATTTTGATCTATCTATGCATACTATATGTATGTTTGTATCTATATAGATTCATACACCGTACATATTGTACATATGTATATGAAGATATTAAATTGAAATAACTGTCAAGTCACGTGCGCTGTTGACGACTCCTCATTGTTCCCAAATGGCCGGGGAACAATAGAAAATTGAGCAAATGGCGGTGGAGGAGAATTGGGCTAGGCGATACACATAGGTGGTGTCCCCCCGCCCAAATCCCATCACGAACAGTTGAGGCCACTCTTATAGGTCTCAAATGGTTGTAGTCAAAACAAGATAAATGATTTGTTTTTTCTAAAGCTGATTGAATCATACCCTTGTTGATGGACATTAGAGCAGTGGTCGGCACGGCCCTATCTTACGTTCAAATGTGCATCGGAAAGTGCTCTGCTGTGGCACTTCCGCTCACGTACATGTGTGTAACAATGCATTGTTCGGCAACAATACAATACAATTACATTTTTCCGTCGTGTTTTGTTCCGTTTTACGCACACATTGCCAAACATGCGAATGGCTGCGTGCCGACCGACTGCGTGCCTCAGAGTGTTTTTTCTTGACGTTAATCAGAAATTACATATTTGATTAGAACACTAATAGGTAGAACAGTCCCTACACCGAGAGATAAAAGTCATGAGAATTGAATATGTATACCAATAGATTTGCCTCGTGAGTGGAAATTGTAAAATGACAGGATTTTCAATTACATTTTGGCATTAATAAGAAAATATGTTTTCTGCAAATTCAATGCGAATTCTATTTAATTTCAAAATATTTTTACTTAAAAACCGAAGATTTAATTTAATTAATATTTTTTTCTCTATGCCATTTTTCTGTGTTTTGCCTTACCATATTTTGCAAATATTTGACTTTTGATGATGCAACTCAATTATTGACTGCATCAGTTTCAGACATCGCGATGGAAATAAATTGTCTGTAACACAGGATAGCAGGTTCATTTATTGGCAGCTCTGCTCCGTAGATTGTAGATTTATGGAGAAACTTATGCTTCCTTGATTTATTGAGTATCATAAGCCGTTTCGTTAATACGTAAATATCCATAAAAATGTGTTAGGCTAAAGCTAATTCACCAATCGGAATCTCCAAACTTCCGAGCGGTTCTAGAATCAGTTGCCAGGATACTAATTGCCAAACACACAAAAGTTTTGCCGACACACACGCCAAAAGGTTGAAGGAATTGGAACAGTGGGGCGTTTTTATGCGATTGTGTGGGCTGCGTGGGTGGGTGTGCACAATAGAAATTAAACAGCAGCTAAACAAATTAGGCAATTTGTACCGCCTTCCTTTCCGCTAATATGCGGGCGATGGGGTAGGGGGCTGGGGTTAACAACACTCGGAACAGGCTCGAACTCATTAGCACCCGGGTGCACGCGAAACGGGGAAATTTGCATAGGATGTAGGACTTACGCTTGCATGCGACTCATAGCAGCGGCGCCTCTGCCTATGCTACGGTCTAACGGCTGTGGGAGTCTAGAGCTGGAGCTCTGCCTCCGCCAGAGAGGGATTTCCGGCAAAACTGCACGTGCGCTCGTCACAAATGAAACTGGCTCTGGTCCCGGGCTCCGGTTGCTCCCAGGCATAAAAGCGCAAAAACCAGCAGCTAACAATGTGTGGAAGGTGGGGGGACAAATGAAAGGGGTAAGGTGTACGCCATGATGGTGATTGACTTACGAGCTCTGACAGCACAAACACTCACACACACAGTCATACACGAGGGGAAACGAGGGGAGTGAGTTCGTCTCTGTGGCACTCGTTAGCTCTGCCTTTGGTCTGATTTAAGTTGGCATGTCTAAAGACAACTCTGCAGAGACTGAACGCGGGTCGAGCGGTGGAGCAAATGTGTGCCAATGTATTCTAAATTGTGTTTATTTTGAGTAATTTGCAATCTATTAGACACAAACTGTCTGTTCCCCTTCTCTCCTCCCTCTCACTTTCTCTTTCCCTCTATCACTACATCTCCAAACCCTGACAGTTTGGCAATTAAAATTGTAGGTTGATAACTGTCGACACGCCCCCATGCACATCACTTCGAATCCTTGGAGAGTGTGGATAGCAGAACTTGAAAAGAGAGTAGAGAGCCAGGTTGAGCGCTTTTGGAGAGTCTGAAGAGTGTAGAGAGTAAGTATGTGCAGAATATAAATACGTGAGTCAACACATTTCACCACTGGTTGTAATTCGATTTAGTTATTTTTAGAAAATTTCACAATACAGAAAGAAAGATAACAGTAATTGTATGTAGTGATATGTGGTGGTTAATAAAAAGGTAAAGAAAAAAACCTATGCCCAATTTCAATGAGTCTTAGATTACATTTTTATTGTTTTGAATTAACAAACTACGAGTACGTATTATATTTGTATTTTTAAATTAAATATTGCTTACATTTATGGCGGCACATTTTGGCATTTTGCCAATTATTTTTATACAAGAATATGTTAATAAAAACGAATATGTAATTAAAATCGATGTTAATAATATAATATTTCGTGTTGGACCGTGCTCGACCGTGTTCGGAAATTTTTTAGCCGTGCGTGTTGAAAATTTTCATTTTCGTGTCGTGTTGGGTCGTGTCGGAAAATTGCAGTCCATGCCCATCTCTAGTCCGTAGGTCCGGTAAGCGGTTATATGTATATTTACTCATCCTCCATTCAACATAGTCAAGAAGAAGTTTGCTAACCTGAAACATTATTTTATAGAACTCGATTAAGAGAGTTCCTTTTGATGCTGCTTCATATCTGTACTCACTATATAGGCACACAAAATCGCAACGATGATAGCATAATAGGTGAAATCCGCATCTCTAAATACCTTGTAGCACGATTCCTTGACATTATTGCTATGATCTATCAGGCAGCTTTCGGGCAAAGTCAAATTTATGTGTACATATTCATTGGGGTCCATAAAGCCGCAGCAATTAAACTGGAAGAAAGCAATGACCAATGACCATTCGATTTACAGTGTGGCGCCTAGAACCTACCGTGTCCTGATAACTGAACATTGGATCAGTGTTTTTGTTAGCCTTCAGATCCGTCCATGCATGAGTTAGGTGCTGCCAATTATAGTTGTGGATCTGAATTCCCATCAAAAGGAAACAATAAACCGCCGCAAAGACACCCAACAGCAGGAGGTGGCAGAGGAATTCCTGTTTAAAGAAAGTTTAACACCAAATTCATACTATTAGTTGTCATATAGTCACTCACGAGTTTTGAATGCCCATAAATTTCCTTCAATTTACAGAATACCCTCCATACTATGTTTGCAGAGCAAGGGATGAGAGCGACTAGGAGCAGGTAAAAACTTATACGAAATATTCCACCCACATCGATGTAGCTGGGAATGCCGATCGCAATAATCACATAAATCAACAGCTGAAAACGATGCGGGAAAAGGTCACAGTCGGTTATTAGAATTAATCACCGGAAGCGATCGAGTATCACCATGAAAAGTCCATGTTCAACGAAGAACAGAAAATTTTGACAACAACCCATTTCGATGAAAGTTTTCAATCAACTGCGCCGACACCACCACTGGCTTTTGCCTCGAAAACATGTACCTATCTACCGATCTATTTATACGAGTACACACGATCCATTGTTCCGATTAGATAATCAACAATTAATCATTCTGTTGGATGGTTTATTTTTTATTGTTATATTAGCGAAAATCGGAAAAGGATATACACGTGAATTTTTCTGAGACAATAATTCTGATAATTTGCATAAAAAGATTTATGTGGCAAAAAATAAATAAATATAATTATTCGAGTCCAAAATATTCGATAATCCAAAAGGGTGTAATTATTTACAAAGCTAACAGAGTGTACTCCTCAAGTGGAGATCGGCGTCAATACAGAGAAAAGTAAGCAATTGAAATGTTTTCTGTTATGTTTGACCCACCTGAGACTGAAAAAGGGACATTGCATCGGTGTGGTTCTTGTCCACTGCCAAAACGGCATCTAATTTTTTTTTTGGTCAGGATTTTCTCGTCGGTGCGCCTAGCGAGGATACACTTAGGACACTAAGTAGGAGTACCAGATACTTCATAGCTCCAATATCACAGCCCATTGCAGTTGATTTATCTAGAATGGATATTCCTAAATTTACAGATTTGTATGTATTTATGTTGATCAAGTTTCGAGAAGCGCTCTCAAACAGCTTATAGTGGACTGAATAAGGGAACCAACAAAAGCTTCGTTTACGCTTCGAATCAACAGAAATATGTTAATAAGATCAGCCACAAGGCAGAAATCCCAACGATATCTGAAGCCAGTAAAAAGCTTTTCAATTTCGTTGAGCTTAGCTTGTGCACTCCTCCCGTCTGACTCACTGTAGAATCTGTAGTGGCTAGTCCATGACTGGTCGCCGCTCATCTACGGTTACGCCTACCGCGTATGACGCTTAATATAATACTGTACGTAGTAGTGTAATATTGGTCACTTCGTTCTCATCGTTATCTGTTAGCTAGAAGTTTCCTTTCAGGGTGGTCTTTTCTTTAAAGTATATTGGCGGGTAAAAAACCGAGGGCTTCCCCATCGATTCAACCTCCGATATGGAGGCATGTTTGGCATGGTGCGAGTCGAGTGGTTCTCAAATAAGATTATTAATTAGGTAGAACGCAAAGCAGCTGAGAGATTCGGATTCCACCAATTCACCACTCGTATTCAGATTGGTCTCTTTCGCTGTTGCTCCCCGCTCTCTACGGGGTTGCTACTATCTGGGCACAGCTGGGGGAACCGTCTTATCAGTTGGAGTGGCCTAGGAGAGGTAGATAACTCTAAGCTTTAATGGACTATGGGCTGGCTGTGTTTGGTTTGGGTGTCTGGCCTGGCGCGGCGCTCAGTTGCTTCCAGATACTGCGCGTGGCCGAAACAGAAGTAAAGTTCAATTTGCACCAAAAATGAGCTGCGGCACAAAGACCCTGAAGATATCCTCCTTCGTGTTGGATTTTCTTTGCTGTGTGAGTGTGTTATCGCCAAATCCCCAACTGATAGTCGTTGCTTACTCATTACTCTTACGACCACCTCTTCGTTGCTGACAGGTGCTGGCGGCCCTGACCATCGCAGCATGCTCCTACGCCTTGATTGCCTTCAGCCATAGTCTGGCCATTCGGGTGCCCTGCATTTTGGGCATAGTCCTGGGGGCCCTCCTCTTCGGAGGCACCATCTTCGGCTGTGTTGCCGCGCTGAAAGAGAGCATTCGTCTGACCTGGATTGTAAGTGATATTTCACCAACAATGTATGAGTATTTTTGTACAGCCTTTCGCATTTCCCTTTTAAGTACGCTGCGATTCTGATGGCTCTGATATTCGGGCAGATCACCGTTATATTCGCCCAGCCCATCAACTTTGAGCTGCTGGCCAATGAGACCATCTACAGTGCCTGGCAGGGCCAGCTGTATCACCAAGGCAGCATGTCCTATTATGAAATTAAGGTACGGTCAAATTACTCTCGGATTCAGCTTTAATCAGATTCCATTTGCATTGCAGTATCATTGCTGCGGTATGACTGGGCCCTCAAACTATCCGGACAGCGGCCTGCGTATACCGCAGAGCTGCTACTTCAACCAGAACACAACCGTAACCACAGATCTCTATACCGTGGGCTGTGATCGACAGCTGGGTGCGGCCTTCATCAAGGGCACCCGCTGGGAACGGATCAGCGATTGGTCAGTTGTTGGTGTGGAGGTACGTCAAGACATAGCTCCCAATAGAAATCCTAACTAACTCCCAATTTGATTTTTAGATGCTTACCGTGACGGTTGCTGGTCTTCTGGCCATAACCTTACAGAATGCAGAGCGCCGACGTCCTTATCGCTAGGTGCTTCTCTTGAATCCATCTGTTAACAGTATTAGAAGCTGTACAAATATGTTTAGAAAATATGTTTAGTACAAAACCGTTTAAAAGACTCGAACTACAAACGCTGTATTTCAATTTAAAATTATTGGTTCCAGTTCCAGTTCCTCGTCAGCTGTCTCTCTTAATGGTTACATACATATGTAGTTGTTATGTAGCAAATTTGTAATTTTCATGTAGAAACATTGACAAAATATCATGGTGTGGCAGCCCGCAGCAACTACGAATTGCATGTGTCTGGCAGCGCCATCAACAACGATGACGTCACATTCGTTTTATGCTTTGGCCGTTTTTGTTTCAACCTTTTTATGTAAGCAATGCAATAAAAAGGACTTCTGGAAACTAGCCGATCTTGTAGAAAAGTATTATTTTCCGCGGTTTAACAAAGGGTGCTCGACTTTTTAAATAGAGGGGTGTTAAGTGGGTTAAGTCTCGTTGGATCGCCGGATTGCCCTGGTTTTCTTATGGTATGGTATTTAATGGTATTTATTTGTTGGCCGGATGGTATTTTGTATCGTTATCAGAGCGGTCACGCTGGACGCTTTGGCCGTTTTTGTTTGAACCTTATTGTGTAAATAATCCAATAAAATGGAGTTCTGAAAACTAGTCAATCTTCTACAAAATTTATTGATGAATTGGAAAAAATTATTTATTTAGGGCTGAGATGGCTAACTAACTGGTAATATTAAATCGAATATCAAAATTGAGCAAATATAATTTTGCTCGGTATATTGACGGTATATTTTGAAAAGGAAGAGGTATATTCTGGTATTTTTCTGATTGTCTGACGGTATATTTTATCGGCAGGTCATACTAATGTGTAAACCGGGCTGCCTAGAATTCTGAAAAAATTTAATTAAATTAATAAAACCCTATACCGTTTGCCCAAAATATTAAAAATCCAATATCATCGGCGTTCAACTTGTAAATTCCAATTAGGATTAGTTTGTTTTCCAATTTCAAAAGGCATTTTAGCCCAGACAGCCGGTCAAAGATGTAAACAAGGGCCATCCGAGAACAAACGAAATGTATTCATAAAAGTAATCAGCACAGTTTTGCGAATTGGAACGCGTACGCGGCGCGTATTTTAAAGCGGACGAATTGTTCCAGCGCCATAATTTGTGTGCCATCCAGTGTCCGGATTCCGCATCGCGTTGGGGTATTGACTTGGCCAACAACAAATAACTTGATTAGTTGGCACCAAACAGTGCTGGCGATCACATCTGAAGACGGACAGCGGTCATTAACACGCTTGGGCCCAGAAGCAACAGCACCAGCAGCGACAGCAGCAGTAGAAGACAACCAACCAACGACAACAACAAGAACAGAGCGGCATTAACGATGGGTCTGCGCTTTCAACAATTAAAGAAGCTGTGGCTCCTCTATCTGTTCCTACTGTTCTTTGCATTCTTTATGTTTGCAATTAGCATTAACTTATATGTGGCAAGCATACAAACCGCTGATTCAGAGCTGCGGTGAGTAACCAACACAACAGCAATAACAACACAAAAAAGAATCCATTAGGATGGATTGCAGAGGCCTTCCATATGCCGCCGCCGCCTCCTCCTCCAGCTGGCATTGCATAATTTCCTTTGGAGCCCACATCTGGCCATGTTGCAAGTGGCTGTTGTTGTTCCACTCGAGCGGCTCGCCTCGACTTTCGGTTTTCGGTCTTCAAGCCACTTTGCATTTCTTCTTGTTTGTTTTGCCATCGGTTCGCGTGATTCGAGTTATTGTAAAATGCTAAATTTAATATCCATTGTCACATCTTTGTCTATGCCTTTGTGGATCACTTGCCCTCGGATTGCCGCGGATCGAATCGGATCGCATTGGATGGGGGCTTGGGGCTGTTGCTTGAATGGGTTGTTGGGTTTCTTGCAAAGTCATCCGAAACCGCCGCCCAAACGTCGCTCGCTCTGGCCGCATAAAAGTATCGTGGCCCATTATATTGGCAAGGGAGACATCTTCGGCAACATGACTGCAGGTGAGTTCACATTAAGCATCTCATCGCCAATGACACAATATGCAAGACATAAATAATTAAATGAATACATAAATCCATTCATTGGCAGACGATTACAACATCAACCAGTTCAAGCCTGTCGCTGGCGAGGGAGCCGACGGGCGACCCGTTGAGGTACCGCCCCGCGACCGCTTTCGTATGCAGCGCTTCTTTCGGTTGAACAGCTTCAACCTGCTGGCCAGCGATCGCATTCCCCTCAATCGCACTCTCAAGGATTATCGCACCCCCGAGTGAGTGAGACCTTGACCCCCTGTTTGGATGTCCTTCATCTAAAAGCGTATTATTTTGGTTGCAGATGCCGCGACAAGAAGTATGCCAGTGGCTTGCCCAGCACATCAATTATCATTGTGTTCCATAACGAGGCCTGGTCCGTCCTGCTGCGCACCATAACCAGCGTCATCAACCGCTCGCCACGCCATCTGCTTAAGGAAATCATATTGGTTGACGATGCCAGCGAGCGCTGTAAGCAAGGCCACTCCGTAGTCCAAAAGACTAATAAAGTAAAATACTAATTTGGGTGTTCTCTTTCGCAGCATATCTGAAGCGCCAGCTGGAGAGCTATATACGGGTGCTGACGGTGCCCACTCGGATCTACCGCATGAAGAAGCGCAGCGGCTTGGTTCCCGCTCGCCTCTTGGGAGCGGAGCATGCCCGCGGAGATGTACTCACCTTCCTGGATGCCCACTGCGAATGCTCGCGTGGCTGGCTGGAGCCCCTGTTGGCGCGGATCAAGGAGGCACGCAATGTGGTGATCTGTCCAGTGATCGACATTATATCCGACGACAACTTCAGCTACACGAAGACCTTTGAGAATCATTGGGGCGGCTTCAACTGGCAGCTGAGCTTCCGCTGGTTCTCCTCGGACAGGAAACGGCAGACGACGGAAATCACAGCCAAGGACTCCACGGCCCCCATAGCCACTCCTGGAATGGCTGGCGGTCTGTTCGCCATCGATCGCAACTACTTCTATGAAATGGGAGCCTACGACAGCAACATGCGTGTGTGGGGCGGAGAGAATGTCGAGATGTCCTTCCGGATCTGGCAATGCGGCGGAAGGGTCGAGATCAGCCCCTGCTCCCACGTGGGTCACGTATTTCGCAGCAGTACGCCGTACACGTTTCCTGGCGGCATGAGCGAGGTGCTCACAGACAATTTGGCCAGGGCAGCCACCGTCTGGATGGACGATTGGCAGTACTTCGTCATGCTGTACACTTCTGGACTATCGCTGAGCGTCAAGGATAAGGTTAACGTGACGGAACGCGTGGCTCTGCGGGAGAAGCTGCAGTGCAAGTCATTTGCCTGGTACTTGGAGAACATATGGCCGGAACACTTCTTCCCCGCTCCCGATCGCTTTTTCGGCAAGATAATCTGGCTAGATGGAGAGACGGAGTGCGCCCAGGCATACAGCAAACACATGAAAAATCTGCCGGGACGTGCCCTGTCCCGGGAATGGAAGCGGGCCTTCGAGGAGATAGAGAGCAAGTCGGAGGAGTTTATGTCACTGATCGATCTGGAGCGGGACAAGTGTCTGCGTCCACTGAAGGAGGTCGCACCGCGCTCCTCCCTGCAACCGGTAACAGTGGGCGACTGCACTTCGCATGCCCAGACCATGGACATGTTCGTTATTACCCCCAAGGGACAGATAATGACCAACGATAACATCTGCCTGGCCTACCGTCCGCCCAAACAGGGAATGATCAAGCTGCTTAAGAACCGCAATGCCACCACCTCGAATGTGATGCTGACGCAGTGCGCCGTTGATGCCAGCCAAATGTGGAACTACGACATGGATGTGAGTGTGGCCTAAATTGATTTTAGCAACGCTCTTTATACTTACTAAGCCTTTTTTAATCCCCCCCGCAGACCCAGCAAATCTCGCACCGAGACACAAAGCTGTGCCTTACACTCAAGGCGTCGACAAATGCGCGCAACCAGAAACAGGAGAAGGTGGTGCTCTGCATGCAGTGCGACTTCAAGGATATCACACAAAAGTGGGGCTTCATACCACTGCCATGGCGCTTATAGGACGAGGAATGGAATGGAAGAGCGAGGAATGCCAGGACATGATCCAATTAACCTGCCAGCAACTCTTTTTTAAACACAATGTGATATTTATTGAAATTTTTTAACGGGGCGCCACTCGTTGTGTTCTTTATTTAAACATGTAACAAACCCACACAAAAATACCCGACATATTCAGACTTACACCACCACCACTCACCCGAACCACGATACAGACCCACAAGAATTGTTTGTGAAACATCTTATGTATCCAAATACACTCGAGAGTTTGTTTTATTCTCTCGAGGTGTATTGCGACGCGATACAAATTTAGATCTACTCTCGTATGCTATGTCTATGTCATATTTATTAAGCAAGTTTTTAGGCAATTTTTAGCTGTACATAAGTACGGACGTACTTACTACCGTCGAACACTTTTATATGTCACATGAATAAACCCTCTGATTGTAGAAAGTGTCGCTGCACTTTACTTTTTCCTTTACGAGTATCTCTGTTGTGGCTTATCGCTTGCCTCATGTAGAGATTGTAATTTCCTTAAATTTGGCGCATCTGCTTGAGTTTCCAGCATTCTCGTAATGAACCGCTGCTACAACACAATCAAGCTCTCGGGCCTGCTCTCCAATCTGCTCTATATGGTAAGCCACTCAATCCGCAACATATTTATTCCTGTCCCAAATGATTTATTATCCCCATCCCCCTTAGCTGCTGGGCATTGGTGTCATGAGCGGGGCAGGATTGGGTCTCCAGGCGGCAGAGCCCAACACACCGGAGCACACGTACTTCGTAAAGAGCCTTGTGCTGGGCGGAACCATTTGCATGATCGTAATGTTTGGCTGCTATGGCCTCATCTGCAATCTCCTGTGTGTCAATCTAATTGTAAGTACCCTGAAGACCCGCCAGAACACAACTGAAAGTCCTTTTCCTTGCAGTTCACCCTGTTTATACTGATTTGTCTGGGTGCGGAGTACCTGCAGCTGCATCACTACCACAATCCATCGCATTTAGCCACCGACAGTGCCTGGCACCAGCTAGAGCTCGCATGGCATGGCCTGGACAGCCGGCCGGAGCTAATGCATCAGTACGAGGCCACACAGCATTGCTGTGGCTACAACAATGCGGATGACTACAAGCAATTGCATTTGCTGGTGCCCGCGAGCTGTTATCAGGCCACTGCCAATGACACCTACGAGCAGCAGAAGCAGGTCTATCCGCGCGGCTGCCTGGAGACTTTGAGCAACAGCCAGCGCTACATACAGCATCGCGATAAGCTCTTCATGTGGTCCATCGTTGGCCTTGAGGTGGGCAATTGACTGCAGCCGAAAGACAAATAACACTGTCTCTGTACTCCTCCCATAGATCGTTATACTGCTGCAGACAACCGCTCTGAGTGTTGTGCTGTTCAAGCTGCGCCAACGACAACGACTCGCTCGTCGCCAAGTGCCGCCTGGTGTCAGGCGGGAACCGCGCTCCAACCATGTGACCGGCTCACGGGCCCAGCTGCTGAATGCTGCCGATGTCTGATGTTAGATTTTATCAAATGTATTGTTTATTATGTAGCTATGTTGCAAATGCTTATGTACGGGTATAAATGAGTGTGGGGTAATCAGTAGGCATAGCGACGTGTCTTGTTGGTTAGCTGACAGCACAGCGTGATGCCCAAGATGATGCCCACAAGCTGCAACTCAGAGAATGTATTAATTAATCATAGGGGGACTAGAGTATCGTCCAGTAATCACCTCGTAGCCGATGAGTCCACAGTGTGCCCACTTCTCATAGCGATAGATCTCGAGAAAGGCTCGCTTCACGGCCGCCATGCAGCCCTCGGCATAGGGATGCAGGGCGTGAAGGCCGTCCTTGGTATGGAAACAGCTGGTGGGCACCTTGATGTTGAGGCTCGTATAGTCCCCGAACCCCTTGTTGCCACAGCACTCGAACTAAATCCATGGAAATTAAACAGTGAGAAGAGTTGCCCCAGATGGGTGGGTGTCCGTTCAATCAGCAACTCACCTCTCGCTGTAGCTGCCGAATGGCGCCCTGGTGGACTAGCTCCTCCATCCACAGCGACATGACGTAGACCTCGGTGGCATCCAGCTGCTTGGTCTCGTTGTAGTGGGAGAGCTTCCAGATGTGCGAGACAATCAAGATGCCCAACAGGGTGAGGTGCTAAAACTTGTTCCCTTTGCAGTTAACTTTTTGGATTGAACCCTAGGACAGCTGCTACTCACCATCACCATGACCTTTATGGAGCCCAGAAAGGCGCCGAGGCATCCAATAAGAGCTGCCAAAATCAAAGTACCCGCCATGCCCAGCTGCACAAACTTCTGCAGATGCTCGGCGGAGCCCTCGTCATACCTATCCAGCTCGTAGACGCCGGCCAGGGCCGCCAGGATGCCGATGGTCTAGATGATGATTAAAAATAAAGATATATGCACATTAACTATTTGTTAATGGGCCGTGAAATGGCCAAAAAAAATCGAAAAAAGTCTTTAGAGACAAAAGTTCGGTTTATGAGCGACGTCATCGCAGTGAGAGAGACGGAAAAATACAAAATAAAAGAAAATATTGGCATAAAAATAAATTGAATTACTTTGGTCTTTATTTTTAAATGGCATATACACAGATCTCTCTCCGATTTTTGTTCGTTTCAAATGGGGAAAATGAGAAAAATGAACGCCAAGTGACATCTTGTCTGGCAGAAATGGAATATTCGGTATGGAGTGGGATTTGTTTGCTGCCAAATTGGCCATCTACACAGGCAGCGGCAGGCAGAAACGCCAAAAAAAATTACATTCGACAATGAAAAATGCCACAGAAATGTAAGAAATTTAATGATTTCGCTTTGACGGACATCTCCGGCCGACATGAACTCGAATACAAATCCATTACTCATACGTCGTGTGAGTCAATGAGCGGTACACAAATACGAGTAGAATTTATTCTCAATGAAATGAGACATTTAATTTATTATATATTGCAATTGTTTGTGCACGCAAATTTTGTGCTCTTAAATAACTCATGCGCCGTGTTGAGCGTTGAAACTCTTACCAAAGTAATTGTATTGAAGACCACCGCAGTCCATTGCAGGCACACGCGAATTGTTGGCATTCTGACGCCAATAATAATTACCAATAATATATCACCCTCGTAGGAGCTATAATAATTATGTTTTGAACACTGTGATTGAAATGAACTCCAGCATTCACACGCTTTTCGCTCGGTGGAAATTCGTTTTCCACTCGCGTCCGACAATTTCCGACGCACGCCGCTTGTGACCCAAACTGTTAATGCCTTCGGCTGCCGCGTAGAGAACTCGTTCAGCCCAAAGCAAAATAAAGCCAAAACCCAAAAAAAAAACGATCACTAAGAAGCAGCGAAATGTTTACAAATCCGCTGAGTGGCTGTACGCGTCCGGGTACGAGTCCGTGTCTATGTCCGTCTCTGTCTCTGTCTCCGCCTCGTATTTTGTATTTTGTGTGCCAGTCGTTACTCGACTCGGAGTCCGTCCCGGCGAATGACCGAGATTTATATTTTTATATGCGTCTTTATAGGCGGGCATATACTCGCACTCGTACGCCTCTCTTCGCATCTCTGCTATTCCGCATATAGTTGGCAAAAATAAAATTTATCAAATGTTTCTAATGTGTTCTTATTATTTATTCTACGTTTTTGCTACCCACTCCAGATCCACTGGGGCTGGCTGGCTGGCCTACAGAAGTGTTTGTAATGGGTTTGTTTGCACCGCTCGCATCGGTCCCTGGCCACGGCTGTTGCAGGTGCGTCCGCCATTCGGGAAACCTGTTAGAATCTCTCGCGCCGCAATTTGTTGCGCACCGTGATGCCCAAATGTGTGGCGGCTCCCAGGGCGGCGAACTGTGCGATGATATTGGAAAATTTGATTAGAAAACCAATCTATATGTGGCCGGGAAGCTATTTCCGGCCCGCCCTTGACTTGCTAGGCCCTCTGTAATTTATAAACGAGGCTGGCAAGGGACTCACCTCTACCACAAGCAGTAGCCACTTGATGACGAGACCAATGGACACGTTATCGTTCGCATGGACCTGGACAGCCGCCAGGCAGCCCTCGCTGAAGAGATTGTCCTGCTGTCTGTCGAAGTTCCTGTAGCAGTTCGTGGGTATTCCCCTGCCGAGCAGTATGTAGTCATGGGCACCGACCTGGCCACAGCACGAGTACTGAAGGGGAATCCATTTAATTTCATGCGTGAGCTCATTTAGGAACACTTCTCGTCACTCACCTTCTGCTCGATGAGGGAGAGGCGCTCAGCATTGACTCTGGGATCCGACCACAGGGCCATAAATTCGCTGCGCGACCTCTCCACATAGTTCGTCGAATGGGCTGCAGCAATGATGTAGATCTGCAGGCAGAGCAGTATCAAGAGGCAGATCACATACTGGGGGGAAATGGGGAAAAATAATTTTAGATATGTTCAATCATTCGGCAGCCTTCACTTACCGTCCAAACGAGTCCCAGGGAGACCCGTGCCGTGGCAAAGCAGCCAAGGAACGAGGTCAGTATGATGAAGGAGCCCACAAAGATCTGGATGACGATGGCAATGTGCTCGAAGGTGCCTGGCGTGGAGCTGTTCAGCTCATACACAGACAACGCAATCAGAGTCACTCCAATTAGCTGTCAAAAGGAATTGCGTTTCAAAAGGAGACCTCTCAGATATTTTGCATACGCACCGATAGCAGGACATTGAGAATGATGAGAAGGGTTTTGAGAAACGACACGCGACAGGCCATGTTGCAAGACGCACCACAAGGATAGCCAATCAATAAACGCACCAATTACTTATCGCGTTATCCGTGCTGCCTGTCCTTCTGTTATTTTCCCGATGCGCAGTTAACTCGAAGCGATGACCAGCGGGGGGACACGACAAGGCAATGCTAAGCTGAACGCAAGCCCTTTCCCTATAGACGTTGACGTTCGACTGAATGAGGCGACGCATTCTATTCGAAATTATGGCGCCCCCCGAGTGCCAGTTGGTGGATTCCACCGTTCGTATAAACTCAACGAATCCCATGGCTGTTCTTGTTGCTGCTATTAATGTTATTGTCGTCGGTGCTTTAGGCGGTGGAGGTTGTGGTGGTGGTGCTTCTGTTGCTGTTGCTGTCATAGATTTGTGGGTTGTATGATGTCATAGTGATTCGAAAGCTTTCTGCCGCTATGCACCTTCAGAGGGCAGGAGCGAGTAATGAGCGGGGAAAAGCTTTCGTATACACATCAGAGTGGGGATGTCAGGACATCTTTGTAGGATTTATAGCCATTTCCCGAGGCACACTCACTCAATTAATATGCAAAAAATTCCGCACGGGACGCGCCTCTGGCCTTGGAAGTCTCTGCAACAAGTTGTCTGCCTCTGACCAAAAGTTTCAGCCATTTAAAGCTCACTGTGTGGCCTCACGTCGTATGCTTAATATTTCCATCAAGTTACGAAAACAAACAAACAAACGTCCGGTCTAGCGATGAAAAGTTTTTTAACAGACACAGGCACATTTATTTCAATAATTTTTATGGATAATTGGACTATATGATGTACTTAATTAGAGGATAGATTTAGGTACGAGTAAATAATGAATGACTTCGTTTTTGTTTTTTTTTTTTGGTAATGAAATGCCAAGGCGGGAAATACTTGAGAGACCCAAAGTCCGAACCATTTGTACTGTGGGAACAGGCCGATTCTGGGCCATCCTAGAACTCCAGGCGACGCTGCTTGTTACGAAAGCTAATGGCCAAAAAGACGGCCAGCACAAAGCAGAGCAACTGCAACGAAAACAAAGAAAGACGAAAAAAGTTGGAGGAAGCTCTTTTTTAGATAGAAGAGATAGCTCTGGACCCACCTCGAATGCAACCAGAACCCAGGAAACAATGATGAAGCGCTCCTTGTCGCTTTCATAGAAGCTCTGCACCTTCTCGATGCAGCCCTCCACATAGAGGTGGTCGGTGGTCTGCTGCAGGTCGGCATAGCAGCTGGGCGGGATCAGCTGGTTAAGATGCACATAGTCCTGGGCACTGCTCTTGCCGCAGCACTCGTGCTTCTGCTGCAGTCCGTCCATGTTGTTCGCCTGCCAGGCCGCCTCCACCGTCTCCTGTCCGCTTTGCACATCGTACTGATGCAGCAGCATGCAGGTGCTCACAATCTGCGGTATGGCCAGTATCAGCAGGAACACGGCACTCTAGGGATTATTAAGGATCATCATTAACAGATTATCGATTGAGATTACTCTGATCCCCTTACCGTTGCAGTCAGGGCCACCGACTCACGGATGGCCGCCAGGATGCCCAGCATGGCGAGAAGCAGAATGAGCGAGCAGGCCACATACGCAGCGATGACAAACTCCTCGCTCTCGGTGTCCGCATTGTAAGCGATCCATCCAATGGATCCCAATGCCAGAAGCTGGAATAAATTACGGGATGATGATGCAATTTCAATTGCAGTTCCAGTGGCAATTCATTTGGATGACAATTAACAGCAGCAACAAAGGGCACCCATCCCGTCCATTATTTATCGCTTGGGTCGGGTCTGTCTGTGATAAAGATTTCCTTTTGTCCCACTGATTTCTCTGTCTCCCTTCTCTGTTGCCATTTCGGGGTTTCGGGGGTGACCAACCCTTGTTCTTGTTGTTGTTCAAGTGATTCGATTCCGCTATATAGGTCAAACTATAAACCAGAGCGCGGGGTAATACGCGTATGTATGTATGTACATTGGCATGACGTCATCATCCTGCGAGAACGGAATTGAAACAATTGAAGGCTCTCGCTGGGCTCCTTCTGTGAATGGTCTAAACCGTACACAAGTTTTCCATGGAAACCATGGCAGGGGGAGTTGTCAGGGTGGACGGTCAGTCGGCTGCCACCTTGACGCCATTATTCAGGTGTGTTTGTGACTGACAAACACGACAGAAATCGGTTAAAAATACACACGAAGGAGAATGAATACGTTCGGCTACTATATGCTTTGAAGATCTCCTCCACCAAACACTGGTACGTACATTGTACATATAGGAACTATTTTGAAAATAATTCATTTTGAGGCTGTTTTTGTTGGACTTTTGAAGTGCGTTCACTTGTCCCGTCCCCCATGACATCATGCTAATTTCCTTGCTCAAATTAAATACTCATGTACAATATATACATATATAATACATATATACATACATATATACATATATCATATAGTCGTACTATACTTGACTTTGTTGCTGCTGTTATGGCTAATTGGTATTCCTTATAGGCAATAATGACTTACCCCTAAAATGGCATTCAGTATAATGGAGGTGATCTTAACGCTGGTCGTGGCGCAGCCCATGCTTGTAGATTTGGGAGACAGTCGGTCTCGGAATTACTTGAAAAATTCACTCGTGAAAGTCTCTTAACCTTTTGAATTGTTTCCCCTCCCCACCTCTCTTGCTGTTTATTTGTTTATTTACTTTCACGTTTTTCGTTTGGTTTGTTTTTCCGATTTGAATTTACAGCGAAGTAAATTTCCGTTAAATGTTCTTTCGGGATTTCCGCTCTCCAAAAAGCTTGTGGCACGTTCTGCGTTTGTTTTTGAACTGAAAGCGGGAAAAGTTTTATTCGTTCTCTTTTGCTCTTGGTTCCGTCATCAACCGTAAGTGAGGGTGCGGGAGAGAAGCAAACGCACACACTCCCACACACAGGCGCCCACCCAGCTGGGAGAGCGATGCAGAGAAGGAGAGAGAGAGAGAGAGAAAGAGCGCGCGCGATGCACTCACTTGGGTCAGCGCATGGCATATTAGGTGGAAGGTAAGTCAGTCAATATAGTGGTCTCTGTGTTGGGCACAAAGTGTAGAAGAGAGAGTGGTAAGCCAATAAAAGGACCTTCTGCTTTTTATACCTTGGGTCTACGCTGCAAGCAATGACGTCACAGCGCAATAACATTATAATCGGCTTTCTGCCGATACGCACCTACAAAGGTTCCATCAAGTTACGAAAACAAACAAACAAACAAACGTCCGGTCTAGCGATGAATAATTTTCAAACATACATAGGCACATTTTATACAATAATTGTAATGGATAATTGGAAGTCCCAGGCACTTGTACTGTGGGATCAAGCCGATCAAGGGCAATCCTAGAACTCCAGATGCCCTGCACTGATAGAAAAAAAAGGCATAGTAAAAGTAACTACAATCATATTTGAATTTAGAATGCCATTTTTAAATACAAACATAGTAAAATTTAATAAAATGCACTTTGATTCAAATATAAATGTATTAAAAATGCTTTTTTAATACGGTCATATTTAATCTAAATACAAAACACTTCAAAATAACTATAATATATTAAATTTGTAGTTTAATATGTTTCATAATATGAATATTATTATGACTTGATTTTAAAATTTTGAAGATATTGAAAGTTTTGTCTTGCCTTCAATCATCGCCGACCATCCTCTAAAAGATAAGTTTTTTGCATAGAAAATCGATTTTCTGTCTACTTCTTATGGTTAATTGGGTTAAATACAATAGTGAGAGTGCATCCAACCTAGTTTTCAATTCTTTTTTACCTCTTGCCTTCAGATTTTAGTCTAACTCCAACTCTTCTGGGGGCCTCTTCTGCACCGAAAAAATTTTCCTTTTACGCTTCAAAATTAAATAAATCTTTCTTTCATCAAAATATTCAATTACTAAATTAAAATTATTGTTTTTAAAAATTACATTTGCTTACATGCTTACATTGCCAACAAAAAAAAGAAGTACCTCCTGCTTTTTATATCTTGGGTCACCGCTCCATGCACGCTTGGATAGTGCTTTGACTTTGACTTTGCTGTCGTGACTTTGTCTTCCAGATCAGGCAGATTGGGGGACAAAGAAAATGCAAATTTAATCAACTTATTGCTCCAAATTTGATTAAATTGTTATTGTCGCTCTCAGTTCCCAGTCTCTGCTGCCTCTACCTTTTTTGGCCTGACAGTTTTCTTCCTCTGCACTGGATCTTAGCTTAAGCTCAGTGACACCATGACGCCAACATGTCAATAAGTCTATGACAAATCATAAATGCAAGCTCTCTCTCTCTCTCTGGCTTTTTTCTCTCTCTGTTTTGTTTTCGAGTTTGTTTATTGTTGTTACGTATACACATGCATATGTCTGGAGTTGCGCATTTCTCCCTCCTCACTACACTGTCCCATAGACACGCACAGACACGCACACACAGAATTTTGAGCTTAATTATGTTTGGGTCTGACGTCTGACTTTGCTTTCATTTTTGGGCTCTTATTTGTGTTGGGATCAATATTATGTGAGCAATTATGTTCCGAAAGATCTTTCGATATCCAATCCATTACACGGAACCGTAAAGAACAGTACACAAGCCTCTGTGGAAAACCGTATTACTTCTGAGGCCTCCCTTAATTATTCTCTATACACTCCTATTTTTCTGACCGCAGCTGTTTGTTCGTTCGCCTTAAGTACGCGTCATTGATTTGAAGATGGCAGAGCTTTCCTTTCCAATCCCAGTTGGAATGATGACGATGTTGAAGATGAAGAAGAGGTTAAACAAATTACACTCGCCTACAAAACCTGAGTACAGTACGAGTATCTGTTTGTTTGTATGAATTGTATATTTAAGGCAACTTCAATTGCTTGGCAAGTGGAACACATACAGAGCGCTGTGTGCTGTGGTTCTAAGCAAGGTACATCGGCGTGACTTACAAATGAGACTGGTAAATGTTAAGTAGATTGACTTGATTAGGTGCTAAATATGAACGTGTTAATAGTTATAGCGTCGTCGGCGATTCGTGTAGTGTATGGCCAAGATGATGGCCAGTGAGAGAATAACGACCTGCAAAGATAATGGCAATTTGGTGAGCATTTATCCAGTGGGATGTGGACTGAATTCCATGGCATACTCACATCGAAACCGAGGAGACCCCACTCCAGGTAGCGCAACATGGCGGACTCGTCCGAGTACTCCTCCTCCACCTTGGTGAGGCAGCCAACGGCATAGAGATTCAGGGGATTCACACAATTGTTGCCCTTGCAGCAGCTGTTGGGCACACTGTCGTTCCAGTAGCTGATCTCCAGATAATCCTGGGCACTATTTAGCCCACAGCAGGAGTACTAAAATGGAGGGGAAAGTTTCTTAGATTTTCAAAATATGAGTTAGGGTTCCGTGACTCACTGTCTTCTGGATGCTATCCATGCTACCGGGCTGCGTCTGCTCCAGCTTCCAAGCAGTTTCGACCGTCTGCAGGGCATGCTTCTTCAACACATCCCGTGGCTGGATAACAATGAAGGTGGCTATCAGCACCAGCAACACCACCAGCAGTGATACGTACTGAAATTCCATTGAATTTAATCAATTTTTTTACTTCCAAAAACATATATGTATGTATAGTTTTAATCTGCAAATAGCACATACCGTCCAGAGCATGCGCGGCGATTCACGAACGGCGCCACTGCAGCCAAAGACGGATATCAGGAGCATAATTCCGCCCAGAACGAGAGTGCCAATGGCATAATGATTTGGCATCGCCCCCCACCCGAGGCCGCCAAAGATAAGCACCAATATACCGAGTATCTGAAATATACAAACAAAATATGCCAATAAATCGGGGGAGCTTCAAGTGTGCAACAAACAGATAATCGAGCAATATCAGCTTACTTTTTAAATTGGAGGCGTTATAACATATTCAAAAACACGAATTGAAAGCTTCAAAGTCGAAGCTAAAATGCTCTAAGTCCCCCCATTTTGATCAGTCGTTTCTCAGGTAAACTCAAATATGATGTGTACATTTGTACATATGTATGTAGCATCCAACCGTATAATAATGCTATTACTCATTCTCAATGTTACTTACATACATATATGGAAATGAAATCATTCTAGATTTTTCTTTTTTTTGAAAAAGGTTTCTCTTTCACACAAAACCTATGCCGATGTCTAGTTTGAAAGCTGAGAAATCTTAAAAAATTACTGCGGCTCTGTAGAAAATCGAAAGTCCCTACACTTTGGTATTACAGTGCACTGGTAACCCTGAACAGGCTACAAATGCTCTGACAAATCTTAAGTAATTTGTCAGCGCTGCTTTCCCATCTCATCTCGTCTCTATTGTCAACTCTGTTGACTAATCCGGTTTCCATATTCCCATATTATATTCGTTTTGGCTTTTTAAAAACTAAGCAGAGGAGGAGCATTACCACATTTAACGAAATCGAAATGCATGACGCATTTGAGCTGCTCTGCTGTTGGGCTACTTGGCCAGAGCTTTCCTAATGGCTCAAGGAATGCAAAAGCAAAGCACAAACCATTAACAATAGACACACACACACACACACACACCTATCAACACGAGACTGCGAAATGTAGTCATAAACTAAAGGCACGCATACAAGATGATATCATCTGCGGGCCCAGGTGGAAGTCTAATGGGGAGTATCCAAAGCGATTTCCAATATTAAACAAAATTCCGCTCAAATGTATGTACATATATGTGGTACAAAAAATTTGGAAAAATATTAAAATAAATAATTGAAAGTTTTCTAATACAGAACGCATATGTTTCTAAATGAATGTGGCAAATGCTTTGAATTCTATTTTTTGTGCTCTACTTACCGCCCATAAGGCATTGAACAGGAACAGAGAGTACTTGATGGTGCCCGTTGCGCAGCCCATTCTGAATGTGTTTTTCTATTTTCCTCTATGCCTCTATGGCCAAGTGCTTTTCAGAGAATGCAATCGAGACTCTGTGCAACACGTGCAACAGTTTGTTGTGTTTTTGGGGGCAAGAGTTTTTTCAGATTCCGATAGAAAAACAGCCGGCCAGAATCGGTTAAACAGCTACTTTCAACGGTCGCGAGCGAACTGAGAGAGCTGGAAACTCTGGCCCCGGAATCCGAGTCCGAGGCAGCCGTTGACGTTGCCGCCACGCCGGTCGCCGCCAGAGCAAAGCAAACAAAGTCAGCACACGAACGCACACACGGACCGTAGGCAAACACAAAGAGCAAAGCCAACAAAACCAAAACCACAAAAAAAAAACGCCAAACTCAAAGATCAAACTTTGTTGTTTTTATTACTATATTGCTTCTAATGCTCTTCAGAGTCTCTCACTTTGAAGCTTTCTAAATGAAGAATTTGGCAGACCTACAAGCAGCAAATATATGTACATGCATACATACATACATATATACCGGAATAGCTAAGTTCAGAAACATATTCTTAACATATTCCAAACACGATCAGCAATCTATAGATTCTTTTTTTTTCACCCTAAGTTCAACCAAGCTCAAACAAATTTCATCACTATCCGCTGAGTAACAGCCGATCTGCTAGGGTAACAAATGCGTCGGACTCACAATTTAGCATTACTTAATTGTTTTTTGTTTGTAGTTTTTACACCCTTTCACAGGGTATTACAGTTCAGGGTAGATGTATGCTCCGAATAGAAGAATGTAATGTATTTTCGTTCAATTAAATTACAATATTCTGGGTAATCATCAGCAGCGGTACATATGTATATACATATTTATGTAGGTACATCTCACTTGTGACGCAAAGAGTCAATCAGAATTGACACCACATATGTACATACATACATATATGATTTCACATAGAAGGGTATTACACGTTAATTGGTCGTCGAACAGTTAGGGTATATAAACTTCGCAGCTACTAAGTGAGTTTTTCATTATTTTTGCCATTACTACGGCGGGGTGTTGTTGTTGTTGTTGCTGTTGCTGCTGTCATTCGGAAGCCAAACAAACAGAATGTCTGCCCGGTTGATGAAGGGACGGGGAGGGGATCCGCAGCTGGTTATGCTTGACAGAACTGAAGAGAGCCAAAGGTAAAGGGGGGGTTGTTGTGGTACAAGAGCAAAGTAAGCGAGGAGAGCAGGGAGAGCTCTAAGCTTTCAGTAGCGCCATTGGAGTAGGGTTTCGAAAGGGAGAGAGTACCATCTCTCTCTCTCTCTCTCTTCTCTCTCTCTCTCTGGTTGCACCAAGCTATTTACGCGCGATCGCTCACCGAAAACCGGTGAGATTGATTGAGTTTGATTGCGTCAGAAGATTGAGAATGAATGACGCCAGCAGCAGAAAAACGAAAGATTAGCTCAGTCCCTCCACCGGGGAATGGAATGGCAGCTTCAGCCAAGTTTATTCTAACACAATAATCAGACTGAGAAATTAGATCGGATCGGGGAATCCTTAGTAGTGATAGCGCCTGCGCTGCTTGCGGAAGCGTCCGACCAGATAGAAGGCACCGAGAATCATCAGGGCCTGAAACAGACGAAACCCATTAGAGACCATTAGAGATCAGATGTCAGGGAAGACAGGAACACTCACGGTAATGCCCACGGAAATCCAATTGGAGTTGCTGGCGTAGTTGAAGAGCATCAGGAAATTGTCACTGGAACCTTGGGCACAGCCTGTGGTGAAGTGCGGCAGCTCGTGGTTCCCCTTGGGGTAGCACGTGGTGGGCAAGGTGGCGCGACCGATGATCACATAGTCATCTGGTCCATTACGCCCACAGCATTCGTACTGGAAAGTAAAGGCAACGCTTATCATCAAAAGAAATGGAGACTAAAATGTTAAGTGTGAATACGAACCGTTATCTGATTATGGTCCATGGCGCCCGGTTCGACCAGCTCCAGATCCCACATCTTCTGCACCTCCTCGGATGCAAATTTCCGTATGTAGTCCTCGTTGAACTTGAAGCCAAAGGTGCCCAGGAGAGCAAATATCAGTTGTGCCAGCATGATGAATCCATACTAAAATGCAATTTATTTAGTTTCAAAACGGCGAACATGGAAGTGCCACACTCACCGTTGCGGTCATGCAGACATTTTCCTGACAGATGCCGCAGCAGCCCAGAATGGCCGAAACGAAGATCAAGCCGCCCAAAATGTACACGAAAACGATGTAAGCGAGAGGTACTTGGCCCAGGATTATTGTGGCTATGGCTATCAGTGCTAGACCCACAAGCTGGTTTGATGGCAGAAGGGGCCGAAGGAGAACCCAAATAACAAATGAGATTAGCTTTGGTGCAGTACCAAAAATAAAATGTCAACGACTCGGATCGAAAATGAGATTTCATTGAAGTCAACGTAAGTGAAGCGAAATAAGTAAACTTAATAAATAAATTATATCCAAGGAGAAAATTGTTAACTTCAAATGTACAGTATGTTTGTACATAGATATGTACATACATATATATCTGAAAATAATTTCAAATTATTTCTGCTTTTCGTTTGAGAAAATTACAATAAAAGAGCAATGCAATCACTCTTCAAATATAAATTGAGTTAAAGATCTCATGAAACTTGATCACACGGAATGTGATAAAGCCCATACAAAACTCATGAGCAAATTAATGTATGCGTTCAAGAAAACACACGCCACAAAAACAAAAGTTGTATTCATACCAAAAAAATATCAAAAATATCTGAACAATAATTTAAAATTATTCTGTTTGTTTGAGAACATAAAGGCTGCAACCACTAGGAGTGCCGGTGTAAAACGCGAAACAAGTTTAAAAATGATCCACCCTTTTCTATCAAATTCTAAGGCAAACCACGACTTCAAGAGTTGTATCCCACCAATCAAAAATATCAAAAATATCTCTCAACCTATACAATTACCAGCAATCAATTTTATATGTACATATGCATGTGTATACATCCGATTGAAGTCATCCAAAGTGCTGCAAAAAGCCAAGAACTTACCGCGTTCAGGGAGTTAAGGGCGTTGAGAAAACACTTGATGCAACCGGTAGTGCAGCCCATCTTGGCAAGGTATCGGATATTTTTCTAAACCAAAAAAGAACTTAGCGTAAAATGAAATCCTGAAACTGGTTGGAAAAAGACGTTGTTGTTATAATAAAATTATAATAGACGGACAAAATTAGAACCAGCACGATCGGTGTTCAGAAAGCTAATGAAAACGAAAATTGCAAATAATCTCCCGCAGACGATCGATGTGGATGGGGCCACTGCTTGGAGAAGAGTAATCTCAGCTCTCTTTGCCAGTGCTGCCAAATTTTTGGTGGGGGTGGCGATTTTAAACGGCTGAGTTGACTCGTTTAGCATATGGAAAGTGTTTTATTCTCTAATGGCAAATTCGCTAATCTGATTAGTAGAGTATCGTATCTATCATTCATGCAACATTTATGCTGGATAGCATTTTCACTCAATCGTTGATGTGGCTCTCGTCGTCCTTGACCTTGGTCTTCGCATACTTCCGGGCCCTGCCCATATAATAGGCTGTGAGAATGCCCATAAACTGCAATTATAAAAAAAATAGTTTGGTGATCTCTTCCAATGGAACTTATCATGATTCGCACCTCAAGGCCAATAATGGCCATGCAGCAGTAGTAATTAATACACGCCTGCATCTTCAAATTTTCGTTGGCCTTGGTTACACAGCCCTCCTGGAAGACGTGCGTCGGATTGGAGCAGTCGAAGGCGAAGCAACAGCTGGCTGGCAAGGCGCCGTTCTCCTCGCCAAGGTAGTCCTGCGGTCCCTCCAGCCCACAGCAAGCGAACAGGCTGTGGATGGGCTGCATCTTGTCGTTGCTGTGCGACTTCTCCTCAAACAACTGCCGGATCCGCTCGTCAAAATGCGTCAGCAGATCTCGTTTCATTGCCGTAAAGGTGAAGAAGTAGGAAGCCATCACGGCGATGAGCAGGCCACTAACGAACATATACTACAGGATACACATAAGAAGAATCGTCCCACACACAGCGTCCAGGAATACTCACGAGTACCGAGTACTTGTATGATTCCTTGAGGGCCACATACACGCCGAGAAAGGCGGCACCAAAGACGGCCGATCCAATCAGTGCAGTGGTATAGCTCCCAAAGGTGGATGCTGCCGAGCCCCAGGTGACGACGCCACAGGAAAAGAAGAACACATTGCAGGCCTGAAAATAGGAGACAATTAGAGCATAGGAAAGATAGATATCCTGTGATTCGTTGAAGGGGCTGACACAACTTAAAAGATCATTTCCCCCCCAAATTAGTTTTGTTGTAAGTTCTTTGCACATTGCCGATAGGGAAATCTTGACATTTGCACACACATATATATAGAAATAAAAATCTAATTTGCCAAATCAACTTAATCATAATCAAAAGGGGCCCAAGATTGTGTAAGCAGTTTACATGAAGGGGAGCATCGTGCATATTGAATTGAGTGCCAAGTGCGAACAGCTGTTTGGCTGAAACACAGCATATACATAGGAATAAATGTATAAATATATTTAAAATTTGTTCGATTTGCCTATGGCCATCTCTATAGGCGTCTATCCGCCCAGCCATTGGGCTGGCGCTGCTCTCGTAACTTTGCACTTTTGCACAATATTGATTTTATTTTTGCTTCTTTGACGACACTACCGGGCTGTTGTGCAAGACTTGGATGAGGTCAGGAATGCGACGCTCTGGGGGTGGCAGATGTCACGTATGGGGACTTACCACTATCAGAATGCAAGTGGCGAATAGGGCGTACTTCCAGGGCGATATGGGAAACGATTTCTCCATGCTGTCCGAAAGGGGATCTGTGGTATCAACCAAAGAGAAAAGAACAGACACACATTTTCATGCATGCAATTGCCTTGATTATAAATCGAGTATCTGGATATTATCAGACTCACACAACTGACGGCTGATAAAACGGAAATTTGATTCCGCTGGGGGTCTGTCGATTCGCTCGATTTCCCCTAATCCAGGTGGTGAGAGGCCATTGTTTACTCTAGATTGATGTGATGGAACCCAAGTCTCAATCGGAGCCCGACTCCCCAGGCCCAATTCTGTATCAGTGGGGGGCTCGTGTTTATGCCTCAAATGCTCGCCAGCGACTGAACACAACACAGCCCGCCACCAAGTGTCGCCGTCGGACAGCACTCGCTGAATTCACCTCCGCCCGAGGCACAGAACCCACCGAAACCCAAACAAATACCCGAACATCCCGCCTTTGATGGCAATGGCGCAGCCGCAGTGCCACGTCACATAATGGGTGACTTTTTGGCCACTCGAAGCCACAGCCAACCGTGTCCGGTAAGAAACGAGAATGCAAAATATGGGTGAATTATTTTACTGTTAAGTAAAAGAGTTATATTACAGCATGAATGAAATTTCAAATTTCCTTTGAGGTTTCATCCATCCAGTCACCACTTTCGCGTTGGATCTGCCTCTTCATGATCCTGTACAGCCGCCATCCGCACAGGGCACCATTGGTCTGAAACGAAGAGTCCTTAAATAAGAGTCCAACTGGGCACTGGATATGTGTACGCACCCCAACAATAATGAGCAGCCAGCAGGCTAGTTTCAGGAGGAGCAACTTGCTAAAAACATAATCCGTGAATTGGGACTTGCAGCCGTACGGGTGGAGGGGAGAGTCGAATTCGGAGTCCCCGTCTATGCAGCAGCTCTTGGGCGGATCAAGACTGATCTTTGAGTAGTCGTTGGTGCCGTTCACGCCACAGCACTTTAAAAACTTCTCATAGAACTCAAGGCGTCGTTCCAATGCCGCGCCTCTCCGATCCGCTTCCCACAGGTCGTCGAAGGTTTTGCCGATGAGGGCCGAGCTATTTGCGGCCTCGTAAAGGAGTAGCAGCTGGCTGAATATTTGCAGCATTGCTATGGCCACATACTGGACGAAAATGAAAATTTAGATCCACTATGATTATTGAAAATGGAGCGGAAAACCAGTAAAAATAGCGCGTAGAGCAACAATCGCATAGTGTGCGTATATGTCACTGACAAATACATCATTTATACTCGTGGTTCCATAAATACATACTCACATTTTTTAGACAGTCAGGTGACTCGCTTCCGGCTGCGCCCCTGCAAAATTTCGACAGGAGCAGTCCAAGAACGCCCTGGGCAATGGTCAGGCCGCCAGCCACTTTCTCAAGATTGCTGACCTCGTCGATAAAAAAGGATATGCCACAGACAATAACCACAAGCGAAACCGACTGCACAGGTGAACGAAATGTAAGACACGCAGAATGTGACTGTGTCTGAATTTAACTTACGGCATGAACGATGTTCATCGAGAGCAACATTTTCTGGAGTGACGAGGCCATGATATGAACAAAACGATTGGCAGTCGATAATGTTATTTTGACTGCCAAAAAAGCAGCGAACATTTAGTGAAATTCTATCTGTCAGATCTGTCGGGTAATTCCGTTCCACAGCTTAGATTCAATATATTTCTGAGCTGTGACACAACTGACATTGAAACTGAAACTGTTTTGGTTGTAAATAAAGCAAAGTTTAGACACAAGGAACGCACATTTCGGACTCTTTTGGAGTGCAATCAGTCTGCTAGTGGATTATGATTCTGAAACTTAAGCCTGCGGTTTATAGAACGCGTTTCCATTTCTGATATATACAGAAAATCTACGGGACTATGCGGGTGCAACATTAAACGAACAATATATAGTAAGAAGTATAGCATTGATTCGACCATTCGTAGAAACTTTTCCGAGGTCTGGATTCGATTTCTAGACAAAGTCTGATTTGTACAGCAGCTGAACATTTTATTAAAAATGTGGTAGGAAATCCATCCACAGTAAATATATGAGTTCGGAACGTTTTCTTCACTGAAGGGAACAATCTTCAAAACTCATTTTAATTCTCTGAATGCTGCACTTTAGTGTCGTTCCGTTACTGAAGCCGATGGTCCAGCTGCAGGTTCTCCATTATTTGATAAAAACAACTAAAACAACGATTTAAGCTTTTGAGCTGCTTTCGTCTTTTTATGCATCCGCTGATTCCCACAAGAGAGCACTCCCCAAGAGAGCACTCAACAGAGAGCACATGACATTAGATCAGAACAACTTTTACTTTGAAACTGTGAGTACTTGAGACATATTACAGAATTAAACGATTACTAAATTGCTCATTAGTTTGTGTTGAGTTGCAAAAAGTACAGAGTACAGGAGTGATTAGAAACCAGTTTGTATTATTGTTATTTATCTTAATTTAATACTTATGTAACTTAAGATGTGCCTCACATCCAGACCGCATTGTTGCGTCGACTCTGGTTCTTGACGCTGCTGTACAGCAGCCAGCCGAACACAGCCCCAACAGCCTGAAACGGTGATCAAAATGACTCAGTTACAGTTGGGGGGAGTGGATGTGGATGGAGATGCGACTTACCTCGCCGATGATGAGCAGCCAGCAGACGATCTTGAACACCAAAAGCTTGCCATCGAGATACTCCACAAACTCGGCCTTGCAGCCGGCCTTGTAGACACTCGTACTGTCCACGCACTTGTTGTCCAGGCAACAGCTAGAGGGTATGGCATGGTGGATGATCCAGTAGTCCTCGGAGCTGTTCACCCCGCAGCAGTGCAGCCAGTTCTCGTAGTAGGCCAGGGCGCCGGACTCGTTGCGCTCCGCCTCCCAGAGGCGATCGAAGCCCTCGTTGATGCTGCCCGAGATACCGTCCTTGGTGCCGTGCGAGGCCATGCTGAGGAACAGCAGCTGGGTGAGGATCAGCAGCACCACAACTCCCACATACTGGGGGGGGGATAATAGAGAATTTTACATCGGAAATCGCGCTTGCGGAAGATCAGACATGAGATACTCACAATCAAGAGCCTGACTGGGGACTCGTGAATGGCCGCCAGGCAGCCAAAGACCGCTATGATCAGTATGACAGCGCCCAGGCCAATAATTAGGCCCCCGGCCACGTTCTCACCAATGCTGACTGCATTCTCGGCGGCGCTGATCAAAAAGAAAATTCCAAAGGCAATCAGCACCAGTCCCAGCACCTGCAGAATTCCCAGAGAGACCAGTCAGAGATACACGCACACAGATACACACTACCCACTCATACTACTACTACTACTACTCACGGCAAACACGAAATTGAGCAACAGTAGCAGATGCTTCACTGTAGTGGAGGCCAGACCCATGTTGACTCTGGACGAGGACGCACCGAACCGAACTGAACTGAAATGAAGATGGGAGCTGCGTGCTCTGTGGTTTGCCTCAAATTATACAGAATGCATCAAGCAGGGTTACGTATATGGCAATAGCCAATAGCCAGTTTCAGCTACGTATCCGTATCTGATAGATACAGCACAAGCACAACGTATCTCTCGATTTTGTTCGCTGATCGCTGATCACTGATCTCTGCTGCTGCTGACCGCTGTGTTTCAGTGGCGTGAATCAACTGAAATACTGTGTTTTTGTTTTGACTACATTCTACCTATATGTATCTCTATGTATCTACTTGTATACTCGTAAATCTGTGAGTAAAAATCGAGAGCGGCGCCGAGCATCGCCCACCTAGGTTGGGGCGCCGTCTCCCTTCTCTGTGTGCGAGAGGCTTTCCCATTTATCTCCGGATCACATCTGCTCGATCATTCCTACTCATCTCGTACGCCTGCTGGCCAAAAAAGTTTTCTTGTAAAAATTTTCAGTCAATGGCAACAACAGGTTATTTTTTTTTTTTTTATATTTATTTTCGTTTTTTTTGCTTGCCCCGCGTGGGTGCAAGTTTACAATTTTATGAATGAATACTAGGTATCTGTAGCCTAACTTGATTAATCATCGTAAATTACAATCACAATATGTCAGGGCTCGTGGGCCAGGAAATTACACACAGAAATAATAATAATACAGCTCGAGAAATCGAAAGTAAGAATTATATTTAATTATAGAATCGTACGCGATCGCGATGGTTTCGTATGCTGTCCACCAGGTAGCAGGTGGTCACTGAGCCAGCAAACTGTAATTAAAATTCGAATAATTATTAAGTTTATGCCTAAAATAATAAAAATAGCTATGCAGAAAATGCAATGAATAATGAATAGCAGCAACGTTTGAATGATTGATTTAAATGGATAGGATAGCTTATGTCATAGCTCACCTCACTGAGAATAAGGAACCAACTGAGCGAATGAAAATTCGCCGTTTTTTCGCTGAGATACTCCTTGAACTTCAGCTCACAGCCCGCCATATACAGATTCATGGGCTTCGTGCAGTCCAGATTGAGGCAGCAGCTCACTGGCAGGTCCTTGTCTAGGTGTATATAGTCCTCGGCACTGTTGCGCCCACAACAGTGCAGCTAAAAAGACTTAAAGTAAAAAGATTGAAAGAAATTCTGTGGGATTGCGACTCACCCACTCCTCGTAGGTGTTCAGGGTGCTGTTTTCCACATGCTGATGATCCCACAGATCGTCAAAGCCTTGCCGCAGTGTGTCCGGCAGTGTGTCCCTGCTGGCGGCAAAGCTGATGCTGAACAAAACAAACTGCACCACCAAGAGCAGTACCAACAGCACCGCATACTGCAAAGAAGAGTGCAGGGATTCAGATGGGCATCATTGACGGGGTATCTCAGATCACTTACGCAGATCAACATGGTCCTGGAGTCCATGCCCATGGCCACACAGCCAAAGATGCTGGCCACAATGATGACACAGCCAAGCAGGATGCAGAGCACGCCGGCCAAGTGCTCGCCATGATCCAAGATCAAGACGCTCTGCTGTTCGGTGAGACTCTCTAGCAGCCAGGCTCCATACCAGATGAGCAGGCAGCCACCCACCTAAGCAGATCCATCGATTCCAATGTCAGGCGTTCATTTACTATTAGTCAGGACTATTTTTAAGCACTTACAGCACAAATCACGCTGATGACACACAAAATATATCTGAGAGGGCGGCTGCTGCAGTACATGATGCCGCCGTAGAGTGAGAGGGAGATCTCAGCTAATAATCGGAATTTTCACAAGAGTTTTTCCGCTGGGGTCTAGCACACCTTGGGCCTTGCCATCAAATCATCGACTAAAGTCCCATAATCTTCATTTGTTTGTCTGAGGCGGACGACAAAGCGTTGGGAAACGATTAACTCAATAGATACAGACAGAGATTTTTGTGTGGATGTCTCTGTCGCCATCCATCTGTTCCGGTCCGAACCGTTGCAGTGGCCAAAATACACAGAGAGAAAGACAGAGAGTTGTTTCGGCATAGATAAAAGCTCGGGGGAAATAAAGAATATCGAATATAGAATACGAGAAATGAAAATTAGCGTACGGCGACCGCCCACGGATCTGCCCCACAAACATGAGAGACAGCATGTGTCTACCCTCACCTTGTGCCCCATTCCCCCCTCCCCCCGCATAGCAGCGGGCCCGTCATCTTATTTATTATCCGAATGATGTCAACAGCAGTTTTCCCAAAAACCAGAAATGATATACCCGAATCACCCAACGAACTACGAAGAATTCTTTTATTTTGGCTTTTCGAAATATTGTTACAAAAGATTGTGGCTTAAGTCGAGCTTAGATTAGATTAAATTACAATGTAAATGGTTAGTTCTCGCCCTAAGACTACCATCTTTGAATACATTCGATGCTGATGCATCAAATACCCAGAAATATCCTCATTGATAGACATCTTTTTGAAATTTCTAACGTTTTGGCTTCAGGTATTTGCATTGCGAGTTCTTTGGCCTTAAGTGTGCGTGCTTTAATGTTGGTTTTAATGTTGATTGAAATGCATTAAACGCAAAAATGTTGTACACTAATTTGGCATTCATTTCTGGTAGTATTTCGAGCGACGCCAGCGATTCACAATGCTGTGGGCCAGGACATAGGCCAGCAGAGCACAAATGATCTAGAAATTATAAAAGTAAAAAAGGTTAATGCGAATTCAACTGTATGACCGTCCCACACTCACCTCCACTCCCACCAGAACCAGGGAAACAAAGTTGAAGGTTGTCCAACGTGCGGCAATAAAGTCCAGAAACTTTTGCCGACAGCCCTCCAGATTGAGTTTGTCGGTCTGGTTGTTGTAGCAACTATTTGGTGGCAGAATATAGTCCTTGGGTCCCACATTGCCACAGCAGTCCAACTGCAATGAAGGCATCGCCCAGGAGATTAAAGAAATGCCGAGTTTTAAGATCCAAACAACTCACCCAACGCTCGAGGCTGGCGATTTGGCTCTGATTGCCGGGCTTGATGGGCACGGGCTGATCGTTCCACAGCTGATCGAAGGTCTTGTCCACGTTGATCAGCAGCGATGTTTGGAATATCCACAGGAAACCCACCACCAGGACTTCCAGCACAATCAGGACTATCAGAATGAACACGAACTGGGCAAAGGAAAATAAAGTTTAGTCTAGTAAATGAAATGGCAATGGCAATCTCTGCACTTACAGTCTTTGAAATGTTGCTGCTCTCGCGCGCTGCCCCCAGGGCGCCAAAGAGGGCGGTCAGCACCACAATCACGCCCAGGCCAATGATGACGAAGGCGGCGGTGTTGAAATGCTCAAACTTATAGACGACGTGCACCCCAAGGCCGATCACAATCAGGCCGAAAATCTGCCGAAGGGAGAGCAGAGCGGTGGCGAATGCTTGATTAAATATTGCCCAAAGGTGATAAAAGTCTATATACAAATTGCTGTATTGAAGGTCATCATGCTTAGATCTAATACTCGTATGCAAATTGCGTTTGTTGGAATATTTTCCACGTGCCTTCCCCGTGGATTACTCATACGCAGCACTGTCGCAGACTGTACATTTGTATACTCTATCAAGTGATCAGTAATGTTGTATGCTGTACGTTTTCTTTCTTTGCCGGTGCGGCCATCGAATGTCATCATAAATTACGTATACGTCGAGTGGAAGCCAGTGATCGTTTGCCTCTCACTTGCACCGCTAGTTGCAACTTTAAATTTAACGCAGTGACTCACCCATCCAAGCCACAAATACAATGCGAAATTTCACACACTTCTGCCAAATGTAGACTGTTTACGGATTGCCATTTGGCAGTTTGCCCAAAGCCCCCCCGAAATAAACTATTCTCCTGCCGAAAGTGAGTGGATGAAATGCGTAATAATTATATATTTCCACGTTGCCGATGATCTTTGCATTCAGCAACCTGTTGCCACCAACTGTTTGTACATTGTGTGTATACAATTATAGTTACAACTGTCGGCAAAACCAGTCGCCAGAATCGTTGACTTTGACGTGACTTGTTTGCTTGCTTGTTTGTTTGTCACTCGAGCTCGAGCATAGGCAATAGGATAGGCAATGCCTCACCTTTAAAGCGGCTCCAAAATCAACTTACGGCACACAGTGTACTTAAAATTATGAATGATTTAGCCGATTAATCAATTGGGCGCACACAAATTTGACCGATTTTGTCTGTAATCCATAGCCAAGACCGTTTAGGGATTGCTTAAAAGTGGTTAAAGCCAATCAATGTTGAGCTTGGACTGTGCATATTCAATGAAGACTACAACTGAATATGGTCGGACATTAAAGCATTTACATTAATTGAGTTATAATCGAAAAGGGGTAATCGATAGAGCCCCATCAATTAACGTTTATACGACAGTGAAGATGAGCTCCAGACATCTGGCATTACGTGGTATCTGTGAGTATATGAAGACACAACGCCATTTAATTGTAATTTATTATGATCCGGCACCCGATTTCCCAGTAGAGACCCAAAATTCAAGGGCTCTGAGTTAGGCAAAACAACAACTGCGTCATCGAATGAGGAATCAAAGCACGGAGGGCACGTTCTACGGAGAGCCTCCATGGAAATTGGGAACAAACAAATAGCTTGACTCGCTGTAGAAAAATGGAAACGAAGCATGCCCGAATCTGGAATTGCTTAAGAACATTGAACCATAATTAGACTTTGTAATTGCCAGCCAAATGTTGAGACTTAATTCGTAGCAGAACTATACAAACATTAGCAGGTTTTATGGGGTCTGAACTCAGCACTCAACTTTCGTTTGATATCTAAGACTGTCACAAGTGCTTAAGGCACTAAGGAGACACTCACGATCAGGTGCTGTCCCATAAAAAAACAAATGATAAGAACTTAGAGTTGGCAACATGGAGACAGTGCAACAAGCCAAAAAAGCCAAAAAACTTTTATTAATTTGCTCTCATTAGGCAATTCAAAGCAATTATCACTCGAGTGCGCAAGGTCAGACTAGTGCGATAAACTATATACATACATACATAAATAATTTGCATGTCGGCTGATTAGGTTGCCGTCTCTCTACAGATCGGCGAGTGGGTAGATCGATTGCCAGAGCCAGTACATAAAATAAATGCCCAAAAACGAAGCCAGACATACAAACTATGGCAGCTGTCATTGAGTTACCCATTTGCCAGAGATTTATGTGGGTTTCTGTTACTCGCCATCGGAGGGGGCACTGGCACCAGCACCAACAGCAGCAAGGTGAGACAAAGGCTTGGCCCTACCCAACAGCATAGCCTACTGTCCCCCACACCCAAATGAAGTAATACTGGGCCTCGGCCCTCAGCATTATTGAAATCTCTCGTCTCGCCAATCAAAAGTTAACTCGCCTGGAACCGAATGCGGAAAATTGCTCATACGCCACGTTGTGCGCGCAGGCATTTCCTCAGCCTTCGGCCGCATTCCAAATTGAAAAAATTCTAGAAATATGCCCAAATCATCTAAGAAATGACATCAACACGGGGGTATATGTAAAAGTAAAACAAACTAAGACAAACGAAGCTACGAAAAAAATCAAATAGAATTCTATATCTTTTTTGGTTCAGGGTTAAGTAGTAGTGGCAGGCGGGCGTGGGTGACCAAGTTTTGCTGCCAGCAAAAATGTTGGAAAAAACAAACATATAAAAAGCTCAGCAAGAAAATAAACAAAAGCACTAAATAAATAAAATATTAAATCATTTTGAGCTCAAAGATATTTTTATACAAAACTGTTACGGAGAAGGACAACTTCTGGAAAGCTTAAACGGAAACTGACCAGATGGACAGAACTGGATAATCGACAAAATTTTGATGGTTTTATGTCTCGAATTTGCATTAAAATGCGCCAAACCAAAAACCAACCCACAAACAGCCTTCAATATTCATTTGGATGGCTGTTAACTAAACGAATTGAAAAACTATCCGACTAGATAATATCAATAGTTTTTATAGCCCAATGTTGATGTTCTACGCTATCAAATAAACAATTGCCATCCCCTCCCACCCCACACGACCCCACCACATCAAACACTGATGTATCTCTGAATGAACTTGGATCATCTGAGGCATTGTCTGGGCGGTATTATTATTCTACAGCAGGTTCTGGCATTTAGCCAAAGGCAGACAAGACTCAAGTCGGTTCAGCTGGCCGCAGTAATTTCCCTGCAATTAGCCTTGGCCAGTTCCAACCTTTAATTCGTATCTTAATGCTATCTGGGGTCACACAGAACTCGCATCTGGCTCTGAAATTCAGAGGATCCCGGTACTTACAGCATAAATGATGTCCCATAAAAGGGCAAACCCTTTCAGCACATTGGTGGAACAAGCCATTTCTGATTATCCAATCTCTAACAGCACACTATCTATATATGCTATGTACTATATGTTTCTATAAAGATGTCGGTGCACAAGTAGATATTTTTATCGAATATACAAGTGTTTTATTTATTCTTCTCGTGCACTTGGCAACTCGCGCGGTTTGTTGACAAACGGAAAAAATATTCAATCTATTTAAACGGTTGCTCGTGGTTACCGAAAACCCGGTAAATGTTCTCCGCGCGAATGTTAACTGAAAACTGTGCGCTTCGTTCCACAGTTGATGATAGCGCGAAAACATTGGCAACGAAACAAAACGAAAAGCTTTGGTACGAAACGGAATCGAAACTGGCCGGTTCGGCGTTTTCCACACTTATCTATGTGCGCATACATATGTACATAGGTAGTACATACATACATATATGTATAATGAAGTATTTGAATAAAATAAAAGCAAAGCTATAGCCATTTCTGTTCTATTTTTATTTTATTATTTCGCATATGCAACTCTCGGGCTGTTTTGGCATATAAAATAAATCAGTTTTAGTTTAATTTTTGAGCTGTTAGCAGAAGAATCTGTTTTACATATCGCTCTCAGGGCAAAGTTGTTCGTATGGATAGAGATCCAGTCGATGGGACATATCTATTCATTTAGGAAATTTGTAATTTTATCTGCACAACCGCATGAAAAAATGCAGCCCGTTACCTGATCATCGAGTGGATGTGTGCAAGAAGGTTAGGCCACGCATATGCCAGTATGATCCTTAGTTGTCCGAATGGGGTATGAAACCGTCGGGGGTAGAGACATATGCTTACGAGACTTAAAAGTCTTTGATTGTGTTTTTTTTTTGCATATGGTTTTCTACGTTTCTATGTTGGTCTGTAAATGATGGGGCAAAACCCATTCCATTATTTAATACTTTTCTTTGACTGTTTTATTTAGAAATATATTCAAATAAATAATATTAAAATTAATTCACATTTCTTAGCCTAACAATTGAGTGTGATGTACAGCTAACATTTGCATTGAAATTATTTTGTGAGTTAGATAAGCAGTGTAGTGTGTGTGTGTGTGTGTGTGTATTGCATTCTATTTGTATCTCCCGATTTCCAGCTTTATATGTTCAACAGTAGTTTTAAAAGCTTTTTTTAAGGCTTGCTTGCGTCTTACGAATCTCGTTGAATAATATAATAACAATTTTGTTTAAAAAATAACCAATTATTTGGCAAATGTTGAGGGTTTCGGGATAGTCTTAGAAATACGAACGTCGCTGATCGTTTCGAATGCTGTTGCACAGCCGAATCGAGATGACGCTGATCAGGAGCTATGAATAGAAGAGAAAAAGTTTGTGTGGTTAGTGTGAGGAGCTTCTGCGGAGTCTACGGATCACCCACCTCGATGCCAATTAGCACACAGCCGAGAATATTGAAAATTTGCAACAGTTGCAGCCAATAGTTTTCGAACTCCACTCGGCAGCCAGTGTGGATGAGGTTCTCGGCCTTGCTCTTGTCATGGTTGCGGAAACAGGTCTCTGGGGGCAGTCGCTCGTTGACAATATAATCCTGGGGACTGCCACGACCGCAGCATTGGAACTGTAAGGAGCAGAGTTTTACACAAGAGTTTCACAGAAGCTACAAATTCTGGCACTTACCCAGTTCTGATAAATGGACATGGCGCCGGGACTGCTGAGCTCTTCCTCCCAAGTGGCCTCCAGCGGGTTGGCCAGATTGGAGGCCACAGACTTTTCGTTGTGGATCAGCAAAAACACCACAGCAAACTGGGAGGCAATAATTAGCCACAAGAACACAACGAACTGTAACAACAAGGATATCCATCATTAGAGACATCAGCATAGAAATAGTTGGAAAGAGTTTTTCACCTACCGTGACAGTGCAGCAAACATTTTCCTTCCAAGCGGACAGATAACCCCACAATAGGATTACCAGGGCCACCGCCCCCAGAAAAATAAATCCGTAAGCCGTCAGATTTCCAATTTCGTTCAGATCATAGGACACCACCACATAGATGCCAAAAGATATCAGCACCAGGGCCAGCAGCTGTAGGTATGGGAAGCAAAAGCAAAACAAATTAATAATTGGCGGCAACAATTCCAGAAACAACGATTCCACTTCAAGGCTTTTTGCCCTCAGACACGCCAAAAGTAAGGCACTCAAACGGGATAGGCGCCCAGCAGGCTAGTCGGACTGGCGTCCGGGCATGGTGTGTGAGAATGAGGGAGGGAACAAATTATGCCAGGCGGTGTAATGGGTCACATGGAGGTCGCCCTGCGATGGCTATCCGTTTGTCAGAAAACCATCCTGACAGGGATTTGCGCATGCGCTGTAGACAAGGTCATCTATGTAGTTAACATTCATATCGGGTATCTAAGATTTGGACAATCTGATTGTTTGAATGGTTTTAAATTATTCGAAATTTTTTAAAAAAGCCAGAGAATTATTCACGATTAATGACGCAAGCGTTTTTATTTTTAGCCGGTTTACGTTGCACAAACATCGATGTGTCAACACTGTTTTCAAGCATTTCCTTTGAAGTTAGGTAAAACTTAATTGCCATCGATTCGTCTGGTTAGAGAGGGCAGTACAATTAATAGAACGTCATTGATATTCCAAACTAGCCTGATTAATTTATTAGCTAAAAGCAATAGAGGCCTAGCAGGAACAGCTGCCAATGGCACCCATATCGATTGGACATTCAAAATGGATGAGCCCACTAGTAAGTGTGATGGATAAAAGAAGCGCATTAAATATGCACTGACCTTCAGGCCCATCTGTTTGTTCTCACCGTTGCTTGCAATTAAAGACGTATAAATAAACCAAACAATTAATAATCTTCGAAACTTGTTTGCCGACAGATATGTAAATACATATATACGCACATGTTTACTAAGGTGGAACCGTCCTAGCAACACAATTTGATGAATGATATTTATGCGATTCACACTCCAAATCTATGTACTTTTCATTCATTTTGCAGCGATAACAACCTCATAACGGTATTGTGGTCACTGCATGATTTTTCGTGCGTTTCTTCTATCAGAACACAAAAGATACTACCACACATACATACATGTACGTACTGCTCCACGGCACAGAATTAAATTGCGCCAAGTGGTTTTGCGATTGTGGCTGGGGTGTTTACAACAGGTCAATTGACATAATTGCCTTCCCCGTCGCAAATTGAAAAGAAAAGCAAAGGAAAGAGGAGTGCTTGTACTTACCGCGCAAACTATGTCCAGGGCATAGACGAACAACTTGAGAGCCGATGTGGACGACATGATGGCGGCAGCGGCGGGTGGTTGAGCTTATTGTTTGGTTCTCTGGATGATGCTTCAGCTGGCGAATACCTGAGATTTCTGGAATTCCTAGAATTCCGTGGGGGAACGGACGCCGAAATTCTACTGGGCCTGGGTGGGAGAGCAAGCTGCTTGCGCAGTGGAAACTTGTTTTTATTTTTGCTTTTTATTTTGCCTCTCCTGCGTGCGCTCTCAGCTCAGAAGTTCAGCAACTCTCTGTCTGCTCTCAATGAGATCATAGCGTAATCAATGGAGGGTAAGTGCTCATGCTGTCTCAATGTAATTCTTCGAAACGCCAAATCGTTGTCACTTATCAATGTTCAATGTTTACACCATTGCCCACTATAAACACCGACTAACTGCACTTTCCCACCTCGTTTCGTTTCGTATCGAGTTGAATGACTCAGTGGTATTCTCTGTCTGGCCCTACCTTCGGCACGAAGCAATGCGTAGAGCCGTTTTTTCTCTGTTGAACGCCAAGTTTAAAGTGAGAGCAAAAAGCTGTAGTACCTTTGGCTTTTCTGAAAAGCTCCGAGACGTGCGTTGCCAGACCAGACCAATTGCTATTAACAGAAATCAAATGAAAAGAGACGCGACTTTTAAGGCCTGTCCAAACGTGTCAGCAGCAGATATGAATGGGAACTGAATTTATTGTAATTTTAATAGTTTAATCACAATTTATTAAGGCTTGCCACATTTTCACGATAGAATGTAATTACCACATACATAGTGCACATGTTGAAGGCTGTACGAGATAATCATACTTTGGTTGTTATTTATAAAAATATAAATTTTAGTTACCCTCAATATATAGGCAGGTAATTCCAGCGTAAGCATCAAAGGATTCGCTATATTGCAAGGCAAATCGTATATTCCAGACGATAAACATAAGATTAACCAAAGTAGACACCAAAACCCAAGTAAAAATGACAACCTTTAACTAGAGTCGAGTGAGTTAAAAATGTTATAATTTTAAGTGTGTGTTATAAGAGTTTACAAACAAACCTTTAATTTTCCGCACACTAATGATAGACCATAGGCAGAATTGGCTAATTGAACGATTCCCAGCATTACCCACATGTTTAAGAGTTCTTTAAAGTAAATATACAAAAATTAAGTAAAACAGATTATCCATTATATTCAAAGACATATGTTATGTACCTTCATCGAGTATCTCTTCTTCGGTAATCAATATAATTACCACATTTATTGCAAGCAAACCCAATAGATAACCATTGAAACCCAGAAATGTAGCAAAGAAAACTATCAACAATTTTCGACTCATCGCAAGGAGGGTTGAACATGCAATAATTTGGTAGTACGAGAATACTTCCATGCGTAGCAATATGCTCCAGTATATTACCTAATTTGATTAAATTCTACTATTATCATATCATTCAACGAAAGTGTTTTTAATAGATATTTATTTTGTGTTCCTATTTCATTTAACTAATGGAATCCATTGACAAAATAAAACACCTAAATATGTATATTTTACTTTGCTGCTTCTTCCATGGAGCATTTTTTCAGGTTTTTGCAATTCGTGCAAACCAATGCCAAAACATATATGGCAAAACCTAGAAGAAGGAAATACAAATGCGAATCAATCAATATCCCAATTCCGGGTACTCCTGCATCCCTACATACACATCTGTAATAAATGAAGAGCCAAGTAGCGTTCCCAGATCTGCATGCTCTCCAAAATGATTATAAAAACCATCTCGATCTCGACAATAGCAAACACCACAATCCAGAGACAGAGCAGCAGTTTTATCTGAAAGCACACAAAATATTGGAAGAGATTGTAATTATCACATACATATCTATGTATCTCAGTACACCTACTTTCAATTGCACATAATTCAAATAGAGTCCAGTTCCAGCGAGCAGGAATGCCAAAAATTCTAAATCGTACACATGGTCCTCTGGACCAATATATTTATTGTACATTTGTTGGTCAAAATAATATGAATATATATAATAACTGTTAAAATTAAGCGTCAAAAAACCAATCAACAAAAATAAAAGACAGGCTAAAACGGAACACATTGGCTGGCACATTCTCGATGTTTTTATTCTAGAAGGCGAAGGCATACTAACTTCCCTCCCTATTAATGCTACCTTCTCATTATGTAGTGTATCTGCATTATCCAATAACTTAATTGACAGGTAATTCAGCATATGGATGGGCTGGGTTGGCATAATTAGGAACCGATCGAAACCAACAATTACTTAATTGCAAAGAGTTATGCAAGAACAGAAAAAAAAAGAATTTTATGTTTTATAGTTATATATCAGAGATTTACACTGTGCCTAGGCATATATTTTATGTCGATTATTTTGTGCTGATCCAGCAGGAACTGTAATGGCCTTTAACGCGCTCTTGATCCAACGATTCCTTATGATGTCTTTGCACACTAGCACGTGTAATATTACTGTTATAAAGCTGCTCACCAAAGTTCCTAAGGAAATATGTATGGAGATAATGTAAGTGTAAATAATTTCCACCTTGAGAATAGTTTACCCACCAGAACATATTAGCGTCACCTGCCAAGTCAGACTATTACTAAGGAGTTGTGCATAAACTATATAACCAAACATTAGGACAATTACATGGGCAGTGACAATCAGCCAATTATACAGCACATGAAATTCCTGGAATACAAACCACTTTAAGTGCTTTAAGTTGAAAGAATAATCGATTTAACTGACCTTATAATTGCCAGATACCCAAAAGAATCCGCTGCTTCCATAAAGAGCGAACAATATCATAGTGGTTTCGAATGAATGGGGTTCACAGTACTCCTCCTCCCAAGTGTCTAACAGTGAGCAGCATTATTTCAATTTATAATGTTATTTAATATATAGCACTTACAAAACCGAATACAATCTACCAGGCAGGGCAAATAATTGGAAAAAAGTATCCAAGTTAGTGTAAAGTAAAGGCTGAGCGCCAGATAACTGAAAACGTTGCAGATCATGCTCGAAACAGCTACGAAACTCAACTGGAATACAAGTCATAAAATGCACGGATATGGAGTGTCTATGATGTATCATTAATACTCATTAAGCAGAGCCATTACCTTTGACTATCACTCGCATTAATTCGAAATTAAACTTCCTCTCGTCTGGCAAAACAAGAGACTGTCAAGCAGCCAACAATCATGTAACCTTAAACCAAATGGATTAGCAAACAAATACCAAATACATTTTATATTCGCATACCCAGTGCGAAATAATTGCGAACCATCTCATGAGTGCCATAGAACTCATCCTGATAGTCATGCAGAACCAAGTGATATGCAAGGCCAGCTACAAAATAGATACATGTCATGAGCACCCACCACTGCAGATAGCAAAGGTCCTATATCGAGGTATATAGAAGATTATATATCCTAAAGTGTCACGTTCTGATCATATCAAACCTTGAATTTGACTATGGTCAGCAGCGTCCCGCACATACTATGAAGTGTCCAAGCATTAAAATAGTATTTCATCCTGAAAAAACAGTTTAATCTGTCTAAGGGAGTTACTGTTAGTTAAGGTAGAGCAGGTTCATTTGGCGCATAGCTTACAGGAGGTTCCATTACGAATATCCCGGAAGTCCGTCAGCATATTACAGATTATGATCACGTGCATCATGAGCGATGCAACGAAAAGGAAAGTTTTTAGACAGTGTTGAAGCACACAGCACATAACCGATGCGGCAAGTGAACTGAAGCAAAACTTTCACCAGCAGAGCAGCTAAAAGTGCGAACACTTAGGGCTTAGATGGATACAGATGACAGTTCAATTAATGGGAATGGGATGTGGGCCTATATGGTACCGCCCATATGTAGGTACAGACATATATAAACAGACACTGCAGGCCATAAAGTTTAGTGAAGCGAATAAGGCCAATAGGTCGGTGCCAGTGCCAGTGCCATGGAAACTAAGGACACAACAAAGCCCTGCGATTACAGCTGCGGGCATGTATACCAGTGAAATTATATAATAACATGGTTGGGTGTATATAAATACATAGTAAATGCTTTATTCATAAATGTTGAATGCTATTCGAGGTTCTCGCTGACCTGATGCATTTTTACAAAAATTCAAATCTTATCCAGAGATTCTACTATACAAATATGAATAGAATGAACAGTGTACATATACATGTGTGTATGTATTGTATATTTAATAACTTTATATAAAGGTATATTTCATTTGGAGCGGTTATTTCTTTTTCAACATTTAAAACAAACAAACAAAATTGGTTATGGTTACATTTCTGTGTGGCTCTACCTCCATTGGTTTTCTTTTCGTTCGGATTTCGGTTCAACAAGTTCGTATGGATTTTACAAAGGCTTTGGGAATTGCATCGCTTGCTCTTCAGCATGCAAATATTTATACGAATTATTACAATAATATATAGGATATAAAAAATGTAAGCGTTTCATATCGCCTTAGACTAAGCATTTTTCTTGTCTACTCTTTCGTTTTTTGTTTCTTCTTTTTTTTTTTTTTTGACAAATAATTTAATTATTATCAACCAAATGGTTTACTTTAAAGTGTTTTTTCCCCTTCTACTTTGCTTCAGTTTTCAAGTTTGTTGTGTGTGAGTGTGCGTTCAACGACGATAAAGAATTAATGAGAATGTGTGTGTGTGTGTGTGTGTAAGTGTTATGTGCGTCTGCAATGCACAATGCCTTAGTATGCATTCCGACGCTTGTAGTTGCGCACATTGTTGGCCAAGCAGCAGGCGAAGATGAAGCCAACCAGCTGTAATTGTAATTTGATTATTAAACGAGCTCCAAAGGTATAATCTGATGGCAGCACTCACCTCAACTCCAATCAGTCCGATGGCAACATATTTGGCGGTGTCAGTGCTGACAGACATAAAGTCGACGAACTTGCCACGGCATCCTCCATAAATGTTAGCAGGGTTCAGGCAGCTTCCCTCGCAGCAGCTTTCGGGAAGCGTCTGCAGATTGATCAGATAATCGGCCGAAGAAACACGACCGCAGCATTTCAACTAGGATGGGGAAGGAAATTTGTTAGAATTGCAATAAATCAACATACACTTTTGCGTTGAGTACTCACCGATTTCTGGATGGCATCAAAGACACCTCCCTCACGGGCCTCACGCGACTCCCAGGCCTGGTCAATTACATTGCCCATGGCATCGTTAAATTTGTCCTTGTTGGTGTACAGCAGCACCACAATGGTCAGCTGCAGGATCAGCAGGATCAACAGGAAGACGGCATAGCTCATGGTCATGCACACCGACTCACGTATCGCTCCACAGCAGCCCAGGAACGAGATGAACACGACAATCGACCCGAGGCCAATCAGCACGATCGGCATGAGGGCCTGCGGGGGGAAGCCCACCTGTCCATTCACCTCAATGGTGCCAATGCTCCTGAGGATCAGCACGCCATAAACAATACTCAGAATGCCGATAACCTGTGGTCAGACAGAGAGAGAGAGAGAGCGAATTCATATGGTTAGAGAGAGTGCTTCTGCAGTGTAACTATCGATCGAGACCAGCTGACAAGCTACAGCCCCGCCGTAAATGGCTCGCATTGCACAAGTCTGACAGCGGCTGGCTGCAGCCAACACTTGCAGCTAAATATAGTTCAAATTAATCAGCTCCGCCGCTCGTTTAGTTTAATTGAAAGTGGAGTGCAAGGGAGCTGCCAATTACCATGCTGAAAGACTTAATTACCGCCGAGACCCGAAGCTGACCTCAGGGATCCCACCACAAGCCGTGTCCAGGCACGCCATCGGCCCCGCCGTGGTTATTCCCCTTCGGATAACTAATGATAATTAAAATAAGTAAACGCGTTACGTAATACCTAGTTAGCAGTATAATATTGGGCTAAAAATTTTATTTGATGGCAAACACAACTTTTGCAGAGAAGTGGCGATTAGATAAGGTGCACTGAACAGAGATGAACGAGGGCCCAGAGTAAGCCTTAACCTTCACTCATCTCCCACATCCCACATGACATTCACATTTACACATGACAATGCTGCTGGATAAATAATCTTCACAAGGTCTAAAGTGCACTGCAATTTGGGGGGGTTTTTTTCATGACGTTCGACGGTCCCAGAACGAGAGCCAGACAATGCAAAAGCAACTTTGATCTTTCAACGCCAACGACTGATGTACGAGTATTAATTGAATTTACTTGATTTCATGATGCATACAAGAGCTCGTTTACTTAAACATCTGTATCCATATTGTATATTGTATCTGTATCTGAACACGTTCTGTTTGTGTGCGGCCAGTGCGGGCAGTGTGTGGGCAATGCCTCAATTTCCACTCGTTTAGAACTCGAGAGCGAACAGAGATCGGAATAAATATCTTTGTGGGCGGCAGCGGCTGGCTATGAATGATTTCATGTCAAAATTGACCCAAAAATCGCATTGTAATATGAAAACAAAGTGAGTGTTGGCCGCTCTGCTAATTGTCCCACTTTGTCTACACTAATCAACAGAAATACGAGTAATACTCGAGAGTACTGCAAAAGAAATGAAAAGAGTTCGCCGACTTGGAACCCGTTTTTGGAAGCCAGCTTTTCCTTTCCAACTTTTACTTAGCCCCGTTTTTCGCTAACGAGGACATTACACAATTCATATCAAAATGGCCGAGACAGAGAGAGAGACAATGTTGTGTGCCACATTCCACAGAAAGCTGTCAGCGGCAGCTTCAGCTTCAATGACGTCAGACGGAAATGAAAATGGAATGCAAATTATTTTCACCAAATACCGAGGACCCCAACCATTCAACAAAGGTCTGGGATCATTAGGAGAGTGTGTGCCCTCCCCAAAAAAAAGAGCAGAAAACAACCCTCCAAAATAATATTAAAAGTAGTTGGCAAAGTTTTTCTTACTGCAATAAAGAGATGGATATATATTTATATGTATATTTTTATGGGGCGGGACCACACCCAGAACTCAGAATTGCGTTGTTTGGCGCCAAATTATATCTTCTGTGTCCATCGCAGCGAACAACAAGTGACAGAGATGGGCATACAAAGATAGAAAGTGTGTGAGACTGAGAGAAGAGTTGAGCATTATGCAACAGGACACAGATATGCGTGTGTAGAACGTGTAATTGAAAGATGACAATTAAGACTTAAATTACCCCAGACATGCAATTGGGATCTGATAGGCATACACAAACTCCCTCAACACACAGACAGCCTTTTCCCCCTGCACAACTTTTGGTTTTTCTCAGAAAATGGACACACAAATTATTTATTTAGTTGCTCAGAAACACACAGCAGACCACAGGAAGTTCCCATATACGTATGTCTGTACATATGTATAATATATGAGTATAACCGATTCATTCGCTGAGTGCAGGTTATTCATAATCCATACAATGATAATACACATTCGCAGTGCTGTACTTAACTTTTCGCTGAGTTTACCAGCTGAAACAATTACCGAGAACTCGGAGCTGTTGCACTTAATGGCCGCCAGACACAGTTCAGGTTTGTCATTAGCCATGGCTGCAATTGTCGCCTGGGTTCTAACTCGCACTCATTTCAATCCACAGACGTGCGGAGAATACAAAACTTGAATCTATGGGGGTATTTACACAGAAACCATTCCATAGTCATAGACACAGTACAGTCATAGCCATGTTTTGTACTTGGCTTTTTTTCTCTTTATATGCGCAGAGGGTATTTGTAATTTTGGTCAGTTGTTTGTAACACAAAGAAGAAACTTCAACAATATATAAACTCATATAACGTTTAGAGGCTATATTTTATAGGCAAACAGAATATTGATGTTTAATTTTGTTTGTGCAACAGACAGTAGTTAACGTTTCACTTGACTTTGAGAAATATGCCCTAAATAGTTGAATAAAAGTTTAATGGTCCTCAATCTACTAGGGTGTATTCAGTTCGGGGTGCGTAAATTGTTTTTCATGCTTTTGTTGCAAAATGTTTTAGCTTTTGTTGATATAGTGGTGGTTGCTATGGTTGTTGCTGTCTCCTCGAGCGTTGCGGGGTCATTGTTGGTGTGGGTTTTGTTGTCGCTACGCGGGGCCGGCTCTGAAAAAGGCGGCTTGGCTTGCTAATTATTTGGTCCGGCTGTCTGTCAGGTGTGTTATGTACTCGAATACAGCAGATAAATAAGTGTTTGCACACAGCCATGCACTGCAAGTGTATCGGTGTACTCCCCCGGAGTTTCTTGCACGTGTAAATGTAGAGTATGGAAACAAAAAAAAAAACAAAAAACTGCTGTCTCGACAACAACCAGTTGATTGTTCTTGTTCTTTTTCTTGTTTTATCTCGTTTCTCTAGAGCAACAAGTTTTTTTTTTTTTGTATATCTCGTTTCTCCTTTTTCCGTTTTCCTTTTGTGATAAGTTTCTGTCTTATTTACGCTCTTGAGTACATAAGCATTTTTTTATATATTTTTAAGTTTCGCTTCGGGTTTTCAGAGTTTACTTTTTGTGATTCACGCGGCGTTAATTTTGCGAGCCCACAACGAATACTAAATATTCACAAATTTTTCTTTACTTTACGATGAGTTTAATAAGATTTGCTTGAATTATTATTTTCAGCACATTTTGTTTAAGGCCGAACATCCAGGAGGTCGACAATAACAGGGGAACGTACGAGTGCGAGGGTGAATCATTTCATTCGAATCATCCCATTCCCATGACATCAGATCCACAGATCAGAGCAGTGTGCTTTTTAGCGTTGCCGATTTGGGACGGCCAATCAAAATATGAGCTTGAATTACGGGAATCTAAAAAATTCTGAGATTATTATGCCACAGACAAGAAAACAAACAAATGTATGAATGCCGACTCCTTTGCTAGGGAATAATAGCTTTTTTTTGCTCACCTAAGCAAAAGTATAGAGGAGAAAAATGAGAAATTCCAGTTTTGTGGCGGCGATGGAAGCTGAACGGAAGGCGATGATGTCATCAAACTTTAATACCAAGGCAAATAACACAGTCACGAGGAGAACTCAAAGCGTTCTCTCCGTTGAACCAGAAATCCAATATGTGAGGAAATCTCAAGGGGTTTAGGGGCGTCTGTCCCCAGCGTAACTCTGGATATGCGCTTTAAATATGCATATTGCATATGCCATAATATTGAATAAATTTCACCAAATTTTGTATTTGTTCGTATTTCAACAGACAGCGTTTAGGTAACAGTTTGTCTTCCCCTACCCTACTATAGCATGGCTTTCAAGCTTGTTTCGACCGGTTTCGTTTTCATTTCGGGGTTTCGTTTTTCGGTTTATTTTCGCTTTGGTAATAGTACTCACCGACACAATGGTATTGAATATGAAGAGTATGTATTTGGCCAGAGATGTTCCGCAGTCCATTTTGATGGGAGTTTTTCTGAAATCACCTGCAATTGGAATCAAATTCGTTTAAACAATGTACGTGCTGTGCCAATTATCAAATTACTCTACGGTTATATAAAATAATTCATAATATTCGTTGTTTATTCAACTGTACATTAATGCCAGCAAATGCTTGCTTTAATGAACATTTTAATTGTTAAATTAAAAAAGTTTTATTGTGCTTTAATTCCCCGGAACAAATTATTGACTCTAGTGAGGCTGGTGCTCCACTCAAGACTTTTCGACCTTACATGTACTAAGTTGCTTGGAAAATGATTCAGAATAGACCGACAAAAGACCGAGGTCTTGAATCAGATTTTACAAAGGTCGCATTTCAATGCAGATAAGGGAAGAGGCTGGCTCTCTGCTCTCGTAGCATCCATTGTGTGGTAGCGTCATTATCATTCTCTTTTCTTTTCTTACGTCCTTCCGAACGAGTAGCACGGCCAACAAAAGAAAATAATACAGAATGCAACTTTTTTTCAACAACAAGAAAAATGGGAAGGAGAAGAAGGAGAACGACAATGGCAGGCGTCAATGGTGCTAGAGAATTAAGAGAGGAAAACGAGAGGAAAAAAGTTCAGTGCACTCTGCATCATCAGAAAACAAGAGCCACAATGCCGCCGTATTGTTGTTTTAATTTCATACAATTTTCTTCCGCTTTTCACACACAAGTTTTCCGCCCCTCGCCCCGCTTCAGCACACCACACTTTCTGCTGCGCGTACTACGTCTTGGCATCTCGTTCTTCTCCCTCCCCACACACACACACACACAGACACACACTTCGCCGCGTTTCAACAACCACTTTCAGCGGCGCCGGAGCCCAGCATCTCTGTGGCTACCGAGTTTCAAGCAGCTGTCGAGGGAGGAAGCGGGGAAAACTCTATGCATTTCTGTTTTCCAAACCCTATAAACCATAAAATGCCGACACACAAAACCACTTTTTATTCAAAATAGCGCACGCCTTCTGTTACCTTTTGTTTGAAAAAATTGCGTTCGAAACTAGCGCGCACACGACACGTTCAAGCCAACGGGAAAAATTCGACAACGCCGCAGGAATGCTTTTTCTTTCGTTTGGTAGAGGGTAGATGGTAGAGCTGCAAAAAAATATATCGGTTTTGTTCAGGGGAGCCAATGGTATAACACTATTAGGTAGGGCCCGTTAGGTCCCTATAAATATGTGCATTGGTAGATCTCGTATGGGTCATATTAATGTGAATCAGATATAATATTTTAATAATATTGTATTAGCGTGTTGTGTCGGACTTGAATTTGTAATTCACACAAGAAGCTGACTTGACCCTACCTCTAAATAAATTTCACCTTGCTTCAGTGCAGCCAGCTGCATCGGTATCGTTATCATATTTTTTTTCGATAGATATCATTCGTGCAGAGCGCGAAAAGTATTTTTAAATTAAAGCCTATTTGTTATTAATTCAAAAACACGCATTTCAAGTACATTTCGTTTTATTTAACTCTTGAAATAGTTTAATAGGAGATGTTTCTTAACACTTAATACCTTGGAGCTTAATAGTTCTGGCGTCTCTGGGAGTTGCGCGTTTGATTGGCCAGGCAGCAAGCAAATATAAAGGCCACGAGCTGTGAAGAAGCGAATTATTTATATCAGTAAAGTAGTGGAGTGCAGTGTGGAACAAGGGCTACTTACCTCAACGGCGGTGACACCCAGACCGGCGTATTTAATGATGCTCACATTGGTATCCCAGAACGAGTCAACCGCGTCCAAGCAGCCAGGGCGTAGCATGACCGACGTTAGACCACAAGTACCATTGGTCGGTGAGTCACAGCAGGAAGCTGGGTACGAGACACCATAGTCGGAGAATCTATGCAGACCGCAGCACTTGAACTGCAAACAAATAAACATCAGTTAATACAATGGAAATGCCCTTTGCTTGCCACCGCTCCAACTTACGCTGCGCTGCATGGTGTCCAGGAGAATGCTGTCCGTCTTGCGCTGCTCCCAAATGGTCTGCACAATTTTCTCCAGGGATTGCTGGATCTGTACATGGTCCACCCACACGTAGATGATCAGAACCAGCTGACTGATCAGCAGCACCATCATCACACTGGAGTACTACGAATAGTGAGTAAAATGGGTTATTTTCATTCGATTTTTTAATAAAGATCATTCATCTTACCGTTGTCAGGCAACAGGCATCCTCGCGAATGGCTCCACAGCAGCCCATGAACGCAACGAGGAAGATGAGGCAGCCCAGGACCAGGATTATGATGGCCACACTGTTGGCTGTGAAGGTCTCATCCATGCTCGAAAAGTCTTTGATGGTGGAGACCATAATGGAGCCGAATGTGATGAGTAGAATGCCACATATCTGCCATGAAAAAGGTTCAAGTTGTTTTGCTTAGTCAAACTAGTTGATAAACAGTCACCGAAGCTATGAATCAATCGACAGCTAAATTTAGTTGTATAACAACAGTCACACCTCTTATTGTTCCCGACACAAATGAAGGAAGAACCTTTTTTCGTCAAATGGAACCTACCACATAAAAGATATAGCTCTCACATTATGTGTATAACTAATTATCTTATGAAACTTGTGTGAAATTTCTTACTTTTTTAAGTGTGAAAAAAGAGTATTTTTTAGTCGAAATACTTAACTTTACTGTTCTACTTGTTTGTGAGCAGCTTTACTCAAGTATGACCGATACTGTACTCTCGAAATCGGGAAAAATATTTCATCACGATGGAAATGCACTCGGGGTTTTTGCATCTGTGTGGAGAAAAGCTCTTGGGCTATCTTCGATCACGAATGTACGAGTACTACGAGCATTACTCATACCCCCCGTTATCATTGTTGTTGTACAATATTTTTTCGTGACATCTGTTGCGGCCCCATTAACCGTAATTACGTTCATCATTGGCATGCGATGATTTATTTAAGGTATTCTACGTTTTTTAACCATTTTTTTTACCCACTACCTTCGATATAAAAGCAGATAAGATAACGGCATGGAAGCAGTATCCAGGGTGGGGCAAACGCAAACAGGCTCATGTTGAAGATTTAATTTGTCTTTGTACATATTAGATGCGATAAGATATTGTGGCAAGCCAACTCCAGGATTTTGCAAATGCCTCTCTTATATACATATGTGTATGTATTGGCCAACGTTAATTATTGTCATTGAGAATCACTTAAGAAACTATTGCTTACCACAAACAGTATATTGAATATGAATAGCACATATTTCACAAAAACTCCGCCGCAATCCATTGCTCTGGTTGATAATTCTGTACTTTTCCGATGAAATGTTAAAACAATGGAAACTAATTCGTTCGTTATTTAGGTCCGGTCGTTACTGCAAAAGCTCATCGCATGTCTATTCTATATGAACGAGAATCAAACCGCTGAAAGCTTTAATTTAAGATAAGAGCCGCTGGAATCAAGCAGAGTGTGATTGCAATAAAGCTTCACTTTCGACCCAAAAGTATGTTGCATTTTATTGCATCGATCATACATTAATTTTAGTTCGTTGTTTCACGTAAATTCGACAACTTTTGTAAACATTTGTAAACATTTATAAAGCGTTTTGGTTTTAATATATATTGCTTGATAATTCCTATGGATTTTCTTATGCGATTGGAATGTACTGCGATGTACTGCGATGGGACTCAGCGATACGAGCAGCATCTGCCACATAGCAACCCATTGCAAATGTAACAAACTGCGGATGAAAATTGTCATTAGTATTAAAACGGTGTGGCATTTTATAAAAATTACCTCAAAAACTATTACCATAGCACTGGTAAACTTGATAATGTTGGCACCCATATTCCAGGAATATAAAATAGCATCCCGGCACTGTTTTAGATCCTGATCCCCGTCATGGATGGGTATTTTGTAACAGGAGGCGGGATATTTGGGATAGGAGTCTGAGGACATGTGCATTTTGGAGCCCAGCTCCAACCACAAATACCAGACGAAATATAAATGGATAAACAAAAGCAATAGGTTCATAGCGGAGTACTAAAAGAAAGGAAAACTCAATTATTTGATTCTTATTTATTATTCTTATGTTCTTGAGTTCTTACCGAGGTTAGAACGCCCACCTTTTCGCGATACAATCCATAACAGCTCTGCAGGGATAGAAGAACCATGGCGAAGCCAAGAAACACGACAGTGATTGGTACAATCCGGGTATTATCTGTAATCGCATAGTCCCTGATCACACTGATCATAAAGGACCCTACTGTGATGTACAAAAGCCCACAGCACTGTAAGTGAATAGTAACTGGTATGATTAATTTATTTTGGATATATTTGGATGGTCCAACGATGGAGGCCAGCTACTTGGACCCATGTGACGTATCCTACCGAGAATAATATGTTGAATATAGCCAACACACTCTTAAGACTTTGTGCATGTCGATCCATTGCTGCAGAAGTTTGAGGAGAGACTCTATTGACCCGCTGTGCTTCGTATTCCCGCTGCAACTGAATTTGCGAGAGATCTTCCATGCATTATATGAAAAGTGTACCACCGCATAAATATTGCTGCGTGGGGTCTCTGCTGAGTCGAATGGAAATGCTTGATGAGAGAGACCCATCGCATCGGTATGAGTGCGTTTGGGGTTTGGGTCCATCAGCAGTTCGGCCAACCGCGCTCAAGTCCTAGATAGATGCTGAGCAAAAGGAATGTGTAACATAAACAATAGTTTATATACGCGCTTATATAATTTATATACATATATAACAGAGCTGTACATATGTACTGAATTTGCCTGCGGAGCCAAGAACTACACTTGAGAGAAAGGAGATGGTTTTCTAATCGCTTGGGATATATGTATAGTACTCATTGGTCGGTATAAATCTTTATTATTATAAGTATGTATGTACATTAATATACGTATACTATGGAAACTGATTCTCTTCCTGTCTAGGCGGACACTTGTCTGCCAGCATTTTCGCGACGCATGCAGTTGGTCAGGGCTCCAGCGAAGAGGAAAACCAGCAATTCAAATATGACAATGCCCAGGCCGGACCAACGGATGATGTCCATGTTGTTGTACCAGAACTCCTCGAACTTGGCATTACAGCCGGACTTCGACTCAGCGATTTCGTACGAGCAGGCAGTCTGGCGGCTCGCATAGCCGCAGCAGGTCCCGGGCACCGTCTGGTTTGGGTAATTGCTAGGGCCAGTGTTGCCACAACAGTCGAAGGTAACCTCTAGCACACCGAAGGCTTCGTAATCGTGATTGTTCCACAGCGAATTGACCAGGCTACTCATGTCCTGCAGGAAGGCCGATCGGTTGACGAACACCCAGCAGGTGAGCACCAGTTGGAGGATGAAGAGCACGAAGATCATGCTGGTGTACTGCGAAATTAGGTTGGATAAAATAAATCTTCCATTCGACAAGAATTACTTACCGCTCCTGTCATGCAGGCGCTCTGCCTGAACAGGCCGTAGCAGCCGAAGAAGGAGACGACAAAGATCAGGGATCCAATCACGGTAATGCAAATGGGGATGGTGTTCGTGCTCTCCACATCCATATCCGTCAAAGCGATTGATGTCGGCCAGCATGATCGATCCCAGCACGATTAGGAGGATGCCAACGATCTAAAAAGGAACAGGTAGAGAGCGGGTTACACAATCTTTCATTGGCAATTCGATTCGGTAGCTCCTAACTTAATTTATTACATATCAAAAAGATAATGTCAATTAGCTGATTATGTTCGCATTTGTCAAAAGACATTACAAACTGGCTGATAAGATTTTAGCAACACACTCATGCACATTTCCATGGGTGATAAACCACAGCAGAAAACCTAATGATGATATCATATGAAACCAATGCCTGGCCTGCCCATTGGCTTTCCAATGCGTAATATCGAGGACTTCTTTTTATAGAACTGATGTAAGATTATATGCTGAAAAGATCGCTTTATTAAAGGACTAATACACTCAGACTAAATTATTAGAATTTACTTTGAATTAAAAAATAATGTATTTATACTCAATCTAAATCTAAAACACTTTATAATATTCTATCCCAAATGGAAAATTAAAATTTGACAAAAACTGCATATTAAAATTAAATATATTCTTTTTAAATATGGAAAATATTTTATTTAATTCTGAAAAATATTTAAATCAAATATGTTTATATTAATCTCAAAATAGAAGTGAAAAATTTTTATTTATTTTTAACTTCCACTATAGGAGATAATTTATGGGATACATTTTATAATCTAAGTGTAATATTCAAATTGAAGGATGTAAATCAAATATTCTTTGTAGAATATTTCTTATTCCCAAAATCCTGTCTTTTGTTTTTCGTAAATTCTCGAAATAAATAATTTCACTGTTAGCACTCTATACAATCCAAACGAAATTAAATAAAATTCATCTATTTAATTTACATACATATGTATATACACACATATTATTTATTTAAAGTTGCCATAATCCATCATTTGAGTTTTTCATTAAATATATTTTTTAAACTCACCAAGAACACAACATTAACTACATATAGTATGAAATTGACTATGCCCGAAAGACAACCCATTTTGAATTTTTTCTTTTCGTATCCTTTCAAGTTCAACAAAACAAATTAAAATTGTATTAAATTTATCCAGTTGTGTGTTTTGAGCGATATAATTTAATGATTTTTATCGCGTTCACGCGTCGTTTGCTATTGTTCGATTGAACTGGACTTTCTGTCGGGCTACTGTTTTTAAATTGTCCCCCAGACATGAACGATATCGGAAAGATACGCGAATATATCTTATCACTTTTTTGGGGCCCAAAAGAAGTCCACCGATAATAAAGGGACACTGAAAAGCAAACATATGGTGGGGGACAGCGATAACAATTGGCATATGAAAATGATTCATTGCAACCGTTTGAGGGCAAACGATCTAAGTCTGCATGGAGAATGGTGGGTGCTTATCAACCGGTACACGGATATAGTTTCGGGCAAAACAACAACACGTTCCGATTAGATAAGATTTGGTGGCCAAAGATAGACATACTCGTTATATATATATATAAAACAAAAATATACTTGATTGAGCTTAACCTATTTTGATTTATTTATGGCGACTTATGTATGTACTTCCTTCTACATGGATGCTAGGAACTGAGCTAAAGCTAATGGGATGATTCGGAGAGTTGATGATATCAACGCTTCCTCATGGCACTGGCCAGGCAGCAGGACACAATGAAGATGCCCAGCTCGAAGAGCGCGATGATCAGACTGCTCCATCGAATGAGGTCCGTGTTGGAGGCCCAGAAGTCGACGAACTCGCCGTTGCAGCCAAGACGCTGCGAATAAATGGCAGCCTCGCACACCTGATTGCGATCCTTGTAGCCGCAGCAGGAAGCGGGAACTGCATTTCCGTACTGCTCGAAGCCAGTGTTACCGCAGCATTTGAACTGTATAAAAAATATGTTAGTATTCCAATAGGTTATCGTTCGTTATCGTTTAGATTTCAAAACTTACGGCCAATTGGAGGGCATCCATGGGATAGCCCTGGGCGGCATTGTTCTCATTCCAGGCCGTGTTCACCACTGTGCTCATCTTGGCCAGGAACTTGTCGTTCGCCGCAAAGATCCAAATGGACAGAGCCAATTGCAGGGCAAACAAGATCAGCATACATATGGCATACTACAGCGAAAAATAGAAAAATCAGTATGGAATTTTTTATCAACGAGGGGGGTGGGTTCATCCTCTCCAACTTACGATTGTAGTGCAGCAGGCATTCTCCCGGATTGTGCCGCAGCAGCCGAAGAAGGCCACCAAAAATGTCACACAGCCAATTGTAATAATGATGATCGGTATGGTCTGCGTATTGACAGCTCCCTCGAAGGCCGTAAAGTTACCCATCGTGGACAGCATAATGGAACCGACCACGATCAGCAGTATGCCGCCGACCACGAAGATCAGGTTGAGGAAGTACAGCAGGTACTTGAACGTGGCTGATAGGCAATTCATGATTCTGGATTTTTAGGATTCACGGCTTCTCGATGAATGTAATGTTATTTCGGTATTGGTAATTCCGAATGGCTCGTTCTATAATCCGTTCGTTCGTTCGTTGGGACTGTTCTTGTCAAACTGAGTGGCTTCCATCTAGACCTGGGGCATTATATTAAACCATTCGAGGCCCTCATCTTATCAGAGCTGGAACTTATCTCCTCTTGGAAATAAAATACCTGTATGTATGGGTGGTCCACTCTCTCGCTAGGGTAATATCTCGCAGCTATATATACTCGTGTTCGTGTATGTTGTCATAAAAGTCATTCATGGATCTTATCGTCATGCACTGGCGTAGATAGTACAATAAAGTGGCTGGAAGTACCCAAAGAATGTACTCAGTACAGGTGTGAATCATTTCTTGGTCTAAACAGTAAATAAAGATACTTATCTATGTGAGAAATATTATTTCATACTTATGAAATTCTCACCTCTTGGGGGTGCGTCTGCCCGTGCTCTTCTAAGATGAATCATTTACATTCCGAGCACTTTCTTTGCACTTGGCAATATGTTGGCTAATTGTCTGATTCATACGACACTTTGGCTAGCCTCAGTTTCGACGTGAGTCCCCCGCCTTATCGCGATGATTTATTATATATCAATCCAATAAATATGTGGTGTACGTTCTGTACGAGTGCACTCCAAGACAAAATACAGAATACTTCGATTAAGAATCTAACATTTTGTGGGGGTTTTTCGCCTTTGACATTGGGTAATTGCCACAGATGCCCGTCCGAGGATAAGATAAGCCTTATATGCACAGATTAGATGGTGGATAGACAAACCGACTAAATATAAACTTCTGATAGGTTAGTTTTTCTGATAAAAATGGATCAATCGAAACAGAAACCAAATAAAATTTCTCAGTTTATTGCAATCGTTCTGGTCTGGTGTATACATAAATTATTTGTACAGTAAAAAATATTAGCACTTCAATACAATCTTTGAAAAAAGCGATTATACCGAGATATTCTTGGGGGATTTCATTTCCTTCTTCGTATAACTTGAGAATATGTAAATTTCAATGGCCATCTGTGTCAGGTGATTTATATCGATACACTCGTATATATGTATGTATGTATGTATGTTTGTATATAAAATTGGGCAACATAATTCGTACTTTCGGTTTCAATTAAAATTAGTAAGGCTTTCCTGTCCCAGCACTTTAATAGTCCGCGCGACGACGATAGTTCCGAATGCTATTCGCCAGACAGCAGGCAAACACGAAGCCCACAAACTGTAGAATAATCAAGAGAAGTATTAAACATAACCATCATCAGTGTGAGGGGGTATCGAGAAACCTACCTCAATGGCGGCAATAACCAAACCGGCATATTTGATAATGTCGCTGTTTCTGTCCCAGAACTCCACAAAGGCCGCCTTGCAGCCGCGTCGGTAGACAGTGTCCGGGCGACAGTTGTTGGTATCCTTGCAGCACGAGGGGGGGAAGTAGCCTTGGAAGGAATAGTCCGAGAAGTTAGTGCGGCCACAGCACTCCATCTGGAAATTAACCAAAAATAGGTGTCAAATTTCTGAACTATGCAATTTTGAATGATAAAAACTAACGCTGATCTGTATGGCATCCATGTAGTCGGCACGACGGGTGCGTCGCTCCCATGCCTTCTCCACGACATCGCCCATAATGACCAGATACTTGTCCTTCTGCAGCCACATGTAGATCACCAGCGCCAGCTGGCCAATCATCAGAACGAACAGCAGAATCGAGTACTACAAATATGGAACGTGAAAGTGTAAAGAGAAAGCGAATCTAAGAGGATGAAAGATATGTCGCACCGTCATGGACATGCAGTAGGACTCGCGAATGGCACCGCAGCAGCCAAACCAGGAGATGAGCAGGATAACCGTGCCAAGGACAATCATTGTGATGGGCACCTGCTGGGTGCGCAGGGCCTCTGCGAAGTCATCGATGTTGTGGATGTTGCTGAACAGCAGGGCTCCAAATACGATCAACAAAATTCCGCAAATCTGCAGAAGATCATAAATAGTTTTAATGAAATAATATATTTTATAGAAATAAGTTTAATGGAATAAACTTTGGATACGAGTATGTCGGAATATTTGATGGTTAAATCTTTAAGCTTTTCACCATCAAAGTTTCCGAAGCTCTGCCAAAAGCTTAACAAGCTTTTGCCTAACAGTTTGTGCAATACACTGAAAGAAACTGATAGACAATTAGACATAGACATATTAATTTGAATAATTTCTGATCACCTGCGGGGCCTATCAAGGGTTTATCTCTTATCACTGTGCGCTCGATGCGGTTAATTTAGATTAAGTTTTCTGATAAATGTAGGGAATAAATTTACAATGGCTCTGATTTTGTATCGCAATGCGTCAACAACTATTTGATTAAACCTTTACAATTAGATTAGATCGGAATAATTATCTGTTAAAACTTATAGTTTGGATGCATGACTAAACCATTTAGTTGAGGGAATAATTGGATCAGATCTGACAAAAATTGCGACACCAACAACGACGACTGAAACACCCACACCCACTCTCACCCACTTCTATATCTGTCTGCTCATCCCATCGCCCCAACAAACCAACAAAAATACGAAGAATATTGAGTTCAAGTGTGGCTGCCCTCCCACTCCGCTCCGATCCGTTCCGTGCGAGTGTGGGGATGCAGTGTTTGGCCAAGTTTTGGCTCGACTGAAATGGGGAGCAAGTTCACATTTAATTAAGTCAACTATTTTCGGGCGTGGGGGGTCAGACAGCAGCCCCCACCCACAGCTCGAATGTAATTACGTAACTTTACATTGAGCAAATCCGTCAAAAGAGTAGCAGGGAAGGGTCACAATGCCTCGAACAGTCGATGTTCGCGTGACTGGAATGAATTCCGCGCTGCAGCAAGTACGACTCGAAGTCGGAATCACACCTGCACACATATATAGTATCGCAGGGGGCCCACCAAAACCAGTTACCGTTGGAGTACAGTCCTCTGCTGTGACTTTTGTGGAACTAAGAAGTTGCTAAACAAATGAAAAGCGTATTTCTTTTTTGTTTATGTTTGAAACCAGTTAGCCTCGAACGGATGCCCGGCTATGGTGCGGATATTTCTTGGAGTCAAATGTTAGAAGCTCTCAACCGAATGTTCAACCTCAAACCAAACTCGTTTTCAGTCAAACCAAATAAACAAAAATACCATTTTTGTATACAGAATTTACATATTGAGAGTTCCCTGCTACCACTACGTCATAACTCTAAGATATTATAGGTAGATAATGGATGAAAGTGATCCTAGAATTAACTTCATTTCATTATCGTTACATTTTATGTTTCATTTAATTAGATATTGGAATCCTTTTTTTTAACCATACCGAATGCTTTTAAGCAAACTTGTAACCCAAATTATAGTTCTGTAACGCACTGTTTTTCGTCAACCGGTTTTTAGGCCTCAACTTTCTCACAAAAACTAAAACAAACACAAATTTTTCGTTTGTTTGTGTTAAGAAAAACCAGTTTTTACGGTTAAAAAATAAACTTATGATATCATAGCCCAGACTAAACTTGGAGACGGACTAGGCTTGGCCAATGACAGAGGGAATATGATATAATCTATAATGAATGCCGATGCTATGCTTGTTTTTTACTCACCGAACAAAGCAAATTGAATATAAACAGTATATATTTAACCATGGAGATTCCGCAGCTCATTTTGCCTGAGATTCGTTGGGCGGACGGTGGTACGGTGGAGGAGGGCTATGGAAATTTGTGGAGAAGCTGCAACTGTTCGGTCGTGGATACAGAATAGAATAGAATTGAGAATTGAAAAATACAAATGGATCGTGCAGAGGTAGCATTAAGTATTTTATCGTTTTATTTGGGAAGCAGCGACACACAAATGCAGGGTCGGACACAGATACACGATCGAACACACACAGCCACGCACTGATGTCATCCAAAACAAATTCAACATTTTGTTTATTTGAAAAAAATGCCAGCATTTCGATTCGATTTGAGTGGGGAAAATTAGCACACAATCACGTATTCGTACTCGGTCCGTAGTGCGGTTGGAAATCGGATCGGATCGTATCGGATCGACTTTTCAGTTTCATTCCGTTTCGTCAAAGGCCTTAGAACTTAGAAATATTTTAACAATACGCTCGGTCAGTATTGGGTTCCCGCTGCCGGGCGGGATTAGCGAACCAGCTCGGGCAGCAGCTTCTCCTTGGGCAGGAGCGAGGCCTTCAGCTCGTTGTAGCGCCGCCAGATGTAGGGATATCGTGCCGCCCAGGCCAGCCAGGCTTCCTTCTCAGCGGTTGTCTCCTCGACTCGCTTCAGGTGCTTGTAGTATTTGCCATTGCGCTTCACTCCGGCTGCAACATCCTGCGCAAACTTGGCAAAGCGCAGCTTGAGCAGCGTCTCGGAGACATCCAGCAAACGGTTGCCCTTGGGCGGATGGACCAGACACAGCTGGCACACAACGTAGTCCTTCTTTCCGCTCTTGTTCAGTGGAATAAAGGTGGCCTCGCGTCCAACGAGGCACTGCTGCAGCCAGGCGAAGCCATTGGAGTTGACGCTGACGCCGGGAAGCTTCACCGGTAGCAGGCGCGTGTTGCTGGTGAAGATCGGTATGAGCGGACGGTGTTTGATCATCAGCAGTGTGTCCTGATCCCGCTGCTGCACGCCGCTGATCTTGCCCGTGTGCATGATGCGCTCGTTGATGATACGCTCTGGGATGTGCGACGGCTGCTTGAACTGGCGCACCAGATAGGCGGGCTTACGCTTGGCGTAGGCCACCGCCAGCATCAGGGCCGAGGTGCCGTAGATGACCAGCTCGCTGCCCAATGTGTCGCGCTCCAAGTAATTACATAAGCCCTGGTATTTCTCCCGCAAATAGGCTTTATTGGACTCCATTTCTGGTGGCGGCCGTATTCTATTAAGTAACTAGGCGCCTGCAATTGTTTTTATGTTGAGTGTATGTTTTTTTTATGCAATTTCTGATGACGTCATTTTACCAACCGAATACGTCAACAAGGTAATGTCTTCCACTGAGTCTCGCGCGTCTGTTATTTCTATATATACATATATATATGTCTTATATCTATATGTATTGTCGCGACATAGGGCTAATTTTGTCGGATTTATTTTGCCTCTTAGCGCTGCTTCTGTTTTGATACTAAACAGACTTTGAAATGGAGGCCGGCGACGCCTTGAGTGCGAGCGGGATGGCGTGTGTGTGTGTGTGCTTCGGCACGATCTGTGTACGTTACACTGCACTTGAAACCTGGACGCTTTGCAACACTACCCAAAGCGTACACTCTCACACACACATTCAATCAATTCAAAAACTCACAAACACACCTTTGGCGTTACTTTTACGTTCCGTTCCGTTTCGTTCGTTTATTTTTTTTATTTATACGTGTTATTTGCGCGCGCTCACGATATGAACTGGTGCCGTTGTCGCTACAGACTGAGACGAGAGATCGCTTAAAAGCCGCCACTGCCAGAAGCTGACGCTGCTGCCCCAACCGCAACCGCCTGTTGCTCGTGCCTCACACCCAAACACACGTACGAACTTTGGCGCTCGGCTCCCCCGAATTTTTGTTGTGATGTTGGCGCGTAGCATTTTGTTCGATACGGTTCCCCGAACCAAGTCCCCAGCCCCCACATTTGAGTGACGATGACATCGTTCAGAGGGGGAGGGGGACCCCAGCAGCAGCTCTTTTCAGTACAATTTAATTGCACTAACTTGTTTTGTTTTGTTGCTGTTGTTTTTTGTTTTTGTTACCAAATGGTGAACCTTTTGTTTATTTATGCAAATTGCCAGCGCCGTTTCAGTGGTGTGGTTTCTGTGAAGGCTGCCTGCCCCTTTCGTAATTATTGGGAACGCTGCCCCGATGCCCAAGAGATGATTTCAAGCCCGCACGTGGTTCAAAAAATATTCAAGTCTATCCATCTGATGCTTTTAAAGGCACATTTGGCGATATGGGCATTAAGAACTGGTCGACTTCCACAATGTTGCGGTTTTTGTGCATTGGCGTAGGCGTCGCTTGAAGAGGGAACAGGTTTGCGTCTGAAAGTATTTACGTGCAACCAGTTCGGGCTCCAACGGCATTTTTACCCCACCCCACCCCACCCACAAACAAGGCCTGCTGGCCCTACTATGGCTTCGGGCATGGCTTCCGCTTTTAATTACATGCAGCGTCAGGGTGAGGGCAGAGAGGAGTGGAAGGTATCCGTTGTAATTGTCTGTAACTTTTCCTTGACACACACGACAACAACTGGTTTCCAAGTTAATTGCGTAATCCAATTGTAGAGAACGTGGCTTCGAAACTTCATTCATTTGTTTTTTGGATCCGACAACAGCGAACCCTAACTGTATCCGTCATATATGTATATCTGACATTGCTAATTAACAAGTGGTGCTCCGTACAATTAACCTTATGTCGTTCCGTATGTAAATGTACTATTTCCCCCCCAGACAACAAAATGGATTCAACAACAACAACATCAGTAATAACCGAACCCAATTATTGACAATATAGAAACGTTTATGAATCACTTGTTGACTATGAATTTCCAGTTTCCTCTCCATTGCGGCAAATGGCATCTGGCAAATGGCAAATTATAAATTAAGTGAGAAATACAGTCCCTCAAGGGGAATCAAAAATGCAATGGAATGAAGAAAGAACAGCTCACGGTAGCGCGGATTTGGAAAGCAGCATGCGTCACACTTGAGTAAATTTGCAAATTATCATACCACTTATCCACCCAATGGGGTAAATCTAATGAAAACCGCCTAAGCTGAGCCCCGTGAGCGAACGGGGATCAGCATGGGAAGTTATTTCCACAGCTAGGCAAACAACTGATGGATCTTTGGTTCTGCGGGGCTATCTGGCAAATAAATAAACGTTACATAGACACACACATTCCCTATATATTTACATATACTAGGGGGCACTCGTCTCGCCCGTTTAAAAATTTCTGTTTGATAATTTACAACTTTGTTTATCTTCATCGCAAACTGTATCGATCGCCCACATTTTTTTGCTGCCAAAATTGTTCTTTCTGCCAGCCATGCATGGCATATGGACATGGTGTTTGTACACGCATTTTGCATTTGAAACCATTACCCCGGCAACGTTGTTAACAACAGGAGCTTTGAATCTACGCACGTGCTCACCATCTGCAGTTTTATCAGGATTGATCACAATAGCGTGATTTGCAACAAATATTTCATAAGAATCGGTCGAGCCGTTTGGGAGGTATATATATAAATTAGACATGAAAATCTGTATATTCGATTGGAAAATAGGGACGCCATTATTGTGCTTTATTTCGTGTGGCTACCTCCAAACAGGCAGCGTAGTCAATATAATCTCCATTAAAAATCGTAACTTGATTAGTGAGTGAGTGAGTTCCGTAGAAGGGTATCTAGATCTGGATCTGTATCTGAAGCTAGAGCTAGTACAGGCGTCGTGTATATTGCAGTTGCTGTCCGCCTGCTGGCTGTGAGGAGCCAGAGCTAGAAACGGGCGGAGTTGCCGTCTGGCCAGGCAACAGCGACAGCTGTTGTCGGTTCAATTGTGCCTCATGGCCTGAGCTTCCCCGTCCCGGCGGAAAGCCTTGTGTAATGCTGCCAGTCGTCTTGGAATTCTATCGGAGAGAGAATGATGCTGTCATGCCAAACCGTTGCAAAGTATCAGTTGTTCTCACCTGGCTGGTGCTTATTTGCAGCACATTGGGATGCATTGAGAGCTCGCTCATCATCGGCTTAAAGATAACGCCCTCCGACAAAAGATGCGGTGGCGGTGGGATATGGTTCTGTGGCGTACCATCGTGCTTCACCTCGATGTGATAGCGCTCCGGTAGCTTCTCCATGGTCACCTGTGGCTTGGACGTCTGAATGGACAAGCTGCTGGCAACGCTGGTGGCCTGCACAACCAGATCGGACTGCGAGATGGGCGGTTGATCCAGATTGATGTGCAGCACCTGCATCGGCTGTGTCTTCGGCGACTGGGTGTCGGAGGCCTTGCTCACCGTGGCATTGGGCAGCTCCACGTGGTAGGCCTGTCTCAGGGGCAGGGCGTAATTGTAAATGGACTGCAGCCGTGCGTCAGCCTGCTGCTGTGTGGTCGGCGGCGCTGCGGTGGTCTGGTAGAACAGGGTGCCCGTGCTGGGATACTGCGCCGTGGTCTCTGCAACATAGAGGGAGCGAAAGTGCTTATTAGACGAGGGCCGGCAAACTGTGGTTGTGGGTGATTGCGGTGGTGCTAGTTTCGTTGCAGGTGTTCTATGGATGGGTGGTTGTAGCGATTATTGTTCTTACTGTTCCATGATAATCTAGCATAGTCCGCGGCACGACGGTAGTCATCGTGTTCTGCGAATCAATCGTAAACAAATAACGAAATGAAAATAAGTTGTGTGTGTGCCTGTGTGTGTTAGCGATTAGTGTGCGGAATCAAATGAGTTTATCATGATGGGAACTAGGGGCCTGGGGTCTAAGGGGGGCTGGTCATGCATGTAATAGTTCAACGCTAATCAAGTACAGTGAAGGCTCCCCGAGCAACGTTCGTGTGTTCAGTTTAAGTTAAATAAAAATTGAAATCTCTGTCCGTCTGTCTTTGGCAGCGTTCACTGTTAGCGGCAGACCTTGACTGCACTCCGGCTTACTTTGTTGGGAAAAGCTTTTGTAGTACGCATGATTCGGGGGCGAGGGACTTCGCCCTCGTTTCCCTGTCTGGCTGCCGGGCGGTGGCTAAAATGATGACAAATTGTGACAATGTGCGGCTGATTTTGGCTGTCAATCATATGGCATACCTGCTGGTGTTGCTGTAGGCGCAGGCTCGGCAGAAATACCGAGGTGGCCACGGTGGCCGCTGCCTGTTGCATGGCAAACAGTTCGTTCTCCTTGGCCTGCTTTTTCCGTGTTTCATCGTCGTTGAGCACCTTCTTCAGTTGCACCAACAACTGGTGCTTCTGACTCTGCAGATCCGCCAGCTGCTCGTCGAGCTTGGTGATCTCGTCACGTGTATCCTCCAGAGCCTGCTGGTTCTCGCGCTCCCGCTCCTCCTCCTCCCGCCGCAGTCGCATCTGCTCGCAATAGGCATCGTACTCCTCCTGCCGACGCTGGCGATCCGCCACGATGAAGGTTCGAAGCGCCCCTCGCAGCTTCTCCGCGCGTTCTGCCTTGGCTGCCTGTGCAGCCGCATTGTTACTGTTCACCGCGGACGCTGGCGGCATTTTTGTGTTCTGCTTAGTTATTTTTCCAATTTTACCAGCCTTTACGAACAGTCCTCGCAGCAAATCACTCCACAATAGAGGCAGTGTTGCCAATTTAGCTATTTTCCCACTAGATCTATCGTGTTTCAATTGGCAAATGCGGGATAAATTGTAAAACAGCGGGTAGCGGGAATTATGGCTACTTTAAAAGAAAATGGACGTAATTTTAGCTTATTAAAAACCTCTGGCAACTTCATGTATTTTAATGCTTTTACGATGCCACAATTATAAACTTTGTAGTATTTTTTCGATTTGAATCGCAAATGTAGGACCTTGCATTCAAAGATTTTCTGGCTTTAGATTCAGCCAATGATGGGATATGCTTTTGCAAATATTTTAAGTCTAGCATTAATGCAAAACTTAGCGATTTGCACACACATGCTAAGACAGCCAAACATAAATCTTCGTCGTCTGCTTTTGCACAGACAAACAAAATACCGTTTGTTGCATCTGTGTCTGTGAAAACATGCCAACAAGAGGCGTTAAATAACTCTAACGTTTTTTTTTTTAACTACCATCAACATTTTCTGGCTATTTCTAGCTTTTTTCAAAGGCTATTTAGCTTTTATGTGACCCAGAGAGTTGGCAACACTGAATAGAGGTGTCAAACCATCGATGAAGATGCACTATGAATAGTATCGATATTTTACTGCTAGCCTGTTATATCGATGGTTTTGAGACTATCATGATAGTATCGAGCTACAGTCGTTGATCTTTTGATATGTTTGGATTGGCTGCTATAAAATACGAAGACAAATTTGTAAACAAATCGACAGGTGGCATCTAAATTTTACAATGGACAAGATCCTAAGAGGTTTCATTGGTTTCTTAATAACTGTGTGAGCCCGATACAATTACGATCGATTGTTTTTTTCAAACGTTGATATTCCTCGATTTTGATATTCCGTTTAATATTACTAGATAGTTGGCACTTTCGTCCCTAAACAAATAAATGTATCCGATAGATACATAAATTTACTACAAGATTGGCAAGTTTTTAGAAGTCCTTTTTATTGCATTGTTTACATAAAAAAGTTCAAACAAAAAGAACACAAAACGAATGTGACGCCGTATTGTGGCGCTGCCAGACTCGTGCAATTCGTAGTTGCCGCGGGCTGCCATACCATGATATTTTGTGATATGAAGTTCGTCTATTTTGATATTTAGTTTAATATTATTAGATAGTTGGCCCTCTCAGCCCTCAGTTCAAACAAAAAACACATAAAACGAATGTGACGTCGCTTATGTGGCGCTGCAAGACTCGTGCAATTCGTAGTTTCGGGCTGCCACCATGATATTTTGCTACCCGTTTCATTACCGATTCGCTTTGAACTGATCTGGCAGCCCTAACAAAAAAAGTAGTCAAAAAAGAAGAAGAAGATACATTTTCCGCAAATAGGAAGAAGAAGAACCTCTGCGCGGTTTTGGTTTTGCGTTTGCGTTGGTAACTCTACTTTCTGACCGCCGCCGATTATTTCGGTATATTTCTCAGCAAATTTATCGATACGACCCACGGTCACACTGACGTTCGCCAGCATTGGTCTCACAAATTTTTTTCGCCGCGAACTGAAACAACAAAAAATTAGTGTCGAATTATTAAAAAAAATAAAGATTAAATAAATAAAGGTTCTTTTACCTAAAAATATATCAACAAAAAAATAATTATCGAAGTAATCAATTTTTCGATATAGTCGCAGCTTTTGTTGTTGGCGCGGGTGCGTGTGTACGTGTTTCGGAATCGGTCTTGGTCGGTAAATGCAGCCAAATCAGTGAAATGTGTTTAGTTTTTTCGTTGTATTAACAATAGCATATAGCATTGTTAAGCACACAAACACAATAAGTGATACAACGTGCCTAAACACCATCTGCGAAGAAGGAGTATTGGGAGAGAAGAAGCAGCAGCGGAATAATCAACAAAGCGGTCAGCGGCGGCAAACATGGCGAGTGAGTAACAATAAAAAGAATAAAGAAAAATTTAGAAAGAAATGAATTTCTTCATTTTTATGTATGCTTTATGCTCTATGCTGCTCTTTTAATGCGAGAACACAAAACACACAGATTCCGTTCTTTACGTTTTGTTTGTTGCTTGCGGCACGGCGGCCCCCCAATATAAACAAATGCAACTCATGCGTGTCATTGGATGTGCGTGTGTGTGTGTGTGTGTGGGAGTGTGCAACATGCACTGCCCGTGTGGAAGAACATTCCCTGTGCACAACAATATTTATACATTTATGAGCTGCGAAGACACCCAATCGAGACCAGGTGCCGGGTGCTCTCGAGTGTGTCTCCCACTTCTATTTGTCTGCCGCGGCTGCTGCCTTTCGGTTCGTAGGTGTGGGGGCGGGGGAACTAGATGAGAGTGTGTGTGTGTGTGTGTACGCCCAGTCTTTGCCCTCTGATGCTAGAGTTATGTATGTGAGAAAAATCAATATTTACGCGTTTTTCTGCTCAGCTTCTTTGCACAGTGGGGACCCCAGATTAGATGATGCACTGCTCTCCTCTACCGAGTTGACCGAGTGCACTTACCGGCCAGGCCATATCAATCCAATCAGATTTCGCTCCTTTATCCTTTAATGGCACAAGCGCTCGCAATTCTGGCGGGAATTGAGTGTATGTTGTCTTTCTCCCTTGAACACACACACACTCTGTCTTTGTGAAGGACTCTGCTCTGTGACTGTGCCACTGTCTGTGGTGGTGGTGTTTGCCACCTTTTAGTAGAAACCATCCACCTAAGCGTAAGCCCCGTCAGTGAACCACCGCTGGGAGCCAGCAGTGACGACGCATTAATAAATGAATATGCCTCCTGTGAGGTGCAAGGTTTACCGGCATGTTTCAACACTCGCTCCCCCATTCAAGCTCGCCCCCCCAGGGGTGGCATAACAAATAACAATGAAGAAATGAAAAGAAAGGTCCATTGCGTTGGGATACCCTGGAATACCTATATGACTCTAAAATATAATAACTGAATGCACACCAACAGTTGTCGGTATAAATACGCCCCAAAACCATTGATAGCTCTGTTAATATACCCGTTCTATGGCGTAGGAACACGGGCAACATCCCACAGCACTTAAACGTGCCTTGTCGTGGCAGTGCATCACCCCCACATCCCCATCCGTCAGCAGCTGGGGCCCAACGTTGCGAGACCCATTGCCGGGTCCCAGTTCCCAGTTGCCTGCTCCCATCTGTGGGTCTTCCTTCGCTTTAGAATTTAATTGGTCCTTTGTGTCTGCATTTTGTCGACGCGTTCGCTTGGAGTTTGCTTCAACACAATTTGACTGCCGCTTGCCTTGTGGCATCCACACAGCAACCAAAGTAACCAACCCCAATGTGCTGATAAGGCCGATATCAGAGCACCCCAGTGCTGCTGCCTCTTCTTTATGGTTATTATTATTATTTTGGGCTTTTTTTCTTCTGTTGTACATTCGTTCCACGCAGCTTTCCCGGATTAGCTGGCTGTTACGAGTATTTTAGTTTGCCGCCCGGCAACGAATTTATTGCGAGGGTTTTGCCTTTTTGCGTATTCCTCTGACGTTGCGCCTCATCTGGCTGTTTGACTTGTGATTTCCTTTTTCTCGGTCGCCGCCCCTGACTTGATTCTTTTTACTGCTAATAAGATTTTGGTCCCCGTCTAATGGCCTTGAGAATAAATGAATGAATGGTTTGGAGGAATTGGGGGTGTCCTTCTGTTCGCTCTGTTTTAATTGAGTTCGTGCCCCCCATTCAAATTGGCATAGAAATTAATTTCAATTAACTTGCGAGTGAGTCGTCCAGACCTCCTTGTCGGAGGAGCACACTAAAGAGCAGAATGTTATGTCCCTTTCAAAGTTTTTGAAGCATACTTCTTGGGGTCTGAAGTGCTGCCAATTCCCATTGCCCCCTCCTAGCTCAAAACCAACACAAAGTTATTTCAAGTGGTCCATAAACTGAAGATGAACTTTGTCAGCATTTGAGCCCTGCCCTTTGAGGCCAGTGTGTGTGTACACACACACTTGTGTACATTCATCTGTACTCCACTTCCAGGCCAGTATACACTGTAAATACTTTGTCAGGAATGGGGAAGGTATGCACTGTTCACGTGATAAAAACTGTTATGGCCAGAAGATATTCAAACTATAATTAACATTTTTTCAACCCTTTGTGATATGTAACTCCCATATGAAACGTTTAAAGATGTTTGCTATGAGACTATTCAAGCTAACTGCTATGTCATCAAGCGAAGCTTAGAGAGAGAGAGAGCGAATAAGCTAGAGCGATAAATGAGTGTTGGTAAGCGTCTCCACATTGCTAACAGTCGCAGAGCTCAAAAAAAAACTGACAATAATTTTGAAATGAAATGCTAAGAGTGCTTTCTGTTAATTCAAATCGAATTGTTTCAACGAAAATGATCAAATGTGTTTGACATCAACACAGCTGTAAATTTGAAAACATTCCCCACATTCCAAATCATTTTTTGCCGTCTCGAAACACGCACACAACTATCACAAAATCAAAAGTTTGCCAAACAAAACAAAACGAAACGAACCAAAATGACTTTTGCCTTTGCACGCTGCTGGGCAGGACGGAGGTTCAATAGAGAAGCCCCCTGGACAGACCAGGAGGATGAGGACCCCACCACGACAGAGCAGGAAGAGGAGGACGAAGACTCCACCATTAGCACTGGTCAATCGCAACTCGATCGTGTGGTCGGCGACCTAAGCTGGGGCAACTATGACCATGCCTTGAAACGGATCAGCGAGGCCCTGTCAGTGAGTACAGATCGCAGACAGATCGGGGCCCTCTTGGAGATTAAAAACATAGTGATTCGACTGCGCATTAATACCGCCACCGATAAGATTTTCGGCCCCACCTACCAGTCGGATGCCCTGCCGCACCCCTTCACCGCCGAGATGCTGTACGTTGTACAGAAGGTGCTGCGATGCAGCAACCACTACGAGGTGCTGCGCCTCTCGCAGAACGACACCTTCTCAGAGGTGAAGCGCTCCTACAAGAAGCTGGCCCTGCGCCTCCATCCCGACAAGAATCGGGCCCCTGGCGCCGAGATGGCCTTCCGTCGCATTAGCGAGGCCGCCGACTGCCTTACGGACCAGAACAGGCGCATGGAGTACGATCGGAACATGGCCATGGGCGACTCTGAGTACTCTGATGGGGAGAATGCGGAGCAGGAGCAGGAGGCGGATGACGCTACGCCGCGACGCCCTTATAGGGCGGCCAACCAGCGCGTGCCCGAACGTCAGGCGCTCTTCCAGACCCAGCATTTAGTCATCGGAATGGTGTGTTCGCTGCTATTCATGGTCCTCATCGTGCATTTCCTAGCAACCGTGCCCGAATACAGTTTCAGACGCACCAGGTGAGTACGCGTGTGGAGGGAAGAGCCAGAACCAGCCAATACAAATCCCCATCCCCTCTGCAGCACCTACAGCGTGGCTCGCCACACCCAATCCAGAAATATAGCATACTACTTGAGCCCCAAGAGCGCCGCCAAGTATACGGAGGATCAGCGCGAGAAGTTGGAGCAGCAGATCGAGAGCGCGTACATCGAAGACCTGAAGGTGAACTGCCAGCAGGAGACCAGACTGCGTGAGTTGTTCGATCCGCCGGTATAGCTAGCAAAACGAGTTCATGTGTTCCAATCCCCTCCATTCGTTTTACAGGCGACGCCCTGTTCCTGCGGATGAGGCAGGGCGATATGGAAAATATACGCCAGCATGCAGAGAATATGCCGACGCCAGCCTGCGATGCGCTTCTCAAGATCGGACAGTCCAGCTATAGGCCTTTGCTCGAATCCCGCAATCCAAAGACTCAGAAGGAGCAATCAGATGTCTAGCATTTTCCCAAAAGACGGGCGTGTCCATTAAAGAATCGAGTGATAATTTACAGGAAATTTTCCTTTGATTGAAGTTCTGTTCTAAGTGACACTTTGTCAATAAAATAACTTTATAAACGAATAATTAACAAACAAAATCATTTGGCGTTTGCAACTGCAACTGTGACTCCCCCCATTCTTCGTTGGCGACAGTAATAGGTAGAAAATGGGATAAAAAAATAGAGCGAAAACGTCATCGGTGTTCTCCAAAACAGAAGTCTTTGCTTGAACCAAACTCCCGCCGATACTTTTCTCATAGAAATTGTCAGAAATTTGTTACTTCAATACAATCCGCTCGATGTTCCTTACTCTGTCCACACTTACTCTGTGGAGTCCACAGTTTTACATATCCCGATCTATCCCCGATTTATGGCCCTTCATTAATTAACATCGAGTATTGAAAACCTCAAATAAATGCTATTATTTCTGGGCATTTAAACCATAACTATAATACTATACGGTCACTTTACGGTTACTGGATAGAACTAAAATAAAATCATTTAAATATGTAGTTACAAGAATAACAAATATTGATTGACAGCTTCACCCAAAAACCCATTCAAATATTTACGACACTCCCACAGCAAACATTTTGTGCAGCCAGAAATTGGTTCAGTTCCTTGGTTCCCATGGTTTCCATTTCGGGGCCACGCGCACTTCCTGTGGCATAACCCACATTCGGAACAAACCCCCCAAAAAAGGAGAACAAACTTCAACAGCAGAAATTGCACACGAATTAAACAAGCAACAACAGAAACAGCAACAACTATTCGTATATATATACATATACACATGTATATATATTTTTGCACAAGTTTTTCGTACATTTTCATGTTGTTTTTCCATGTTTTTTTTTTTTTTTGCTGTGAATCGTTTAATGGAGAAACGAAATACCACAACAAAAATGTATTAAAATAAAACGCAGGCAAAGACCCGAAATGCAAAAATAAAAAATAAATATAAAAATGAAGCAATTGCCCCAGAAATTGGAGCGAATAAATGCCTGAAACGGCGCCGGCTTCTCTGCTTCCTCAAAGCCAAAAGCAAAAGCTAACGAACTTGCCACGGAACTCGAACGGAATGGATGGATGGATGGATAGATGGATGGTTGGATGGAGGGGCATGGCACACTCTGAATACCAACGAGTACCAGTTACCAAAGCAAACATTTTGAGGCACGCAAAACAACAGCAAAAAAGGCTGTGGGCAGGCAGACTCTTACCTCTTTGCCTTCCCGACTCGTCTCTGACTCTGTCTGGCGGAAGTGACGCTGCACCCTGCACATGCACCTGTCTGCCGTATCCATTGGGGAGGGTGATGTTGTTACCCTGTTGCCACCTGTCCTTCCAATTGCATTCAGTGTGTGGCAGAGGAGAGAAACAAATGCCACAATTTGCCTATAGAGAGGATTGCATTGAATGTGGAATATCTGCATATGTATGCGTACAATGGGATAGAGTTACCTTTCTAAGTGCAACATGTCTGGCTGTTAGTTCTCTTTCTCTCTCTCTGTGCTGCTTGTTCGAATGATGCTTGGTAGTGGTGAGGGTGTGGAGTGGCAGTGGCACCCATCGAAAGGGTTCTTCTTTGCCCTTTGTTTAACCTATTCATTATTTATGCTCCACAAAGTTTGTTGAATTGCCCCTACCATATGAAGCCAGAGCGCCCTGCCTGCCCCACTCGATGTTGCTGCCACCAACTGTCGCCAGTTGCCGAGTGGCGGCAGGAGGTCTGGGGGCCCTTGTCCTTCGCCTCACTTCTCCTACTTCTCTATACGCCAGACGAGTGTGTTTTAGCTGCCCGACAAAAAGGGAACGACTGAAATAATATTGTGATAATGTTGGCCATAAAAGTGCCCCAGCTCCCCTGTCCAAAATGGAAAAATCAAATTTAAATTTAAGCCACATTTTTAGGGTCATTTTTGTAGAGTTTAAGTGGAGAGCGTACACTCTTTGAATATAATCGGCAATGTATATAAATATAAAGTTCATCTTAAGCTAGAATTTTCCACATTTTCCCTATACACTTCCATTAACCCAAAACCTTTAAAGGGTATTTATATATTCTATAGTTATTTTTTGTCCTTTAACTCGTGATTGCTCTCGCAGATTGCTTTTGTTTTTGCCCCGCGGCAAGGACTTATGCAAATCACTTGTCCGTCTGTGGTCCCCCCTCGCTTTAGAGCCCCCCAAAGCATCTGTTGGCAATGGGCAGGGAAATGGTCCTATAATGCGGCCCACGCTTGAGAAGTTTTCCTCTGGGCCCAGCCGTAAGTAGATTCTAATGGCTAAACATTTTATTTATATTGAAAAACCATACATGAACAGCCTTTGGTTCAGGCTGGAGATGTGCCACGAATCCTATATCTCAGAAAGCACTGTCCTATGCCTGCTGTCCTTGCTGTCCTCGGGCACAGATGATAATCGAAATTGCCAATTCATTTTCCTGTTCAAAAAAGGAGGACACAATAGGGGAGGCAACCCCGTAGAAATCCAACGATAGGATACTCCTTACCCTCTTACCGCTCTTCTACCTTCTTCCGAATATAAACAGATTAATTAAAGATATATTTTGTCTCTCTCTCTTTGTGCCCCGCTTTCCTCTGAAGCTGAAATCGACGAGCTCATCGAGCAGCTGAAAACGACCAGCGTCAGTGCGGGCAACAGCAAGACGACGAACCTGCTGTGCGAGATCTCGGCCACCAAGGATCCCAAGCTGTTCGACAAGCATGAGCTGGCCGACTGCTTTCTGGAGTTGACCCAAAGCGAGGACACGAATGTGCGCAAGGAGGCGGCCAAGTGCATAGCGGAGATCACCAAGTCGGAGGTGCAGCGCAAGAAGTTCACCAAACGCGACATTATCGCCGCGTTTCTTGAGTGCCTGCGTCAGGTGCCGACGCCGGACGGCAGCATGGAGCTGCCCATACAGATCTGTCGAGCTTTGGGGAACATATGCTACCTGAATGACGAGGCAAGGGATCTCATACTGGAGCTGAAGGGAGATGCGGTGCTGCTGCAGCTGCTCGACATTGCCAGCATTGATGATGTGGCCAATGCGGCGCAGTTCATCAAGGTGCGTGGTGGTTTGCTCTCCAACTATCTGCTGGGTGGCGAGGGACTGGCCAAGCGTGCCATGGAGCTGGGCGTTATGAAGAAGCTGCAGGCGATCATCGTCACGGGCGCCTCGAATGTGGAGGTGCATGAGGATCTGCTGCTGAACACGCTGCCCCTGCTCAGCATTCTCACGGAGAATGTGGCGGACCTGAACTTTGAGGCTTCGCTCAACATTCAATTGTCGCGCATTCTGGCCGCCTCCACCAATCCGGATCTGGCCGAGATGTGCCTGGAACTGCTCCACTATCAGGCAGAGAGCGACGAGGTGAAGCTGCTGCTGGCCAAGGACGGTCTCTGCGAGACCATCTACAATCTGCTGGAGAAGTACAAGACGTTGGCCAGCACAAGCGAGGCCCGGGCCCTAATGAAGCTCGCCTGCGAGCTGATTGTTCTCATTCTCACCGGCGGTAAGTAGCGACGTCTGCCGCCTGTCACGGTTAACCTCACAGCTTCATGACTCATGTTTCCATGTTTCACACAGATGAATCGATGCACTATCTGTATACGACAACGCTGCTGAAGAACATGGTCGACTGGCTGGACTCGTCGGACATTGATCTGCTGACCACTGGGGTGCTGGCCCTGGGCAACTTTGCCCGCACTGACAGCCACTGCATCTACTTTGTGGAGCAGCAGACCATGAACAAGCTGCTCGAGGTGCTGGCCAAGAACAATGGCGTCAAGGACGACGTCCGTCTGCAGCACGCACTGCTGAGTGCGCTGCGCAATCTGGTCATACCCAAGCCGAACAAAAATGCGGTGATCCAGGCCGGTCTGGTGCAGACAATTCTGCCCATGCTGGAGATCCATCAGCCACCTGTTGTGTTCAAGCTGCTGGGCACGCTCCGAATGACTGTCGACGGGCAGGGTAAGTTGATTACATATTCCCCTTTCCATGTGTCCCACCCTGTAGCCTCGCAATTTGCATTCTTCTTGCAGAGAAACTCGCTCTGGAGCTGCTGAAGAACAAGACGCTGATCGAGCAGCTGGTGCACTGGAGCAAATCGTCGGACTATGCAGGCGTCACCGGGGAGTCGCTGCGCCTGATGGCCTGGCTGATTAAGCATGCCTATCTCAGCAAGATTGCCTATGCGCTGCCTCGCAAGGGCGATGCACCGGCCGAACAGATAGCGGACAGGATTCCGCTCACCCAGGACTATGATCGCACGAGCTTGAGCGAATTTCTGGCCAACGAGGGCACTGTGGAGGCCATGGTCAGCATGCTGACCGCCCAGCATCTGGTCATGCAGAACGAGGCGCTGATTGCGCTGTGCATCCTGTCGGTGGTCTATCTGTCGCAGGCCCATCAGGCGGGGCAGGCACAGGCGCAACGGCTGCAGGATGAGCTGGTCAAGTACGAGGTGGGCAAGAAGCTGGCCGAGCTCATCACCAAGTCATCTGATAGCATGACCAAGGAGATTGTCGAGAATCTCCAGAACTGTGTCAATCTGCTCAAGTCTTCCGAGAAGCTGGTGGCCCATCTGGATCAGCACAACATCAACGAGCTGCTGAAATCCATACCCATTCTCACCGAATACTGCACCTTGTAATATGAGTGTGCGGACACAGAAGGGGCCGTGGCATTGCATTTATCCAAGCACCGCAGTATGCCTAATTTCATAAGCATAAGCACACACACACACACACCCACATCCACGAGTGTAGAGAGGAATGGAAAGGAGCAAGCCCAGAGGAAATGTGTAGCAGTAGAGCAACGATTCTGATTTAGACTTGATTGTAGATTGGTAAGGAAAAAAGTATGGAGGGAAGGAAGATGTAGGATGGTAGGATGGTAGGCTACCCACAACAGCACACACAGCACAGATTGAAAAGGGGGAATGTATTTTTTAGACGCAAGCGTATTTTGACTGCATTTACGACAGCAACCAACGAGGAGAAAGTGGAGCGCAAATGGAGCCGCCAGTGGGGGACTATGCAAATCGTATGAATATTTATAATATACGTATATAACATTTACATATTAAAACAGTAAAAAAAAGAGAATAATTTAGCATATAAATCTTTTCTGTTACATGATTTTTAAGAGCACAATAACAACAAATCGTGGTGATATCGCTAAATATATTTAATAAATGTATTTTATGTATTGTACTTATAATTTTAATTGAACATTTTAAACCGACGTTTTGCTGGCGCACACACCAAAAACAAAAACAGCACACAAAGCAACAAACAAACAGACAAACAAATTTGCGAGCACAATGTAGTTTTAGATATTTTAATTACAAATCTTCAAGTATTTAGTTGTATTTACAACTCAGTGAAGTTCTCAAATAGCATTTTTTAAGGCAACTTTTAAACATAAACGAAGTAAAACAACACAAAACAAAGTAACGGCAACTCAGTAACAATCAAGTAATTCACAAACAAACAAACAAAAATAGTTGAAAACCGAAAATAGAAATATATGCAAATTTTACAGAGAGTAGTCGTAGAAGATATATTTCAAATTTTAAACAATTATTAAATACAAAATGTAATGTACTTTGAACAATTGTTTGGTCACCAAAAATATAATCGAAATTAAGTTAAAGTTTAAAGAGCACCATTTAAGAGGGGGCAAACCCATTTTTCGAATATGGTGTTTATATAGAGCGTTGAAACACACCACACCACACAACACACATACACGCCCAAAAACATATTTATAAATTCTAAACAAAATAATGTACATTTAATAATTCAAATAAAATTTGAAATTCATGAGAAATAAGAAAAACAAACGCGAAAGCAAATGATTTTCATTTCAAATTCACCGTAGCGCAACTGTAGAGCGCGCCAAATTTCAGGAAACTCTATCGATTGATCGAAATCGCACTAGAGATGGGAGCCAACGTGGTGTGGCCACATGTATCTTACGGGAACGTAGATTCATTGCTGCGACGTTCCTCGTGTTCCCGTAAGATACATTTGATTTGTATGGAAAAAATTTCAGCAACGTGGGGAAATGAATAGGCAGCATTGTTGTGCAACGTTGGCACGAAACGAGCAACAAATCTGAATACCTTGGGAAAATGGATATTATGGACTTGAGATATTGTTTGTAATATCAGGCTCCAATTAATGCATAAACTAGTCAGTCTCTGTTTTAAAGATATTAACGCGGGTATCAATAATAGGTATCAGAACCGGGATAAATGTATTTATAAACACACAAAAAATATGCATTAAAAGGTAAAAAAACATCTGAATCTAAGAAAAGTGCAATATTAATGTTTCAAAACAGCTTGGAACAACAAATTTTACATCAATTATACAAAATACATGGTATACACAAGTCGATACGCATAGATTAAACTTGGTTGACCGGCATCAATGACGTCACATTTAGTCAACATTTACGTTTTATGCTTTGGCCGTTTTTGTTTGAACCTTATTATGTAAACAATCCAATGAAAAAGAGTTCTAAAAACCAGCCAATCTTGTAGAAAATTTATGTATCTATCTGATAAAACTATTTGATTAGGGCTGAGAGGGCCAACTAGCTAGTAATATTAAACGGAATATCAAAATCTAGGAATATCAACGTTGAATGTTTTGAAAAAACAATCGATACTATCGTGATAGTTCGGGCTCAAAAATTTATATAAAAAACCATTGAAACTTTTTAGGAACTTGTCCATTGAAAAAATTAGATGCCACCTGTCGATTTGTTTAAAAATGTGTCTTCGTATTTTATAGCAGCCAATCCAAACATATCAAAACCGCAACGACTGTAGCTCGATACTATCATGATAGTCGATAGTATAGGCTAGCAGTAAAATATCGATACTATCGATTGTGCCCTCGATGGCTTGACACCTCTAGTCTGCTGCGATTTCACTTTTACATATTTAAAAACAGCAGCGTTCCAGGTAAATAAACAAAGACCATTTACGGGGGCAGGAACAGGCATAGCAGGCGAGGAAACATCAATACATCCGCTTCGGAGCTTACCAGTGCGCACAATATAAACATTTACAGACAGAATAGCAATTGAAAACTGTGCAATGAACATTGATAATGGCCAGGCACCTGTCGGATTGAGCATCTCTCGGAAGACATACGAATATGCGCTACACGAAGACCCTCACCTGTCCTTGGCCCCACCGTCCGAGAATGGCGAAACATTGCTAACGCGCGGGCGGTTCAGATATTTTCATTACGGATGTGACGGGCACCAGGACGCGGGCTGGGGCTGCGGCTATCGCACTTTGCAGACGGCCATCTCGTGGATTATAAATAAACGCAGCGATGCGGATCAGCATGTGCCCTCGATACGGGAGATTCAGAATATATTGATTAGTCTGGGGGACAAGCCAGCCAGCTTTGAGGGTTCCCGCGGCTGGATTGGCACCCTGGAGGAGTTCTACGTGATCGATGTGCTCTTCCAGTTGCCCTGCAAGATCCTACACACGAAGGATTTCTGCTCCCAGGAAGTGCTCAGCCAGATTCGCAGCTACTTTGTGGAATACGAGGGCTTCATTCCTATGGGCGGCATAAGTGATACGGCCTCCAAGGGCATAGCCGGGTGGCATCGGACGCAGACGGGCGAGGTCTATCTGCTGATTGTGGTAAGTCCAATTAACCCCACTTGCGGTGATCACATTTCTGCCACTGACTAATGTACAATTTCCTCCAATTTAGGATCCCCATTGCTCGGACGTGCCCAGCTACAAGCAGCAACTAATTGACCAGGGCTTTGTCCGTTGGATGCACACCAGCGAGTTCCAGACGAGCACGTACAATCTTTGCCTCATACTGCAGCAGTAGGCTCTGCATAGTTGGCCAATAAAATAACCAAAGCAAAATTGATTACCATACACTATCACTATCGCCTGCCGGTTTATAGCCTCGTTTTTCTTCTATTTTAGTACTCGTTGCCTCGCTCGGTTGCTGTTCAATGGACATTATCGCTTTGTTGGCCAAATCGACTGATAACTGCTATTCCATGACGATGGCACTGATATGCCGGTGCCGGTGATACCGCAAACCCGACAAACAGTTACGGCCATTGCCAGACAGAAAAAAAAGAACATTACACATCAGTAAGCAAAGCAGGAAAAGACTACTACTACTACCGATTGGCCAAGAGAAGCATGGATCTGCTGCACCGTGCCTTGATCACCGCCCTCGGGGCCCTCTCCCTCGTCTATGCCCTGGTGAAAATCAGCTTGGGCTACTGGAAGCGACGCGGCATTCTGCACGAGAAGCCAAAGTTATTTTGGGGCAACATCAAGGGCGTTGTGGGTGGCAAGAGACATATGCAGGACGCCCTACAATTCATCTACACAGAGTACAAAGGAAGAGCGCCCTTTGTTGGCTTCTTTGCCTGCATTAAGCCATTCGTTTTGGTGCTGGACCTGAAGCTAGTGCGCCACATTCTTGTCACACACGCGGGACACTTCACCACGCGAGGTCTCTACAGCAATGACAGCTCGGAGCCGCTCTCGGGCAACCTTCTGCAGCTGGATGGACACAAATGGCGGGCGCTCCATGCTCAATCCTTGGGAGTGTTCAGCCCAGCCAACATCAACAAGCTGCTGCCCAGGCTTGTGCAGATCTCCAGGGGTTTCCAGAGTTGTCTGGGAAAGGATCGTCTGCAGACCCTTAACATCAACGAGCTGGTGGACAGCTACAACGTGGATGTAGTGGCTTCGATGGCCTTTGGACTGTCAGTCGATCATACGGATTTCCGTCGGTTTACCCAGAGCTACTGGGACAACTTCAGTCTGTGGCGTGCCTATCTGGCATTGGAGTTTCCTCTCCTCGCTCGACTGCTCAAATACAAGAGCTACGCCAAGGCGGCCACAGGGTACTTTCAAAAGGTGGTGCTCAGCCAGCTGCAGGAACAGCGCAAGAGGGATCGCCAACCGCTGCAGACCTTCCTGCAGTTATACTCAAACATGGACCAGCCGCTGGATGATGTCCAGATTGCAGCACAGGCCTTTGGCTTCGTCCTGGCCGGTCTGGTTCCCCTCAATGCTACCCTTAGCTTTTGTCTTTACGAATTGGCGCGGCAACCGGAGCTGCAGGATCGAGTCAGAGCAGAGATTCGCAAGACCCTGGAACAACGCAGCGGACAACTGACAGCGGAAGGCCTGAAGGAGCTACTGTATACGAAGCAAGTTCTAAATGGTAAGTGGGTGAATTGTTTGCTTGCACACATCAAGATCTTGAATCTTGCTCTTCCAGAGACTCTTCGCCTGCACACACCTTATCCCTTCCTGTTGCGCCGCGCCACCAAGGAGTTTGAGCTGCCCGGCTCGGTGTTTGTCATAGCACGGGGCAACAATGTTCTCATACCCACGGCAGCCATCCACCGGGATTCTGCCATCTACGAGGAACCCTTGCGATTTGATCCGAATCGCTTTGACGCGGAGGCCAAGCTAGCCCGACCGGAAATGTCCTTTCTGCCCTATGGGGATGGATTGCGCGGCTGCATAGCCGCCCAGTTCGTGGAGCAGGAGCTGCTGGTGGGACTGGTGGCCCTCCTGCAGAACCACAGATACTCGCCCTGCGCGAAGACAGTGATTCCCCTGGAGTATGACAATAGCAGGCTGGTGTTAACGCCAAAAACGGACATTCATCTGAGTGTGGAGCGGGTGGACAACTAAGGGCAGGACTAGCCCTTTGCGTATCAACTATTTTGTATTGTTTTCCTCTGTATTGTTTTGTACAAAGTTTTTATTTGTTTTTTATATTTTTTTATTTGCACTTAGCTTGTTAGTATCTTTAAGCTGTGGTCTTGTGTGATAATGCAGACGATGATTTTATTTATATTTACTGCACCAAGATCAAAAACCTGAACAAATAAATGTAAAAATTGCGAAAGAATGGACAACTTTAAAGAAGTGATATTTAATTTAAATACTGGTTTTTTCAGTACGCATATTTCGTTTATTTTTAAAATAAAGGTATGTAGCCGCCGAAGTAGTTCCACCTATCGCAGAAAAATATTAATATCGATATACCCTGTGCATCTATAATGGTCGTAAGACACTACACTTAAATACCTCTCCTATCCGAGAGATGGTACGGTAACTGCGCAAGAAATATCTACTTTGTGATTTCTCTTGATTTTTTTTAGATAGGAGAGGCAGTTCAGTGTAGTGGCATACGACCATATTTAAAATCGAAAATATCCCACAAATATATCATCAGCCAAAAATATATATCGATAGATTGATAGACGACGAGGTTCCAGTCCCACACGACAAAACAAATCAAGTGAAATATTTATTTTTCCATATATGTACATTTGAAAATGACCGCCAATCTCAATTAGTGGGTTTTTAAAATTTGTTCTCTTTTCAGTGGTGAAGAGAGCATTTTTGTTGGTGACTTTCCCCTCATTTTCGTGGTGTGAGAAACATGTTCTTAACGGGATTCACTGTTGCGTCATTCCATACGCGTTCCCGTATGATACATTTGATTTGTATGGGAAAAATTGCAGCAACATGGGGAAATGAAGTAGCAGCATTGTTGTGCAACTTTGGCACGGAATGAGCAACAAGTCTGAATACCTTGGGAAAATAGATATTATGGACTTGAGATACTGTTTGTAATTTCAGGCTCCAATTAATGCCGAAACTAGTCAGTCTCTTTTGTAAAGACATAAACGAAATTTTTTAGCTCACGGGTACCAATAATAGGTATCAGAACCGGGATAAATGTATATATATAAAACAAAACATACGCATTAATAGGTAAAAAACATGTTAATCTAGTATAAAATCATAAATAATGTTTCAATGGAGCTTGGAACAACAAAATTAGCATCAATTAAAAGAAATAAGGTATACAAAAGTACATACGCATAAAAGAAACTTGGTTGACCAGCAACACTGACGTCACATTTAGTCAACATTTACGTTTTATGCTTTGGCCGCTTTTGTTTGAACCTTAATATGTAAACAATTTAATGAAAAATAGTTCTGAAAACTAGCCAATCCTAAACAAAATTCATTGAGGAATTGGATAAAATTATTTTTTTAGTGCTGAGAGGGCCATCTATATAGTAATATTAAACTGAATATCAAAATTGACGAATTTCATATCACAAAATATCACGAGTCTGCCAGCGCCACAAAACGATGACACATTAGTTTTATGTTGTTTTTGTTTTAACCTTAATTTGTAAATAATCCAATAAAAAGGACTTCTAAAAACTAACCAATCCTAAACAAAATTCATTGAGGAATTGGATAAAATTATTTGTTTAGGGCTGAGAGTCCCAGCTAGCTAGTAATATTAAACGCAATATCAAAATCGAGAAATATCAACGTTGAATGTTTTGAAAAAACAATCGATACTATCGCGGTAGTTCTAATAATTATTAAAAAACCATTGAAACCTTTTAGGAACTTGTCCATTGTAAAAATTAGATGCCACCTGTCGATTTGTTTACAAAATGTGTCTTCGTATCTTATAGCAGACAATCCAAACATATTAAAAGCGCAACGACTGTAGCTCGATACTATCATGATAGTCTCAAAACCATCGATAGTAGAGGCTAGCAGCAAAATATCGATACTCTCGACGGCGACGTCACAAATCTCTCTGCCGCGGCCCGCAAAACAACAGAAATTCGGAACCGTATTCAGTAGTTCCAATATTCGCTATTTTTTAAAACAAAAGCTGTCAGAAGGCGTCCGCAAATTTGAATAAAAATGTGCGCTAGTGGCAGTCGGTATTATTCGTAGAGTTTCTGTACCCTGACGCCGCTGATCCGCTCTGTTTGCGGGCTGGCCTGTTTTTGTTTGTCTATAAGAAAATCTGAATCTGAGTCGTCCGTCGCGTCGATATCGAAACGCAAAACGAAAGAAAACGAATTAGAAATAGGCGAAAACAAGGCAAAGGAATAACAGTTAAACACACACCTAACTGTTGTCTGGCCGACGAAAAAAAGGAGTGCGAAAAGTGCGCGAGAAAAATCACCGAAAACCAAAGTGCAAGGAGAGGAGGAGGGAAAAGTGTACGGTTCCGATTTGGAGCTGAAAAGCGAATAATTTTATGCAATTTTCAAAGGCAAACAGAAATTAAGCGTCTGTCTGCCATGCCAGTGTATGTGTGTGTGCGTGTCCCATGTCTGTGAGTGTATAACAAAAGCAACAACAACTACGGGAGAGCCAAAGGAAAGGATCAACGGTGCCGCGCCGCTCGGGGTAGTTTGTTTGAACAACACAGACCATCCAACCAGGAGGCGGAAGGAGAGTGGGAGGAAAGCAGGAGCAGTAGCAGGAGTTGAGGGCTGGCTGGGAGAGCGCAGAGAACACACACACACACACGGGCACACACTCCTTTGTGCGCTTTTGCCGCCTGGAATGCAATGCTACAACAACAACCACAGGATGGTCCGAAGGGGAGGAAACGCTTAATTGTTTGCAGCAGCAGCAGCGGCAGCATCCCGAAATCGCAAACAAACGACTGCATTTACGGCTCCGTGGGATACTTTTTTGTGTGCTGAAAGCAGATGCACGTCGACTGCTTGAAGAGTGCATTGTAAGTATCCTTCAAGTGTTGCTTTGCTCTCCTTCTCCCTTTTCTTTGTGTGTTGAGCAGATAAATCAAGAACAAAAAACAAAACAAAATCAAGAAAGCACTTGGCCCCATTTAGAGTTGGCTAATTATAAAAGTGATTGTGTGGGAGGAGGGGTGAAGGCGGCAGCTGCAGTTCCATTCCCTGACCAACAAGTATGCACAGCTTCCAGTTAGAAGGGGATAGCAGCAGGAGCACAGCACCAAGGCCTTCCAGTGCCAATTCCAGTCAGCCATGAAAACTCCTTTCATTGCCAGACGACCGAAACAGCACTCGTACGTACTCCCTTTTTGAAGTTTCCGTCTGTTGCTGCTCTATTTGCGCAAGTGCAGGGTATCGCGGCTCTCCTTCTCCCTTTTCATCTTTGTTCAAGATTTTACCTGAATTGTTTCGTTATCTTCAAAGAAGGTCAGCTCAATTTTTTTGGGGTTGGTTCTGTTCTGGTTCGCAGCTGGAAGGGTTCCGTAATCGGAACAGGAACCGGAGCAGCACGTTGACACTCGTCCAAACTCATCAGAATAATAACTGTTTATGTGTGGAATGTCTATGCCTCTCCTTCTCCTTCCCTGCTTCCTCGTTCATGCTCTCTTATCGCACGTTTTGTTTGTAATTGCATGACGCCCTTTCGGCTAACGTGTATGTGTATGTGAGTGTGTGAGTGCGTACCTTTCAAACGACTTTGCTCTCTTTGTCTAATTGTAGAGATAAGCGGTAATTATTTTAAATATTATTCCACATTTCAAATGTTTCTGGGCTGGGCTGCTCGTGATTCCTGTTTAGTTTTTCGCACATTTTTATTTGAACACATTTGTACCCAAACACTACGAGTATTTCCGCTTTTAGACACCATAGGAGAAGGGGATTGCTAAGAGGTTTCGTCTTTTCTCGTAAGCGATACTCCTGGAATGTCGGGTAGAATGATGTCTGGTAAAAAGGAACGGGGCGAAGTTTTTAAAACGCTTGCATATCTGGTAGCTGTAGATTGTATTTCAAATCAACGGAAACTCTTCCTTGTATCCGTTGCAAGCATCTGGTCATATTCATGGCACCCTATGTAAGCGTATCAAAATAACAAAATTTGAAAGTCTACCCGCGGAATCAGGATGATGATGATGATGCCTTGACCAAAAGAGTAGAAAATGTTGGCTTGGGGTTATCTGATTCTCGGCCAGCCCGCTCCTAGAGTAACCCAATCCGGATTCTGGCGCACCTGCTGGTGCAATTGTCGAAAATAAAAGGAGAGAACACGAGAGAATTTAAACAAGAAAGAAATAAAGAAAATGAAAAAAATTAACTGCAAACAGCTGTCGGGCATGGGGGTATTACATTGCCTGAGCTCCTGCGCTGAATCAACAGCAAACTTGCGTCTTAATAAAATGCAAACAAGCCTGCACAAAAGGAAACACACACTCAAATAAATATAAATAATCGTATCTTTATGGAGAAAGGCCTCCCGGCTCCCTAGGCGGCTGCATAGGCAAACACAGTAGGTAGGCTCGCAAACTCTATTCTTTTCCAGTGCCTAACAAATGTTGCTAAATAGAGAAGCTCTATGCAACTATTGGATACCCTCTAATTACACGTAGTGTTCGTGCACTTACAATACTGCGATCGAACTCCAACAAATAATTTCATATATATATTTTTTGCTGATTCCGATTAAAATAAATATCTTATTGAAATCAGATTTTGGCAATTACTTACTTCTTCAAAAACACATCATACCCTTACCGCGGACGAGTAAAGCAAATCAGAAGTAGCGAAACGAGGCGAAGTAAAGACAACGAAAAATCATTTACGTAAACTCTGTTTGCTCTCCGATGCTTTTACCGTTACCTTGCATTTTCCTTTCCAGTCGTGTAATTTTTAATTATGCAGCATACGTTATTTTTTTAAATTTTATTTTTGGAAAATACTGCGAGCAAGAAGCCTGCCCGAACACCTTTTTGCCGTGACTATTTTGTGCCGGTTTGCCAATTGGGCCAAAACAAAAACAAACGGCTGGGAACAGTTCGAGACTCTAAGTTTTTTATTTCGAAGCTCTTAGTAACTCTTTGAATGACTGCATTTGTTTGGCATGACGCTGCCACTGCCCCTGCCCCTGCTGCTGCCGCAGTTTGTAACGGTTGTTTGTGTCGTTTGTCTGGCGCCCACTCACCAAACGAATTTCATTTTCGTTTGATTAGTGGACTGCATGGGTGTGCATTTGGCTGGTTGGATGGATGAATGGATTCATGGAAAGGCGTGAATCCATTTATTTGTATGTATTTTTATGTATGTATGTATGCATTTGAGGCACGCCCACCTTCTGTGCTGACATTTTGGCCTATTTCATAACCACTTTCGATTTTCTTGGCTTTTCCGCAATGAAAATCCGTGTGGTCGTCTCTGTTCTTCTTGGAGCAGCGTTGCGTGTTTCAAGAACGAAAGAGAATGTCAAGAGTTCAGCTCTAAAACCGAAAATCGAATGGATTTCCTTCTTTCGCCCTCATAGGGGCATTAATTATGGCCAGGCCCCAACAAATTAACAAAGCCGAAATCGTTGAGGAAGTCTCTTGTCCAACCCATTCCTATGCAGGCAAAAAAAAGCTCTGCAAAGACCATAAAGAACAGGGAGAAAACAAGACAAACAAAAAACGCGGTGAGAATTCACAAAGTACTCAAAGAATAATGAGAAGCGGAGTAAGTAAGAGACAGGAGATGGAAAGAAAGAAAAAGAGTAAAAGAATCAAAAGAGACAGGAGTTAAAAAGACAACACAACAGAAGAACGAAGGAAACAGAAGAAAACGTGCTTATGAAACCGGCAAACAACACATAAAAAACATTAAAAAGTGCGAGAGTACCATATGCCGGTTAAGTAACGGCACTTTTGCTTAGCACTAACAAGAAAATGGCAAAGCAAAAAGCAGACAAAGAAGAATGGGAAGAGCAACAGAGCGGGCAAATTAGCAGAAAGTACAAATTTAAATAAATTTAATATGAATTTCAGGCATTTCCTTGAGTCTCTCTTAGTAGTATTAAATATATTTTAAATCTGTGACTTTACAAGTCCGTTTTTCATTTGTCTGCGAAATATTTTCACATTCTAATAAGTTTTCCCACAAGCTGATGCTAATTTCATCGATTTATCATGATCATGCGAGTGGAAAATCTCTTAATATAGCCCAAAACATGCTGCAAGGCAATTCTAATTCTCTGTATCCCTCACACTCTATGGGTTGTGTTGTCCAAAGAATATACAATCTGTTTTGCCCCGCCATGTGTAAACACACATACATCATTTTATGCACAAATCGATTAAACGTGGCTAAATGCCGAAAGTTTATTTCCAGAGGAAACACACAGCCGTAAACCCCATGGTTCTGTGGTGTCTACAGATTTGTGGGCGTTTGTTGTTGCGAAATATTTATGTTTTCTGTTCTACGTTTTTGATGGTTGTTTGTGTCTCTACCTACCACACTCTCTCTCTCTTACTGCTTCGTGCTACTGTTCTTTGATAACTTTCGATAGATAAAAATACATAAGGTTGCAACACGTGTGGGGCAAAAACAAATCGATTGTGCCTCCCTGCTGATAAGATAACACAACCAAAGCAGAACCAGAAACCTTATCAATCAGGTTATCAGGCTAACAGCCTTAATTATCCAATAAATTGGACGCATTTCAGCAGCCCTCAAAATGAACTGCGAATTATTCAATTAATTGGGAACAGAAATCGAACGAAATACAAAAATAACAAGAAATCCCCTCAATATTGCTCCACCATAAACATTAAGTATTTTCCTTTTTGCGCTATTTTTTATTCATAGAAAATTTGGGTTAATGACGTGCCATACGAGATTGTGTGTGCGTGTGTGTATGTGTGTGAATTTGTGGGGGCAGAGGAAAAGCAGATGCCCTCACCGAATCCCAGAAATAAGCAGAGAAAACATCAAATGGAATGAAAATGCAAGGCAAAGCACAGATGAAGCTAAAGATAGAAAAGCACACATAAATGTTTATGTGTGCGTGGTGACGTTGTTGATTTTGTTCATACAATATAAAAAACTTGATCTTTAGATTATCATCTTCGTTTTATGAGTTCTTTTCGAACGCGAACGCTCAGCATCGCGCTTTCCCAACTGGCTTGACTGGAGCCAGGCCCCAGATCCAGCCCAGACCCACAGATCCCAGAGACCAAGGGCCGAGACATCTTGACACTTGGCTGACCACAGATGAGATGCTCACAGTTGGATTTGTTGTCGGTGAAAGTGTAAAGTCATGGGGGCTCTCGGTGCTCTCGGATGCACAACAATTTGCCATCAACAAAGTATCGTTTACCGTGCGGCATTAGAGACGCACACATCTTTCCAGTACAATATACATACATATGTACATAAATCTGGCAAAAGCCCAAGACTCGTAGGAAATCTCTCTCTCTCTCTCTCTTTCTCTGTCCCCATACTTATCTGTAGCCCTCTCTGCAGCTGTAACATTATTTGTTTAACCGGAATCCCCTTAGAACTTATGGGACGAGGGTGAACCAAAGACAAACATTCGTTCACAAATAGATGGAGTGGATAAGAAAGTTTTCAGCAGTGGATCATCTGTTTGTTGCTTGAAGGGATCGAGGTAGTGCCGAACTGAAAGTGTTTCCTCTAAATTCACACACATACACACACGCACACACAATCTCATACATTTAGAGAGGAAACTCTTAAGCCTAAAAGCCCTTATCACACCGATAAGAAAACTTTTTCCAAGTATTGTTTAGTTCACAGCGTACTTTAAGAATGTTTGCGGTTTACATTTACGTTGCAAGAATTGCCTGATATCGTGCCTTTGCTTTGATTGGTTTATCAGCTGGCATGTATTTTTAAACGAAATGAGCTGTAGCCTTTGAATAAATTATGTATTCACGATTCTCTTAGTCATTTAAGCACCCTTCTCCAAGAAATGCCATTAACTGTTGGTTCTTTCCCTCTGCAGCCTTATCATGAACAAATATTTCCGCAAGCTCTAAGCCTTAGTCTGCAGAGCTGTTGCTCGGACACGGACACATTGCCGGTCCATCCTAAACGTACTCACTCATCTGCATTTACGCATAATTACGCTGCTCTTAAGACAGACATAGAGAGAGAGAGAGGGATAGAGAGTGAAAAATGCGGTGCGTGTGCCTCCATCTTTTGGTGAGCAATTAACAGCAACAACAGCTCTGTCGCCCTTGACAAAAGTGTCTGGCAGCATTTGCCGACGCTTCTTTGGTGCTGGCTCTCAGGCTGTCAGTCAAGTCACTTCCTGTAATAGAAATCCATGCAACATGCAAGAAGACATGCGAGTTGTGTATACAAAATCTCCCTTTTACCCCACAACGCAGCTTCCGCTTCTGTTTCAACAGAAATCTCAGTAAAACCGCAGCCACAGAGGCTGCAAGGAGAGAGAGAGAGCGAGAATGGGAGTAAATAGGGCGGAAAATTATGCGTAGTTGGAATTGGAAAAAGCATCCCAGACTAAACACCACACAACACCAACAAAAGCATAATCATCATCATCATCAACTTGACATTTGTGTGTGAGTCTTGATGCGGGCTTATTCCAGAGATCCCTGTTTCCAGAGTTTTCAGTTCCCATTTCATTCCCATTGTTATACCCTTGCAAAGAAAAGGTAGTATTATTTGCTACAAGCATCCTGTCAGATTGCCATTCTATAAAGGATATACATAATATGTATTACATATACGTAAGTTCTTGATCCGTTTTGAACTTTCAAAATAGAGATCTAAATTGTAAGGGTATCTAAAGTTTCTGCTTTTGAACCTCTCATTGCTTTCTGGTTCCCATTGTTTTCTGTGTTTGCACTCCTTATACTTATTCTTCCTTGGCTACTTTGCGAAATTGTTGTTTTCCTGTTGGGAAGCGACGTTTTCTGGTGCTCTGTTGTTTTTGTAAATGCACGATTTGGTAATTTGGCTACTGCCAAAAGAACGACCTCCTCCACCGTTCCGTGGGGTCAGAGCACGATCTGCAGCAGGCCTGACTTTAACTCCAGACTTGGTTCCGTGGCCTCTGCTCTGGATTTCCCAAGCAACCAGAGCGTTTATCTTAATGTTGAGAAAAGCCGCCTGCTTCCGCCGTGGATAAGGAATATGCAGATATTTACTATACATACTCGCTCGACCAGTTGTAGGCTTATGATTTAAGTGCAACCAGACGATAACTGGGTCAATGTTTTGTATATCCATGACATACATACATATGTATATGAAAAACCAGATTTAAGTCTGTCAATTGCCAAAAAAGAAAAAGAAAAAAAAAACAACTTATTTCCGCACTGCAAAGGAAATTGCAACTCTGAAAGCACTGCAGTGAAGCAGCAACAGCAGCAGCGCAGCAGCAGCAGCGATGCCTGCCTGTCATCGTTTGCTTTGTGGCCACAATTTTATCTCGAGAGGTCATTTACACTACTATTCCACTAAGACGAAGGAGAGAGAGAGAGAGCAGAGATGCAGGTCTACTTGTTTAGTACTTCCATTCGCTCTGCTTTGCTCCGCTCCGCTCTTTTGTGTGTGATTGTGTGAGTGGGTCTGCCTTTTCGCCGCGACTTTGTTGTGCGCGCTTTGCGCATACCCTTTTGTAGAGGGTATGATGGGCATAGGCTGCCATTTGAAAATCAGAGATAATGCAAAGGATTCTAGAGGGGCTTAGGTGCCGCTTCCAGTCAAAATTCTCTTGCTGAGCCGGTATCAGTGACCAGCTATGTTTCATTCGTACATTTTGTATATGTACATGTAGCTTCCGATGGGTTCGCCAGGGCATTGCACGCTTCGACCCGACAAAGCCAGCCCAGCTTTCTGGGTTGTCTCTCCTTCTTTCTTTGGCCACGACTTGTTCTTTGACGGCGCTGATGCTTTTCTCTATGAGTATCCACAGTCGCAGACCCATAGACAAAAGATACGCAGTCTGGGCAATCAGCACTCGTTGCTGTTGCTTTTTTATCATTTGTGTGCCTTGGCTTCCTTCACGCTTGAGTATCTATTGTGGACGCTTTCTGAATGCATTGATGATGTTCACAACACACAACATACATTCTACATACATACATACCTATGTACATACACATGTATAAGAACTTCACTCGGAGTTGCCGTTAATGTCATAATCAGCCCAAAAAGAGTAGGATATGATGGCCTCAAGTGCAAGTTTTACTTGAGTTATGGCCATTAAAACTTGAGACTCGAACCGAGCTTGGGCCTCTTTCTGGCCCCTGGTCGAAGGTTATTACTACAACTTGACTCTGAATATCTGTACACATTTGACGCCTCTCAAGCACTAATTGCTCTCGAGGCTAGCTTTCGGCTGCATGGAAATCTAGTTACTCTTTATCTGCTCTGCACTTTCGAAACCCACAAAACTTACAGAGAACACCAGCAGACACGTACCGTACCCAAGTGGTGGTGTGGGGTGGGGGTCTACAAATGGGTCACAACTATTGCACTTCCCTAATGAAAGTCGTTTGCATGGGCCTCAGGTTGTCTGGGGCTGACAATGATAATTTGTATTTATGTTGTGGACGCGCAACTTGCAACTTCCTGTGGGCGGACATGCGATGCCCACCCACCCCCCATGTCAATTATCGATTAATAATTAACAATTAGGCCCACTGCATGACCAATAAATCACGAAACTGATAGCTCTCTAAATTTGGGTCAACGATCCCCAAATGCAGTCCCAATGTTGCGCCTACGACAAAGGGAAACTCACTCTTTTCATCTGTCATAATTAAGCATAATTTCTTGTTTGGGAAGACATCGTTTTACATCTTGGATTATTTACGAGAGCTCGTCTGGACACGCCTTAGTAGCGTATACGAAAATTTATGATCCACATGAGACAGAGATTTCCACTCGGAAGTGCTTGTAGATTAGTTTGTCAAACAATTCTATTTATACATTAATATGTTACCCATGTTTTTTCTTCTATTACAGATCAACTTGGCTTTTCCAATCAAAATGAAACAAAAGTAATCAAATAACTAATATATGTAGAAGGAAAAAAGTTAGTCCAAGCGAGCGAACGAATAACGAAATCCGAAATTCGATCGACATACCATATACCGAGAACAAGAGTCAAATACTACTAAGGAAAAATGGATCTAAGTCTGGAACGAGATAGCTCTGCTCTGGGTAGTCTGTTCCAACAGATTATCAATGACATGAAGGTGAGTGAGTTCTTCTTGATGTTTTCAGCGTATTTCAGCGGAAATTCGAAATCACTTTCAAACACGAGCATTTCGACAGAAAGTTCTGTTCCGTTTGTCGGTTCTGTTCTGGGAATTCTATATCAATTTTTGGGGAAATCTCCGTCCACACTTTCTCTGTCTCTCCGTTCTCTTTGAACCCACTCAAATAACAAAATTCGGAAAATAAACAAACAACATGGAATAATGACGAGTGCTTTATGCTTTTGCTTTTTCCTTTTGCTGTAACTTGTTCTCATTGTCTCCAATTGTCTCTCAGACTGTGTCAAGAACTCTCAGCATTTGGCCGGAATTCTCTCGCGTGTAAACAAAAACCTCAAGCGCAGAAAAAAAAGAGAAAAAACAAAATAATTAAAAGCAAGGTCAGACAGAAAACCATTAATTTCGGATATTGTCATAAATTAATGCAAAAGTAATAGTTTGTTTGGACCAACAGATGATTTGAAATTATATTTGTTCTACCGAAAAACGTATATTTCTTCTAATTGTTTTAATGGCAAAAAAAGACAAACAAGAAAAATTCCGCACATTTTGTTCGCATTTATCTAAGGCCTCGGCGGAGAGACACGACGAAACGTTGCTTGGCGCAATTTTTGTTGTTTCAGTTTTTTTCTTTTTCGTTTATCATTAATTGATTTTATTGCTAAGTGTCTATTGTGTGGTATCAATAATTTATAGCTCTTATGACGCCATTTGAGGCAACTTACTTTCGTACATAGTAATTGTTTATTGCGCTTATATAACGTGGAGCACACACGGATCGAGGCAATTTCATTTAACAAGACTAAATTAATGCCGAGTGGTGCCGAGCCTTTTGGGAGGGGATCGTTGGGTTGGGGTGGACTAGTATTGGGATTGGATGAACTGCTGACAGCTGCCAATGATTAGGAACTAATGGCATGAATTTAAAGCAGGTAATACATTAGAATATCTACCACTCGGAAGCAGAAAGTGCTTCCTTCATTTTCCCTCAACATCATTGCCCTGTGTGTAGAGGCTCCTCCTCTCTGTCAGTGAAACAAATACATTTATACCCTTCCCACAGGGGGAGTGTTTATTTTATGTGATGTAGAAATAATACCAGTTTTAGATGGGTTTATTTTTAAATTTAAATCAATTAACAGATTAATCAATAATATCTCATTCTTTGTTTCTAACTATTCGTATTATCACAGTAGTCAGAATGATTTTTTCATGCACTGGAATGCTGATCTCATCTCATCAGCTCATCATTTTGCTGCTGCTTATTCGCTCCCAAGACTTCCCACGGGAAGGGCATTTCCAGTTGTATTCTCTGAGAAAGTTCTTCGTCCGTCCTCTTTCCTCTTGCTTCATTTGCTATTCTGAGTTAGTGTAGGGGGGCGCATTTGGAAACGAAAATTACATTTTCAGCACATTCAACACTCTTTCCCTCCCAGCAGCTGCTCAGTCTGTCCGTCACTGCTCTGGACAGGTGTTGGAATTTGTTTCGTCTGCCCCAAAAATAAACTAGCGGCTGGTCGGAGGGGGATGAAGATGAAGGAGAAGGAGTAGGAGTAGGAATCATAAGAAAGAAGATAAGAAGTGCCGCCTTATGGCCGCCTGCTGATGCTGCTATTAATAAGGAAATCCATCTAAACTCCCCACTCAGGCAAAGTGTATTAATATAAGGTGAAGCCTACACCCCACAGTCCTCTTTCAGAATCGTGGCATAATTTCTTTTAAGGCATGAAGACAGAGAAGTAAAAAGAAAAGAAGCGAAAATGCCTCTCCTTATATAAATATATCAATATACACTTTACCCTCAGAGACTATGAATTAGCTTTTTGGCAGGGGAGCAAAGTGCGGAGAGCGTGGAGAGCAAACACTGCTGCTGCGGTTGTCTGACGCGGGCGAGTGCATTTGCTATTTATGAAATTTGGAAATTGTTCAACACGCAATTGTGCAGATGTTGTTTTTGCTCTTGGTTTTATTTTTTTGTTTTTTGTTTTTCATTTTCAACCTGAGTGTGAACTAGAGCAGAAACATATACTGAGAGAACATGTGCAATATGCCAGAGTGTATGCTTTATGAGTGTACGTGTGAGTGTATGTGTGTGGATCATCTTACCAGGTAATTCTTGGCTTTTGCTTTGCTCGGCCTCATTCATGGCTAAAGATTGTCGGCTGCGGTTCGTTATTGTTCTCTCACAAAGTTGCCAAATGCCAATGTAAATGTCACAAAAAAGTGTAAGATGCAACCTCAAGGCGAGAGAGGAGATGTTCCCAAAGGTTAACTTTACCCAAAAAGATAGCGAGAGAGAGAGAGAGAGAGAGAGAGAGGGAGAGAGATCTATTCTCCACTCCACCACACTAAAATTAGTTCCATTTTAATTGCTTGGCTGACTCTCCGTCTGGCTTTTGGCATTAATTTATTTTTTGGCAACAGACCAGAACAAATTTATGCCAGAAACAGAAAACTTCTTGGATCTGACCGCGGTCGCAACTTCAATAATAAGCGTAAAAGAACGAAAAGAACTTCTTATATTTTTTTGTTTGCTGCTTAAATTATTTGCTAATTTCATTTATGATATGCTCTATCTAACGGCTTCTACCAGCCGGCAATTAAAAAGCGTCTAATTTTCCGATCCAGGTGCAAAGTAAATCCACGCAAAAGAAAAGGCAACGCCAAAGAAACTTTAAAAAAAAACCACTAAAATTAAGCAAAACTTTAAAGGTTGTTAGCTTTACACAATAATACCAAAGCATCGTTTCGCTTCGTTGACTGCACTCGGCTTTTGGCCAAGTGTGGCCGAATGTAAAATGAAGACACCCAACATAAACTACCTCCCACCCCTCCTTCGAGTCAGGGCAAATTGTCACATTTGACAAAAGGAAATCTCCGCTTTAAAGTAATTTTCCATTGCAGTTGTTTCACTGTTTTCCGCAAAAAGTGAAAATTTCCCTGCTCTCTGAACTGAACCGAACGGAACCCCCAACTGGCGAACGGTGTGTGGCATGGTGGCTTTCTTCTCTGCAACGCTAAGTTGCCACTTTTGTGGCTTCCCCTTTAGGGCCTCTCTTTATGATGCTCTTGGCCAGGCCATAATCGCGAGCCATCCAACCACTTTGATGTCATTAAGCTGACAACAATTCCATTTCTTTATGTCTCTGCTAATGTACGTGTCATAAGGAAATGTTTCATTACACATACATAAATACATATGTATGTATGTTTGTGTACTTTATACTATTCTAGATTTGTTTTACTTTAAGTTGAAGCCTAGTTAAAAGCTGAGATTTTATTTGACATAATAAAGAAAGCTGGAAATGTTTATTTAAAGTAAAGGAAAATTAAAGTTACCCAACAAAATGGTTTCCTAATGGTGCAACACTTTCTTTTTTTCCATCCAGCGAATTATCTTTCCTGGGACGACATTTGCGACATTGGACAACCAGAAAGTATAGCATTAGATATATCAGACCATAGATGGTCATGAAGCTAGCACCTAGAAACAGGCCAATGGCTCCGCCAAAGGACATGATCAGCTGATCCGTGCTAAACACAACCCGACGCTTCATGCCCATCTTGGGCAGTTCCAGTTTAATGATGATCGTCCGCTCGAACTGTTCGCCCACGTAGCTTTGATCGCCCTGAAAAGGAAAGATAAATAAATACAGATACATTTTGTTTTAGGTGATACTCACTCCGCTCTGTTCGTACTCCTCGATGATGCTGTAGGTAGTCTCTCGGCACAGGGAAAAGCAATGGCAGGGCTTTTCCAGCCAATTGGATTCGGCCAGGCAGAGCATTCCGGTCACATTGCAGATGGGGGCCTGTGGGGCAGCCGTATAGAAGAAGGGCTTGCAATGGCACATGCTCAGAGCCCAGTTGATGCGGCACTCCAGGCGACAGAGGCTCGGATGATACGGCTGAACAGAGAGGGCGAAAGAGAGAGATCAGGAATTGGGATTTCCCTTGAAGAACCGACCTGAATGGAAACTCACGCTATAGTACTGTAGATTGTTCTCGTCGTGATAGCGACACTTGCGATAGGCGACCGGCAGGTTGCGCACTTCCCTGTCCGCCGAAATGGAGCTGACCAGCAGCTTGAGGACGTAGGAGCTCTTCGTCTTGGCATCGAAGGCGACGGTCCGTCTATCGTGTGGCAGCATCAGTTCATTAACATCGTGCATAAACTACAAAAGAATCCTCAATTTCAGTTGAGTTTTACCACAAAGATGCTCGACTCTCACCAGAAACACATGGGTATTGATGCTGTTGAAGGGCTTGTGCATGAACTGGCATTCGTTGAAGAAGCCACACTGCCGCACAGGTGTCACATTCAGGGTTTGTCTGGAAGATCAATGAATCAAGAGGCGAACATAAGATGAAAGCTGAGCATAAACATCACTCACAGCTGGCCATAGGGACTGCCATAGCGGGTTAATTGGCTCGTCGTCTGGCAGAGACCCACCTCTGTGATGATGGGCGCCATGAGAACAGGCTTGGAATGTGGCAGGACCTTCTCCTGCAGCTGCAGCAGCATTTCCACATAGGCCAGATTGTTCAGAGTGCTGTCGTTTTCGAAGGGTTTCAGCGTCTTCAAATTATTATACCGCAAACGGTTAAGAACAAAAAGGAACTCCTTATAATAGGCTGCCTTGACAGGGTCCTGTGTGAGATCCACTGACCAAGTGCTAGATAGAAACGGAAAGGGGAGGAAATACTATTCAATAATCTCTATACGGGCCACTCACTTTCTGATGAGCTTCTCCACTTGCTTCTCCGTCTCGTAGTTCGTGCACAATGTGATCCCGATGAAGGTGAAGTTTCGCAGCGCAAAGAGATATTCGTACTCGTAGACAATCGGATTGTTGCGGAACCGTTCCCACTGGGAGTAGCAGCTGCTGATGGCATAGTAGGCCGAGGCCAGGACCATGGCCAGCCAGAAGAGGCGCTCCACCCAGTGCAGATCCCGCCTGGCTAAATATGGCATACCATGCACGGCCGACTCCTCACAGAACTCGGCCCACCAGTCGTGCGACTGGCACTTTTCCTTGCTGTCCTCCTGGTGTTCCATGATGGACTGAAAGAGAAGCATTGCCATGCGGGGGCACCCTGTAATGCCCTGATGTACGCCACCTGATGGCAATCTCAATTTTAATTGTATTTTGTTGTATGTTATGTGCCACATGCATATATAATTAGACTTTTGAACAACAGCTGATGCTTGCAAATGCATTTTAATGATATTTCACAGTACATATGTATGTATCGGATTCAACATGCATGATTATTATAGACCTTTAGACCTTTTGGATCATACCACGGAGTTCGGTGCAAACCGACACTGGACGCTTCACATTGCGATTGTCGAAGGCCTCGAAGAGCAATACCAATTTGTAGCGTCCATTCATATTGGGTACATTCACATTGACCTTCAGCTCCTGGTCGAAGGACTCGTGTTTCAGCAAGGACTAAAATAGAGGAACGTTAAGAGACATTAGCGAAGACAGGGACTTGTGGATTGAATCGGGAATGGAGACTTTCTCACGCCGCGGGTATTGAGGCAAGTTTTCTTGACTTCGTCAGAGTTGATGATGTGCTGCGTCCAGAACTTATACCAGTACTGGTTCTTCTCGAACATGTTCTTGCAAAAGTTGTTGCTGCTGGCGGAGAACATCGTCTTCTGCCAAGTGCCCTGCTCGTAGTGATAGACTTGTGCGAACATCTGGGGGTGAATATGATTCAAATGGTCAATGTATAGATAGGAAAGGATAAAGGGACCGCTGAGCGCTCACCGTTACGGTATCGCTCGGTTTAACATCCTGCCAAACGATCACGGCATCTCCCGCCATTTGTACGGTGGACTCTGCCTTCAGTGTTATTTCAAATTTGGACATGTCAAAGAGGGCGTCGATGCCGGCAGGGTTACCCGGATAGTTCTCACAGGGCGCGAACAAACCATCCTTGTCCAGGATGAACTCGTACTCGATGGCTCGTGAGAGGCAAACGAGACTCAGCTGGAGCACTACGCAGAAGGCCTTTGGCTTGTTCAACATTTTTCGCGATGGATAGACACTTTCCGCCATGGCCCTTTTATATACAGATTGGGTGTCTAAACTATACAATTATAATAACACATCCGATCGTATCAGTTCGGTGGAATACACCAAAGGGCGTTGCCAAAAACCATTTTTAAACGATGCCCTATAATTTATATCATGGCGCAATGGAGTCAGGAATCACGAATTCGATCTATATCAGCCCAGGTAGGTGTTAGCCGGATACGGATAGCATTGGGAAGGCTCACACGCCCGGCTAGCTCAGTCGGTAGAGCATGAGACTCTTAATCTCAGGGTCGTGGGTTCGAGCCCCACGTTGGGCGCATTTTTTATTCGATATTCGTTTGGTATCCGAATAAATGATATAGATTCAAATCATGTTCCTAGTATATGTAGGTACTATATATGTATATCCAATCAATAGGATAGCACTAAAATATTTTTTATTTCTCAGAAATTATATGGTACAAATTAAACAAATTCAAAGAAAACGAAGCGATTAAGAATCGGTAGTTAATCTATTGAAATATGTTGAATGGCTGTTCAAAATTTCGTTACATTTTTTTACTGTTTGGAATCATATACGAGCATGTCTATTACATCCTAGGGATGATCTTTACTCGGAAAATTCAAAATCTTTTTATAAAAAAAACGTATGTGCCTATATGTATGAATCTGTGTATACTATATACATATATCTTATATTCCTTCCAGATATTTTTTAAAAGCAAATTACATGCCCGGCTAGCTCAGTCGGTAGAGCATGAGACTCTTAATCTCAGGGTCGTGGGTTCGAGCCCCACGTTGGGCGACATTTATTTTGTTTGTTTATTATTACCTATATTTTTTATTGAAAATGGAAATTAAAGAGATCATTCCAATTCATTGGCCTAATATTGGACTAATCACACAGTCAATTTAAAATGAAAAGCCTGTTTGTTATTTATGCATATTTTATGAGTGCAAGGTTGTAGACTAGTTTTTGGTGCATATAAAATATGCATTTAAGTTTTCAACATAATACTAATTCATATGTTGGTAAATCGAACCTTTAGCAAAAACTCTTAATGTTTCGCTATTCAAGTAAAGTACCTTGAGGAACTTTGACGTTTTTTTTTGAATACTTACAAGTTTTCTGTCATACAAATTCAAGTTTACATATCTATTCTATTTATTCCCAATTGAGAATAAAATATTGATACATAAAATTATGTATATCATAAGGTTCTTATCGTGTTGTTAGCCATTTGGTTTCCCTGTTCTCAGGTGCCCGGCTAGCTCAGTCGGTAGAGCATGAGACTCTTAATCTCAGGGTCGTGGGTTCGAGCCCCACGTTGGGCGCAACTTTTTTCTTCTTATATTTATTTTATTCTATTTGAATGTTTTCCCTATTTTAGTCTGTGTGACCTTTGCCCTTAGGCTTAACCGTTACAGCTTTTCGTATTTCATGGTATGTATCTCAATTTTGTGGGGGTTTTAAGACGTAAGAATAGACATAGACGCCCCCGAGTACTCACATACAAACGTAAACGTCTATACATAGGTATAGACCAGAGCTAATGAGTTTTTATTTATGGCAGCATTCGCAGCTGACGCAATGTGTTGCCAGTTCTATGACAATATATCGTGTACAGTTTTTCCTTTTCCTCTCCCTCGCCCGTTCGAATTGTTTGCTCGTTTGAAAAATGTCTAAAAGCCACATTCAAGGTTAGGTCTCTCGACTGGAAATCGAAACGACAGTTCACAATGCACTCTGTGTGTCGTTGTTTTATGGTTAACAGGATGGGAACAGGATGATGCCGTCAGGCTGTGGCTAACTAGTGCAAGGTCCTTCAGAGCGGAAAGAATAATAGGAGCCCACATATGAGTGCCTGGAAATGGCATTCTTTTAGTGCACATATTTGTATGTGCTGTACTGTAACAGTTACTGCAGGCACGTGCGAATAGCTTACGCTCTCTTTGCTGCTGCTCAAGCATATGTAATAACGAGGTAGAGAGAGAGAGAGAAAGACATCCCGCACCCAGCCTCTGCTGCACATCCAACTATTTTCTTTCCAATGCTTGTGTTTGTTTGCTCTCCCAGAGTGCAAATTTAGAGAGCAGCTTAAAGTACAGCCCTAACGAAGCTACAAGCATAAATCAAAGAGGTTTTTTTCACGTCTCGTTTAGCCATTACTTAAGCTATCACTCATTCCCTTGCGCATCTCATCTGGGCACCTAAGCAAAGTTTCAATTACAGTTAAGTGAATGGTGAAGTTCTCTCACAAAACTGTTGATGAATTCAGAGCCTCTCTTTGTCCTCCTCCCACATACACAGACAGGGTAATCTGAGAAGAGAAAAGAAGGAACAATTGAGAAAGAGAAGCCTCAAGCATGATGATAGCTGTATTAATTACTCTGCATTATTCCTTAAATTAGATTGCAGTGTAAACACGACTATTGCTCTTTCCACTGCTGCCACTGCATGATGACTGCCGTCCGTCTCTCTCTGTCTGTCTGCTGCCCGTCGCTTAGGTTTGTCTGTCACATGTGACATGCTGTGCTGTGCTGTGCAGGCGAAATCTGTAGAGATTCGAACTTTGGATATGTATGTCTGTTTGAGTGCTCTGCATGTTAAATTTCTGCTCCATCTACAACGAACGGGCAATCAAGGAGCAATTAATTTTAATGAATATGAAATTGCATTTTGCGATACACAAGCCGAGATATTGTTAGGGATTGTTTTTCTTGTTTTTGTAATTGTTTTCCGCTGTTGTATTATTATTATTATGGTGGGTGTGACACTGTTGTCTCGTCTACCACACACGCCCAATTATGCAAAATAGTTTTGGGCTACATTTTTGTATTATTCTCTTGTTTTTTGAACACAACCAAAATTGAATTCAATCAGCCTCTCAATGTCAAATGAAAGTTGAGCGAGTGGATACAAACTGTAATTTAAATCCATAAAAACTCTCGAGGCAAATCTTTCCTATCTTAGCGCTATATATCACATATATTACAGTTTTTTTTTTGGCATAAAAAATGCAATTCTGACATGATAATGCATGCATTCATTGTTTCGCGTGCGGATTATCGATCAAATCTGGGATTAAATTATGTTAGGCTAATCCGATAATTAGCTGAAGCAATTACGTATGTATATATACATATACATCCCCTTACACAACTATACACAATGAGGCTATATAAAGAGTGACCAAACAGTTCCTACATTGTAAAGATGTGGAAAATATTATTTCTGATCCATGTGGGCCTGGCCGGAATATGGGCCACAGACTACGAACTGTTGCTGGAGGATCCGGATATATTTACACCATGTACCGAAGCTCCGCCCGGAACAATCTTCATTCGCGACGCCATCAATTTCGATCAATTGAAAGTCGAACAGGAGGCCGATACCATACACATATCGGGAAATGCCACCACCACCTGGGATCTACAGCCCAACGATCGCATAGCCGTAATTCCCATCGCACAGCAACCGAACCACTAAGTTGAATCTCATCCCCCTACACCCAATTCTAGGCCAAGTTCGCCTTGTTCCACCACCAGCGGGGAAATTGGGAGCCGACCGTTTTTACCATGGCCACGAAGGACTTTTGCCCAATGATGTACGACAAGGATCAGTATTGGTTCAAATATTGGACGTCATTCATCACAAATCGCGAAGATGTGGAACAGCATTGCATAAAAAAATTAGGTGTAAGTTTTCCAAGCAAGCGATTGGAATTTTGTTTCTTTTAGTTCTCACGTTTGAGCTCGTGTGTTTTTGTGTGGATTATTATTTCAGACCACGCTCATCCATGAACCATTTGATTTGAGACTGATGCTCAAGAACATACGGGGTGCCACCCTAAGCGGACGCTATAAAACGGTCATCAGTTTTGAGGCATTCGATGAAAGGAATGTCCCGCGTCCCCATGGTGTCTGCTTCGAAATCAGGGGCGAAGCTGAAAAGATTAAGAAGTGAGAGAGCAGACGATCATCTCAAAGCTAAAGATAGATTTAAATAAAAGCAAATTTCGTGGGTTCATATACATATACACGTATACATATTATAAAAGGTATTCCCGTAAGGAACAAGGATACCAAGGATAAAAGTTGAGTTTTATTTCTTTTACAGAAGCAATTCTTTCCCTCATCATATCTATGGGGATTACATTTCATGGTAGCTCTTGCCTTGCTAGTATTTCCATTATGATGAACTTCTCGTTCCGTTTTGTTTTTGCGGTTTCGTGGCACGCGTTGACTGCCACTAGCGTTCAAGTTGCGGTTTCCATATCGCTTGGATGCATGTTGCAAGCCCCTTCTTTGGTTACGCCGATAAAAACCGAAACTACGTACCATATTCCCCCCTACTCCTCAGCGGGAGTCGGAGTCAGAGTCTTTTGGGGTCACAAATGGGGCATTGTTAGAAGCGCGATATGCAAATGCAGCCAACTGTCTGTCAGTTATTGAATTACTCGGTGATTGGCAGCATAACTGCGAGTATCGATTGATGGATTCGCATCGCCTACAATCCAATCGATTTGCCAAGCAGCTCGCTCTCCCGCCGCCATTGTCTTCCATTCTTTTGCCAACTGAAAAGAAAATTTTTTGTTGTTTTGATGGAGGTTTCTGTAAACTTTCGAGCCCCCTTCCTTCCTTCAGGGAGGGATAGATTGGGAAGCACTTTCATTTCATATTCCTGCCGCATAATTTTCTACTTTCTAAAGCTGAAGCTATTTTTTTTTTGTAGGTGCAAATTAGCAGCGCACGACTTTACCCTCGCCTCTCCTTGTCCCAGCACCGAAAACTAGCGAAATTATGGCCCGAAGCAAACTTCATATACGTTGGATCTTATAGAAAATCAATCAGTGCAAACTTCTTCACAGACTCTGCTAGATTTTGCATAAGGAACAGCTTATTTTTATTTATTTATTTTTTTGTTGTTGTGGTAACCCAAAATGTGCTATGTAGGACGAGACTCTGAACCCGTTTTTGGCCAACCCCAGCTCCGCCTCTTTCTAGCTGCTGCTGCCTAGACTCGGGGAATCTTTGGGGCATTATCAAACGGTGACAGCAACAGCAACAGCCACGGCAGCAGCAGCAACCAGCAAAAGCAACAGCAGCAGTAGCAGCAGCAACCAGAAACAGCAACAAAATTGTTGCATGAATGAGGCTGTGAACCAGCTGAGAGGAGTCAGTTTCGTGTAGGTTGCTTTTGTAGGCTATTGGAAAGATCAAGAGTTTATAATGTTCCTGTGTGTTTGTTTCTGTGTGTGAACTTTTCCAGTTTTGCTGAGAGAGTCTGTGACTGGCATAAATTGTGGGTTTTTAGGTGTCTCGCGTTCACCGAGCGAGCGTCAGTTTGCCAAGATAAATGGATGCACCATGGGAAGGAAGGTGGGTGAGGGAGAGGCATTGCACTCATTGCTCGTGGTTGCTTCGTCCCACAGATTCGTCTGCTAAAAACTGGAAAGTGTTTTGAATACACGCCACAGATTTGCGGTAACGATTCGTATATTCTTTTATACTTCGGTTATAAGATACATAGTTTATCCACTATATTCGAGAGTATTCCAAGCGGATACTTCTATTAAAGGGGGTGACCCACCTGACATGCCTGGTCCCCTTCCATCTTATCTGTGTGCCGCACTCATTCATAAGCCCAGACCCAAGACTCAGTTCGTGGCTCTCTCGCTATCCATTCGAGTCTCTGAGCCAACGCCAACGCGTGCTGCGGCTGTGGCTGGGGGCTCTGGTCAATGTAATGACAGCTTTGCGTGTTTGGGTCCGCCAGTTGCCTGGTGGCACCTCCTCTCCGTATGACAACCGAAATGTTCATTCATAAAAAGTTTGCTGGAGACCCACGCAGACGGGGCAAAAGACTCTTATCAAGTTGTCGTTCGACGTTGGTTGCGCCACGCCACGCCACGCTACACACACACTCTACAGATAAAAAAATTATTTTGCAAAAATAACATACAAAAAATACATAAAAAATTATGTGGGCAGCGATTTGGAGTCGAATTTTGTTTTAAAATTGGAAAAATCCAGCTTAAAAGTTTATGGAAATTATTGATTCTTTCTGCCTTGAGCAGAAATATTAAATATTTTGTTGATTTAGTTTCGAATTCTTTCTGGCTAAGGCCGACCCACACACGACTTTTTTAATGAATCTTAAGTTTGGTCTTGGAGAAATTTGATCTTGAACGAATTTATAATGAACCAAGTTTGCAAGTTTCTCTGGCCTAATGATCTGATATATGTTTCACTTGGAATTGTATATCTGCACACATTTGGTTGTAAACCACTTTTGGGGTGGGTTAATTGCATGTTCAGACAGCTCCCTATGGGGTCTGACATTTGAAAGGGAGCCGGAATCATGAAAATCGCACGCGAACGAACGCCAAATATGGTTCATCTGTGAAGGGGGAGGCAGAGATACCATACATGCACACATATGTATATACATATATAAACGAAGAACCAACAGAGGAATTGAAAACAATAAAGGCGGCATCGACTGTCAGATTCTTTTTGAATCTACAGCAACTTCTTGCACATACACTTTTCAAAGATAGATTCGTTAATGTATGTAAGCGGGTTATCCATATAAAATGTGTATATGTATTTATAATTGTAATTTTTTCGCTCTCAGAAAATGTTGTTTCATTAGATTATTCTCAGTGAACTGACAACGAGAATGTTCTCATTGTATAGTGATAGTGAGAGGAAAAGGTCTGGCCCCCAAGTGCTTCGTAGATAATATTTTTGGCATACGAAAAAGGCTTTGCAAAAGCTTTCAAGCTCCATGGAACTCGTAGTTTGCTTGGCTCTGTACAGGAAAAAAATGGATTATTAATGTGAATTCAAGCATTGACCTGACAAATACATACATATGTACATACATTTATAATGTAGCGTACATTTTATTGATTGTTAAAGTTCATTTTTCAGTTCAGTTCTGTTTTCGTTTTCTCTTTTATTTATCTGTTGAGGGTGGTATATTTTGTCATTACGAGCATTATTATTATTGTCGCTCGAATGGCACATTGAAGTTCATTTGTTGGGACAATAATTGTTGAGGGTTTTTTTTATTTTTTTGGGAGGGTTAACCGAAAAGCTTGCAGAAAATGTCCAAAAATCGATATCCGTTCCGTTTTGCTTGGTTTTCTGTTTTTTCTTTTGGCTTTTCCCGTTTTCCCCTTTGTTTCGGACGGTTTCGGCTTTTGGCCAGGTCCAATGCACTCGCCCCGTCTGAGTTTTGTATATGCAATTGCCCTGGCCTGGCCCAGAGCCGGCTACATTTCGGGCCTTTTTGCATTCAAATCGATTTTGCAATTGACATTTTGCTGGCTTTTATTTAAATTTATTTCGCTTTACTTCATTTCGTGGTTGATTGCGCAAAATCTGAAAGTGAAATGGAATTGCATTTGGCATTTGGCTGACGTTGATGTTTGGCTCTAGGGATGGCATGGGAATGGATTTGTCTATCGTCTACTTCAGCGTTTTAATAGCGGGTGACTTGGTCAGTGACTTGTCTCTTCCTCCTTTGGGCACTCACTTTCAATGTCATTTGTTGTGTAATTGAAACATTAAAATGGCCCAAAGCAAAACCAAAGAAACCAGAAAACCCGTTTTCACTTTTATTGACCGTTTTGTGCTTCTCTACTTGATACTATTATCTGTTTATTCTGTCATTTTTTTGTATACTCGTACACACACATAAAATCTTTAGTTGCCTTTTATGGCTCTTGTCTCTTAATAATCTGCTGCCGTTTCGCCAGCCTGACACTGAGACTTGACCAGCAGCTGTTGTGGTTTTGACCAAATAAGTAGCTGGAGAAGATTTGTTGTGAGCAAAGCTGCTGTGTGAGTCCCAACACCAGCATCTAGGGATCGTTCTCTTGGCTAAGCTCTCTCTCTAAGGCACAAAAGAGAATGAAGGGAAATGGCGATGAGTCGTTAGTGTTGGGGAACGGTTTACGGATTATGGATCATGAGCTCTCCCAGTAAAAATTACCCTCTTCATGGAAAGCTTTTTATACGTTTTAATAGTACGGTAAAAGGGAGGGCACTCTTATGTTAATCAGTTGCTGGTAATCCACACAAGGAAGCATTAACTGACCACCTTTAATCACGTTTAAAATCTTTAAAGTTACCTAAATATGAAAATTTGTTTTTAATAGCAGACACCCAATTTAAAGGGTATCGAAATGCCTCTATATGCATTCGTAGCATCGAGAACACATCAATTTTTTGTACTAATTTTTTTTCTGAATATAGAAACGAACAAAATGTAATTAGCAAACTCTGCCGGCAGGAAGAGAATTCCATTAAATGCTCCCCAAACTGTGGCCCGCTCATATCCTGTGGTGTCGAACCATATGCTGGCTGTCGCCCCAATTTGATTATATTATGTGCTATAGAGCATTTCTCTCTCTCTTTTTCTCTCGCTTACTAACTGCATTTGACCCCTGTTGTGGGGTCATTTATTCGTTCAACTTTGCTTTATTTTTTTTTTTTAGCTTTATTCAGATTTAATGAAATGCACAGACAACAAAAGTCAAACTCAATTAGATTAAATCCGAGCGAAAATCATGTGGATGGAAAGTTGTCAGCAGTTTGAACTTTGAACTTTTGTGCGAGATAATGGGATTTGAAATGTGCCAAAGGCAAACCGAAATGATCTGTATGTATCTGGAATTCCATCTCATCTGTGGCAACTGAGATGTCCCAAATGTATTGAAGAAAAACCTTTTTATGTAGCACGTACGCCCGATTTGTCTTGATATGTCATCCGAAAGTAATTTCCTCATAGATGAGAAGTTTATTGTATTCCTTGGCTCGGGCTTTGACTCGTCTTATTGATTTTTCCTTGGCTTTTCTTGCCTTTATGTCGGGGCTTAGTTTACATCAGATATATTGGGGCACTTGTCCCGAGAATATTTCATTAGGTTACGAGGATGCTTTGATTGTTTGATTGCTAACTAAATATATTTCCCTTTTTCTCTTTTTCTCTCTTGCAGAATACTTCTCCACTGTGGGATGATTTCGTGGCAAAGGCCAGCAAATTACACACATGCTTGAGGTGAGTAAAACGGATTTCCCAATGCGGGAAATCATTATACGCATGGGACTTCCACGGCACTGAATGGAGAGCCAAACCAATTGCGATTGCAAAACTTTAGGAACGGAACGGGCACCACGAGATATGCAAATGAATAAATAAACAAATTTTGTTTATCCGCATCTCGATTTCCCAACAAACAAACAAAATGGCTTCATATTAATGGTATTCCAAAAAGATATTTGGATTTGCTTCTGAGACTAGTCCAAAGCATATCTTAAGCCAATCTAAATCTGTTTCAGACATACCCCAAATGTGCATACATACATATCTATGATTATTTCTGAGCTGATTGGTATGAGAAGAAGGGGCTGGTGGGGCCTGGGGTCGGACCACCGACGCCGTCGTCTTGGCGTATTTTGTTTATTTCATTTTCTTTCTGTTGCTTTTTTCCGTTTTTATGCTCAGTCTTGGCCCAAATTCACTTTGGGGACGGACAGGGCAATGTCTGGGCACCGGTATATGGCGGGTATATACAAATGTCTGTACATGTGCTCATAAGACATGCACACACATGCGGATTGCATTAATCATTACCTCAAATCATGTTGTCCGAGGTGGGGATCGTCAGAGTTTGCCAAAACTAGCACCGAGTGGCTTGCCCATTGCGCTTGACACACATCCATGGAGGGGGGTAGGCTGTAGCCACTATAGCGAATCCAAACAGACGCATAGCTTGAGAAGCATGATTTGATACCCTAGAAGAGGGTATTATACGTCATGGCACAATACGTGGAAACGGAGTTAATTAAGCATTACTATGCCTAGCAAATACTATCATATTCAGCATAAATGATAGTCTCTACCAAAGAGTCCCATATAATAATATTCCAGGGTATTTCAAGCTCAACCTTCCAATTCATTCTTCACTTATTTATGAGCAGTGTGACTGCAGTTGTCTCTCTCTCTCTCTCTCTTAATTTTTCTTAATGTTTCTCAATTGAAATGTCGCCCACCAGTAGTTGAGACTATTTTATGCTGTCATGGATAATACGAGTAATAATGCTGTTATATTTATTTATTACAGGGCTGCCATACAGGCAATTGCCGCCTATTTGGATGCCTTCCAGAAAATAGCCGATGCGGCCACCAATTCCAGAGGTAAGTTCAAACGGTGTATGGAGAGGGATAATGGAGGATTTGTCTGGGTTGGTTGCCCCCTGTAATTCTGTGTCTCTCTTACTCATTTGCTCATTATTTATGCGTCCGTCCGCTCTCAGTCAGTGGCGGTCATCGATCTGATTTTTACACATTTCACGCTACCCCTTCCCATTTCCCCCTCAACTTCCACATCTTGTTTGTGTGTGGTTTGTGTTGTTGTTGTTGTTATTCTATGTTCTGTCTGTGCTCACGCATTTCTTCTGGTTTTGCTATTTATATTTATTTATTGGCTACTCTTCACGTCGTACCAATCGAGTAGGCCGTCAGAGTCCGCCCGATTATGCAATGCAATGCCCGCCCGATGGATCACCTCACTTTGCCCAGGAGACGGGGAATTACTTACAAAATTACCCACACACATATGTATGTATATGTACACAGAAGTATAGGAGAGAGAGCTTTGATGATATGCTCGCCACCCAGCAAAGACAGGGCTCTGTACCTCTCGAACAGAGCAGACAGCGAGTATTTAGCACTAGTCGCGATACCCTTTCAGATGATACTATGATTTTGATCAGATGTTTGGAAAGCAGCATCTACACAACAATTTTTAAAGATCAAATATATTATTTATTTGGCCATGGCTCAGGGTCTAGCTCAAAGTAATGTAATGTAATTCGGATGACTTCATCGCATAGCTACCATATAAACGATCGAGCTGTTAGGGTATCAAAGCTTCGACTCTCTTACTTTGCTGTTCTTGTTGACACTTCGCATTTGCTTTGCTTGAGTTACAGTTATACAGTTAACTAGCAAATGCATTGGTCAGAGTGATGGGAGAGTGAGGGAATCAGGAAACGACAATGAGTTCTGGTCTGGGCGATAGAGAGAGAGTCCCAGAGAGTAGTCTGGAGGGGAAGCGTGCAAATGTTAAAGATAACAACATCAAACAGGCATGTACAGTAGTGGCTCAGATATTAGCACCCTTTCGGTTGCAGAGCGGTGTGTCCAATTTCCAAATAATTTAGTATGCACTCAAAAAAGAAATAAATAGAAAATAACAATTACACGGTGACATACGAGTATGTACATATATATGTGCATATTTCGAATACTTTTTACCGATAGGGAGATTTACAAAACTTACTTATATTTTTTTCTATAATTCTACGATTATGCAATCCATTTGGCTCATAGACCATGGATTTCCTCTATGTGGACTCTAATACAAAATACTGATTACTGAATATCCACAGAGGTATCAGTCCATTAAATGTTTCAATTTATCTATCAGTGAGTGCAAAAGATCATCGATGGCTATAAAAGAGCTGTAACCAGATTGGAATTCCTATTTACATACTAGTATACTATCCAATATGCCAGCAACGAGACTGAACTTTTTCAATCATCTGCTGGGGATTGGGGAGAGAGAGCATTAGCATATATTGATCCACTCCTGCCTGCCATGTGGCAAGTGTCCGCAGACAGGAGCGTTGCGTGCGCCCTTTGCCCCGCCTGGTGTACTAAGTGCATATCCCCGTAATTCTAGCCATTAGCCACCACCTTTCTGCTTGGCAAACGACTGGCCAAAGCCCCCAGTCTCCCCTCATCATTTGCACTTGCTAAATGGTTTCATTAGTTTTAGTGGTTACTGCTGGCTTAGTCAAAGGCAGGCTGGGCAGAGCTCGGTCAAGCATCGGCACAAGTGTCAATTGTCCTTTTTTTTTCAAGGAGGGTGTAACTCAATGCTCGGCACATGCCACATGGTAACCATTGCATCCCAAACACCCACCCGGTGGTTGCTGCGTGTCCACTGAGAAAAAAGAATGACAGAACTTGGCAAAAGTCCTTCAGAAACTGCAAAGAGATTTTCCGAATCTTCGAGCATGGTTTTTACGAGTGTAAAAAGACTTTGGTATTTCGTATTCAATTAAGTGGGATTTGGAGCAAGTGCTTCATAAGCACATGCGAGAGTTGAAGGCAAGTCAAAGCAGAATCAATAAGCTGTCGAAAGATAATTACCTTTTACCAGGAGGTTAATACTAGACATGAGGCTGAGACTCAGCCTGAGAATAGTAATGGGAATGAGAGTAGAGCCTGAAGCTTCCCAGTCAAAGTCGGAGATAATCGGGTCTGGGTGTCATTCGTTTGTGATATGCAAAGGAAAGGCAGGAGCTGGAGCAGGAGCAGTGGCAGAACCAGAAGCCGTTGGCCTGACCAGTTTTCCTGACTCTGTCCATGGCATAATGGGCACACACACACACATACACATGTGCGACTCTATGCGACTGGTCCCGAATCGTGCCGCATGCAATGTCAGTTGCGCCTCCAAATTGAAGCGACAGGCCCATGGCGTGCGACTCTTGTTGCATGGCTGCAAACGTTTCCGCTGCCGGAGCATCGTTCACCATTGCTCCATTGCTCCATTTCTGTTCCCCATCAGTAATTTAATTTTCTGCAAAAAATAAATAAAAATATTTTATTAAATAATTCGTTCTTTCCGTTGCACCTTTGCAGGTGCCTCCAAGGAAATTGGTACCGCCCTGACCCGCGTCTGTTTGCGTCACAAGGCGGTAGAGACCCGCCTGAAGACCTTCACCAGCGCCATTATGGACTGTCTGGTGCAGCCGCTGCAGGATAAGATCGAGGATTGGAAACGAACCGTGGCCACCATCGACAAGGATCATGCCAAAGAATACAAGCGCTGCCGGAGCGAGCTGAAGAAGCGCTCCAGCGACACGCTGCGGCTCCAGAAGAAGGCCCGCAAGGGTCAGACCGACGGCCTTCAGTCGCTGATGGACTCCCACATGCAGGACGTGACCCTGCGCCGCGCCGAGCTGGAGGAGGTGGAGAAGCGATCACTGCGGGCGGCCATGGTGGAGGAGCGGCTGCGCTACTGCAGCTTCGTTCACATGCTGCAGCCGGTGGTGCACGAGGAGTGCGAGGTGATGTCCGAGCTAGGACATCTGCAGGTGGGTTTTCGCCTGACTCATCGTCATAGATGAATCACAGGAGTGTCTTACTAATATCTGACGCTTGCAGGAGGCCATGCAGTCCATAGCTCTCGTCACCAAGGAGCCCAGTGTCCTGCCGCAGGCCTCCGAGGAGCTCATCCACGATGCCAAGGCCAGCATCAATCTGTATCCGGAGTCACCGGGCGGTGGATCCGGCTCTCAGGGCGGCGGCTGCACCAACTCTTTGGGATCTAGGAAGAGCTCTGTGTGCTCCATCAGCAGCATGAACAGCAGCGGATCGAGCAACTCTCCGGGTCATCATCACTATCCGCGCTCACTGTCGCAGGTGAAGTCCTTATCCACATCCAAATCCGCATCCCCAACCTCTGCCTTTACATTGATATCCAAAATTGTTGCGTCCTTCATTTCCTTGGTTTTCATCAACGTTCTTTTGTGTTTTGTTTTCGTTTCCGTTTCCTTTAGTTTGTAACGCCCGCAATTCGCTTGAAACCTGGTGAATCCAGTGATAGTGGCTTTTGCTCATCGCCAGCTCTAACAACACAGGTTTTCATTTCTTTATTTTTTTTTTGTCTCTATTCCCTTTGATTTGACCAAATTCAAAATTTGTTTTGTTTTGCTTTCTTTTGTGCCCAAAGAGTTCCCCCCCATGGCCTTGCTAACTGATTTTTCCTTTCGAATTTCAACCGTTTAGACATCGAACGCGACGAATCAGACGGCAAATGTGTCGACATGGCCGCCACATTCCCAGGACGTGGTGGATACACTACCACCCACGGCCGATCGACCGCACACCATTTCCACGGCATACGAGAAGGGTCACCAGCGTCCGCCACTGACTGTTTACACGTTCCAGAACCCGGAGACCATTCACGAGTCGGGGAGCGGCAGCATCAACAACGGATCTGTGGCATCATCCAACGGACAGCCATCATCGGGCCAAACCACACCGGCCACCCAGAAGTCACCGGCCGCATCGCTTAGTCGTCCGCCTCTGCCAGTTGTAAGTATGGAGGCAAATCGAGATGCAGTCCTGGGTTTGTCCGCCTGTCAGAGAACCGCCATAGAAAGGACTACGGGTTGTTAGGGGAAGATCCGCTTTAATTGGGGGAATTTTCGCACAATCTGGTGGAGTGGCAGGCCAGCAGCAGGCTTCAGCGTCTCCGCCAGGTACAGTGGATAGTCGGTTGCTTCGACTCTAGCCTTCTTTACATGCTATTAAGTGTTTTTCTCATTCCGTTGGGGTACCATCGCCCATAGAAGCCGGCCCATGTGGTGAGTATACGGATGAGTCGAAGGAGAACCCATCGTAGAACCCAATGCGCGCTCATTTGCATGCGCCTCCCCGCACCCCCGCATAGCCAGAACGTTCAGAACTTAGACTCCAATGTCGCTTCATTTTGAAATAAAACCCTAGAATACTAAATGAATTGGACATGGGCGAATAGTAAAACGTTAAATGTCTCCCCATTGCAGCGCTGCTCGTCGTTGGAGCGTCCGCTCTCGGCGCAGAGTAACCACCGTCAGGGCAGTGGAAGTGGTGGCCTGCTGCAGCGTCAGTGCCCCTCACCGATACCAGCTCATATCACGAAAGGTAAGGGATCCTGATGCCAGTCCACGTCCCCGTCCCTGTCCCTGTCTCTCTCTAGCTTTTTATGTGTGTGTTTGTTGCACGCTTGCCAATGGCCATAATCCCATGATTCTTACTAATAACCGTTATGTGACACTCTCTCCCCTCCTCCCATCACGCATGTCCTTGCTAACTTCATCTGCAACATCCACCGCAACCGCAAACACAACCACAACCATACAGAGCTGTCCGCAGCACATCATGCACAGCAGCAGCAGCAACAGCAGCTCCAACAGCAGCAGCAGAACCCGCCCACATACGTTAACATGTCCGAATTGGCCAACATGGCGGCCTTGAAGCTCACTAACCACCAACAGCAGCAGCAACAGCAGCCACAGCCACAGCAGCAGCAACAACAGAAGCCCACGCCACCGCCTCTGCAGCAGCAGAGTTCTTTTGATTCGATCTGCTCCCAGCATTCCAACGACTCCTCGGGCTCCCATCAGCTTTTCCAGCAGCAGCAGCATTCACATCAGCAGCAACAGCAACAAACGCCCCATGTTGCCCAGCACATTGCCACACGCTCCCATTCCATATCCTCGACGGCCTCGTCGCTGCACTCGCATCCATCGATCGACTCGACGGTCGCTTGCGGCTCCCTTGTGGGCCAGCACACACACAGCACCAGCACCAACACGAACACCACCTCGCCGTCCAGTGGCAGCTCCACGCCACAGAATCATTACTCGCCCCTGTTAACCAACTCACCCACGTCCACTGCCGCAGGTACGCCCAGTGGAAGCAGCATCAGCACCGGACTGGGATTCGTATACCAGGTCAGCTCGCCCACGCCGCCGACAAGCGAGGTGCAGGTGCTAAAGATCACCGAACAGGCGGGATCTGTGCCGCCGGCCAGTGCCGAGGAGACGGACGAACGGTCGCGTGCCTCTGTGCTGCAGAAGGCCTCCATGTTTGAGAAGCAGGCGGCAGCCGTGGCAGCAGCTGCCGGTAGTGTGTCGCCACCGGTTCCGGCCACGGGTCCATCGAGTGCAGCGGCTGTCACAAATGCCGGGGGACCGAAACGATCCGAGGCCGAGCAACAGGAAATGGGTAAGTTGAATCATTGATCGATCATTGGTCATCATTGTCCATCCAGCACTTCAGAGCACCCTAGTCTACTCCGAATCCCGACCCGATCCCCTGACCTCTGATCCCATCCGATATGTAGTCCTGGCAATTTGTTCTATTTGTTGATTATTCCCCGTTAAGATTATTATTATCGACGCCAACATCAAACCGTGAATATTTTTTTAACCCAACCTTTTTTTTCTTTATTTTTATGTTTTCCCCACCCTCGTCCACTCTATCTCTCTCTTTCTCACACTCTTCTCGTCATATCCACCTTATCCGAAAAAAAAAAAATACAATCATCTGTAAATGAACCACAAAATGCACCACAAACAATATTCAATGAACAAATAAATCCACCAATGAACACCACCAACAAAAACCAATCAATCAACCAACCAACCAACCAACAAATAAATACAACATAATATAATACATATAGACAAATCTTTCGAAGACTCAATCCAAGCATTAAATAATTTAATTGGCGAACTAGACTCGTTCCAACGTGAGATCGATGAGGGCAAGGGCAAGCAGAACAGCAACAGCAGCAGCAACATTAGCAACAACAACCTGACGACGAGCAGCAGCAGCAGCGAGAACAACAATATGCTCCCCACCTGCATCACCAGCATCGCCAGCACCACCAACATCGAACTGTGCGGCATCAGCAACCAGACAAACTCCAGCGGCTGTGGCACGGACATATCGGACACCACCTCCGAGGAACTGGCCGGCGAGGAGGGTGGCCACCTGATGGACCCCACGCTGGCGGAGGCCAGACGGCGAGAACGAGAACTGCTGGGCGCCAGCGATTCGGAGCTGAGTCGCTGCTATGTGAGCGAGACGAGTTCGCTGACCGGCGGCCTGACAGCGGGCGGCTACGAGAACCCCACGTTCGCCCACTTTGTGGCGAGTGCGAACCGCGATGACCCCTACAACGGGGGGTCGGGCAGCGAGGGTCGATCCCTATATGCGCCCGCCTCCGTGTCCGTGTCCGCGGACTGCATCTCGCTGGCCGGCTCCGACAGCATCTGCCTGTCGGGGCAGCCGCGGCACGCCTACGTGGACACCTGCAGCGAGAGCGGCAGTGCCGTCGTGGTGATCTACGACCACCAGATACCCAACACTCCGGACATTGAGTTCGTCAAGCAGAACTCGGAGATAGTCCTGCTGCGCACCAAGGACCCCCAGGTGCAGTCGCAGCTGCAGCTCCACGAGATGCGCGAGCTGCAGCAGCTGCCCTCGAACCTGGCCGGATCCCCGGACTCGCCGGATTCGGGCAGTGGCAAGGCGCCCCCGCCGGCAACAGCAACTGTGGCGCCCGCCAAGCAGCGACTCTCCTCGTTTCGCGCCACCAGCGAGCAGCAGCTGCAGCTGCTCGGACGCGGCAGTCCCCAAAGAGGTAAAGCAAACCACGTCGAGCAGCCGTCCCAGCAGCAGCGACAGCAACACCCACAGCAGCCGGCACAGGGGACAGTCAGTGATAGCGGTAGCCTCCCAGTAGAGCCTGCTGTGATGCGGCGACAGCTGCCCCCAAAGCCCACCAGCCTCAGCCTGAGCCTTTTCAATGGTGCTGGTACGGGTGTGGGTTTGGGTTCGGGTCCGGCTCAGCTCCAGCCTCCCAGTGTAGCCGACAAGCCATTGATACCCCGAAAGTCAGACTTTAAGGCCGACTTAGATGCCAAAATACGCAAGCAGAAGCAGAAGGTTCAACAGCAATTACAGCAGCAGCAGCAGCAACAACAGCAGCAGCAGCAACAGCAACAAATGCCACAGCAGCCACTGCAACAGCAACAACACTCACCACAGTCGCCCCAAACCAGTAACTGTAATGTCACTAATAGCCCAGCAGCAGTCGTTGTTATTGCATCCGCATCAGATCCAAACTCAAACTCGAACCCGCATCCATACCAAAACCACAACCAAAATCATAGAATGCCAAGCCAAAATCAAACAACAGCAACATCCAATCATATGCCAAACAAGACGCCCCAAACAGCAGCGACAACAACATCAGCATATCCATCTGCAACAACAGAAACCCCAACATTATCATCATTGTCACCTCGCGGCGGTCTGTCACAACCATCAGCATCGTCACCATCAACATCATTACCATCATCAGCATCTGCATTTACATCGATATCGACAACATCAAATGCAAACGCTCTTGCTACGCTGCCCGTTGCCACTGCCCCCTGCAGATCACCAGCATCAGCGCCACCACCACCCGCCCATCCATATGTGTGCTCCTCGAATGCCGCCAACCCCCAAGCCAACCATCAAGCCAATACGAATTCCAATGCCAATGCCAGTCTAAAGCCGTGCATTACGCCCCGGCCGGCCTCGTTGTCGGGTTCGTTTCGATTTGATTTTTGATTTATTTGGTTCTTGATTTTCTGCGTTTCTTCAAACAAAAACTTGGTTCTTAAATTGCTTCTCACTCTGGCTTTGGTTTCTAATTGTTGTTTCTTGTACTCTCCCTCTCTCTATCTTTATTTTATCTTAACGTCATTTGATTTGCTTCATTAATTTGGCCACTCTTTTGCTGTGCTCTAACCCTGTTCTCCAATGGAATTGTCTTACCATACACCATCGTATCATCATCCCACATACACACAAACCAAATAAACTCGAAGTAAACTGCACGATACTGCCACTAACTGCCAATTGCTTGAACATTATCCAATATTGTATCTATTCGTAAACATGGATTAGCTAAATTCACATCAGTGCGGAATTCATGGTGCATTGTATGAAATGTTAACTTATCACTGCTTAAAGCGCTTCGGGGATCATCCGATCAATCCTATTCTCACTCTCTCGTATTTGGGTCTCTTTTTCATCCCACACAGCTGTGGATCGATCGTTGTTCGATCCGCAGCGCTTTTACTGGTGCTCTCTCTCTCTCTTGTATTAGATGGTGTCCTGTGTTTTGTGTGCCAAGTGTATAAATCGATTACTGTACATAAAATAATACTTGTAACTGTAATTAACAGCAAGAAGCTAATGAATAATTCCGAGGTGATGCGATTTTATAGCTAATGGAACTCTTTAACCATCCACAGGAGGAGGAGGAGCAGGAGGTGGATTAGGAGGAGGTGGCTCAACGCGCATCGCACGTCGTTCGTCCATCAATCAGGCGAAGCCACCGCCGCCAGTGCGACGCAGCTCCTCGGTGACACCCAGTCCCAATGCCTCGGTGGGGGTAAGTGTGTGCTCTCGAACCGGAGCTTAGATTAATGGCTCTCAAAATTAATTAAGTTAGACTAAGCTCAGGCCAAGTTAGTCCTTTAAGCTGGGGTAAAACACACACAAGATTTTTTTCTTGGTTTTTTGTTTTGTTTGTTTGTTGCTTTTATTCTTTAATTTATGATTTAATTATGCAACAACAGCACGCGACGCATCTGCAACTGCAGCATAACCCGCCGCTAAGCAGCTCCAGCGAGCATCTACCACCACCGCCTGCCTTTATGCTGGAGTCCATGTCCAGCTCACCACCAGCGGCCATGCCGAGCTCCGCTCTGAAGGTGTCGGAGACGGTGCGGGCCCTGGCAGCCATGCGGCATCAGCCTGCCTCGCCTGGTACGCTTAGACGCATACAGCAACAGCAGCAACAACAGCAGCAGCAGCAACACCAGCAGCAGCAGCAACAGCAGCAGCAACAACAACAGTTGCAACAGCAACATCAACCCTTACTGCAGGTGTGTGCACGAGTCTTCGCCTGGGATAGACGCTCGTAGAGATCGACTTGGTTAACTTATCATTTCTTTTCATTTCAATTTGCATTTGCCTTGCCCTGTCGAACCTCCACACCCCCATACACTACTCGTACTCGTAAAAAGTCCGTGCACAACTCCCCCATGAACGAAGACCTGAGTTATGAGACCTACTATGACTCCTATATGGATCTGCAGGCCTATGCTCATGCCTTGGCCAATGGCCAACAGCAACAGCCGGGCCAGCAGATGCCGCCACCCCTGCCACCACCCAACCAGCAACGCTTTAACCATCAACAGCAAAATCATCAGCAGCAGCAGCAATATCACTATCCACAGCAGCAGCAGCAACATGTGCCACAGAAGCCGCCAACGCCCCCTGTCTACCATGCCCCACCAGCACCACCGTCAAAAGCGGATGCCGTAAGTGACCCAAAAGCCAGAGGCGAGATGGGCGTCGATGTCTACTAACCAACGACTAAACATCACCAGCGACACATCCTGGAGAATGCTTGACTAATCTAAAATTCATACTTGCATATCTGCTAGTCTAGTCTAGTCCCTCTGCCCTCTGCTCTGCCCCCATCCAGCTTAGATGTAATGCGATATAGATTAGAGTACTCATCTATCACTTAGATTAGCTTTCGCTGTGCTTTGGCTAAACTTTTAATTTGTGCCTTTTGTTTTACTCTTCTTTCTTCTCATGCCACGAACATACGAACACCGAACACTCCGAACATCCCGAACACGCATTTGCACAGACGTTCCGCACCTCGTCACCAGCCGCAGGCGGAGGAGGCGGTGGCATCTATGCCCAGCCCAAGTTGGTCAACAACATGTCCAGCTTCCGCACCAGCAGCCCCAGCCCAAATGGGCATGCTCACCCACTGCCACCGACACAGCCCAAGGCGAATCCGAATCTAATTGCACAGCTCAATGCACGACTCAACAGCAAGCAGCAGCATCAGCAACAACATCATCCTGCCGAGGGGATATACGGCAACCAGCAGCAACCTGGAGGCGAGTCGATTTACACACGGAGCGGCCTGTCCATGTCCCAGCCGCAACAGCAGCAACACTATGACGGTAAATCTGAGCACCAACAGCCACTGCAACAGCAGCAGCAGCATAGAATTTACGCTAGTTTCGGCACCTCGTCATCAACTCCATCAACAGCGGCCGCTTTGGCCAGCAGCATTCAGGCAGCATCCATTCTAACACCAGCCACCTCATTCAATGCATTGCCACACTTTCCTCTGTCTTCATCCACATCATCGTTGCTCTCCAAAGTCAGTTCATTCTCAAACTCCTCATCCGCCTCCGCATCAGCATCAGCAGCGGCAGTGGCATTGGCCAACTCCGCCAACAATTCACACTATCAGCCGCCACAAGCGCCAATGGCAGCCGCAGCTAGCAGTAAAGATTTTGGCAACTATTCAAGTTCGTTTAACAAAAATCCAGCAGCTGCCCAAATTCCAAACATGCGACAGGCTCAGCAGCAGCTACAGCAGCAGCAGTACCAACATCTGCAGCAGCAACAGCAGCAGCATTATACGTGCCCGCCTCCACTGGAGGATCCGCCACCACCGCCCATTTACAGTGCCGGAGCATCGGCCACGATGCCAAAGAAGATGGCACGCCCCCATGCTGGACAGAGTGCGGCCTCCCAGTTGAGCGCCTATGCAGCAGGCTCGGCGACAGCTACGCTACCCAAGAACATGATGCAGCAGCAGCAACGTTTACAGCAGCAGCTACAACAACAGCAGCAGCAACAGCATCAACATCAACATCAACAATACCAACAGCCAGCAGGCATGGGCAATGGCAATGGTCATGTAAATCAGCGTCCGCAGTTGCCACTTCCCCAGCAGCAGATGCAGCAGCAACAGCAAAAATTGCGAGCTGCACAACAGCAACATTTGGCGGAACAACAACAACAACAGCAACATCAGCGCCAGCCACCCATACCGTCGCGCCACTCGAGTGTGCAGCAAAAGATATTCGTGTCAACGAATCCATTCATACAAACGACGGCCGTCAAGTTCCATTCGCCCTCAGCCTCGCCCACTTGCGGCTCGCCTGTAACTGGATCTGGGTCTGGATCCTCGGGTAGTATTTATGCCACAACGGCGCGTGGCAGCCACCACCATCATCAGCAGCAGCACCAGCAGCAACAGCAAATACATCATTCACAGCAGCAGCAACAGCATTATTATCGCGATGCTGCAGGGGGCAACAGCAATGGCGGCGCTGCTTACTACAACCACAATAATGCCCATGGCCATGGCCATGCGAACGTCCACGCCAATGCCCAAGCCCAGGGCCACGGCCACGCCCACATGACCCATGCCCAGCCACATCATCCAAGTAAGAGTGCGAGCTGGAGATCCATTGATTTGATTTGATTTTATTTTGATTTGATTGCAATGAATGAGCGCTGTCTTATATACATATGTATTTGTGTTATGTTTTGCTGATTTCGCTCCTTTCCTACTTGGCATTGGAAAAAAATTATACTTTGTTTTGCGAAAATGTTATTTAATCCTAAGTTACTCGAATACTCGTATTTTTAGCGCATGCTGCCTCTGTTTTGTATTTATATTTTGGTTTCTTTGCGTTTGAGTTTGAGTTTTGGGAAAGTGTTTTGCCCATTAACCTGATTGCGTTTGTGTCAAGTGCGCCTGGAAAATGTTGGATAAACAGGAGATTGCAGGGAGATGGGGTGATACCTGATACCCTCAGCCGCTCGCTCAGAAAGCAACTTTCATATCAACTTTCCGAATCATCAATCATCACTTTGTCAACCAGCACTTTGAGGCAGAATTTTGAACAGCAATTGTTGAGTTTTTATTTGCATTTTGCATTTGACATTTACCATTTTAAATTGAAATATTAAATCTTAACCACTCTTTTCACACTCCTTGAACCCATCCTGCACACTCACTGATCGATCATCTTTGCTTACGATTTTCTTTTCTTTGCCACAACAACTACAACAACTGCAACGCATATTCATAGACTATGCCACAAGCACAAATATCGAAAAGACTGGCAGCATACGGGCCAAGAACAAGGCCGAGTTCCTCGAGAATCTTAATGCGAAACTGGCCAAGCAGGGCATGTCCGGCCGAGCATTCGCCGTGCGAAATCTCATCAATAGCAAGGCCCTGGTAAGTAGTACACAACCAAAAGCATAACCATTCCAACATATACCCAATACATTGAATATGCTCTATGCTGGTGCCAAATGTTAGATGTATCAGAATCCACAAAATCTATCGCGCCCCAGTGCTCAATATCGTAGACCACCCACCTATCCCAACACCAACACCAGCACAACCACCACAATCAATGGCATCACTTGTGATGAGCAGTGCTAAGGTATTTAGTTCGAATCTCGTTTTTTTGTCTTCTCGTTCGCTCGTTTGTTGAAGTCTACTAAGCCAGCTGGCAGCTAATCCACTCAGTGCCTAGTTCTACCAATTAACCCTGCTCTTCGATCAAAGCTTCAAAGTCAATATCCTTCTAATCATTCCTCTGATTGCAGCCGGATCCTCGCATTTGTCACGAGTCGCTGATGGATCAGATAAAACGCGGAGCCCCTTTGAAACGTAACCAGAAGATTAACGATCGCAGCGCTCCTAAAATACATTAAATTAGCCCTTAGACTTACGCAAATTAATATTATTTATTACTATTATTAACATATATGAAATAATCAAGAGGCCCCGGGGCCTGCTCGATTGCAGGCTACTGCAGAGTTTGGTTTGAAACTGAAAACTCGTATATACAACATACAACCTAAACACATATGATTACGGTACACAATATACAATATATTGATGATATTTAGCGAGCGTGTTAAGCCACACTTTAATTAATCAACAGTTCTCCTGATTTTCCATCTCCCAAAAATATCCGAAAAGGATTTATTCATTCGATAAGTGAAAACGACAACACAATGGAAGACAATTGGTTAGTCCCTTTTCGTGTTTATTTATAATTCAATTCTCGAATTTACCTTTAAAGAAAATATTATGTTTATGTATGTATTTATCATAATTTCCTTTGTTTATGTACATACACATATATCTGAATATGATTTGAAAAACCAATTGAAACTAATCTGACGCCTAATAAATGGAATATATCTTATATATGTATATTTTGAGTTTTCCTTTAACCATTTTTATTTGCAACTGCAATTGCAACTGCTTGTCAATTGGGATAGGTCTGAGCATATTTAACAAAAGTTTATACAAACATATACAATACCAAATAGTTCTAGATGTTAAACAAAATACAATATTGAAATCCCACTGCAACTGTACTGCATTTCTGCAAGGAATATACTCGTAAGAAATTGGATTTGCTTTTCACATATATAAAAAAAGCCAATTACTGCCAAGCGGAGAGGGGAATTTCAGAGACCAACCGTCCCCAGTCTTTCGCACTAGCGTAGCCGCCATATGAACATGTTCATATCAAAGATAGCAAATACGCTACATAACATTTCCATTGGACTGAATCTTTTACTGTCATTTTAAATGCATAGCCGCCGCGTAGACATATATCATTTCCGTTCATATCAGTTCAACAAACAGAACAAAATCGGCAGTTTTAAACCCAATTTATATATATTTCGGTTTTAATGAACAGGTACTTAGCCCCAAGACACACTCGTAACTAAACACATTTACTACCCTTAAACTACAACAACTTTTTAATACCCAAACTCGTTCTACTTATGTACTATGTATGCTAGTTAATAGACTTTTTAAATATTTACAAAATATTTTGTATATACGCTTTTTAAGGCTTCACCAATGATCAATGATCAGACTATTGGCAAACTTGGTAACAAAAATTGTGGCAATAACTAAGCTATAAAACTCCATTAGTCTAGACTCTAGAGAGCATATACAAATTTGTGGCATCCGAATACATACGAGTACGGGCATACATATATATATTTTTTGGCGATCGATTCTACATACATACACATATAAATGCATAATCACCACAGTTAATTAACATAGTAACGTGCAACAATTATTTACAAATCTAAATGTGAATCTTAAAAGTAACGTGTTTTCCCTGTATCAACTGAAAATTAACGAACGTATTAAGAGTATCAAGCAAATCCAAATTGTAAAGCGTATTTTTCAATTCATTTGCATTTAGACATGAGAAACAATAATAAAATATATGTAAACGCATTGAATGTAAAGTCAATTGGTTTTATTCCGTTCTGGTTTTCTCTTTTCCGCTAAAGAACAGATCCAAAGTGTTTTGATAGTAGATCTCGGCCAGCTTCTCCTTCGGCTCCTGCTTAATGCCCGCAACGGCCTCCAGAACTTGGCTGAAATGGAAAATAGTTCCAGATTGGAGCTGCTACTATGACTTGTTCGTGACTCACCTGATCTGGCAGGGCTCACAGCGTCCGTCTATCAAAGATTCGGCTGTCCACTTCTCCTTCTTCTTGACAGTGGGAAACTTTGCACTCACATGCTTATGGCCCGCATGCGATGGGCGTATGCCACACCATGGACAGTCGGTTTCCAGCATTATGCGATCATTGGGCAGCTGCCGGACTACTTCGGCGTTTTCCTCAGTCTTCAGAGAGCAGCCATTGACCCCAATGTAGAGACCACCGAATGCCAGAATACTTTGTGCCTCCTTCAGCGTGCCTGTAAAGCTATGAACGACTCCGCCTCCGCAGTCCTTGAGCTTGTCACGATTGCGTTCCAAGATTGCCATGAAGTCCGAGTGAGCATTTCGCATGTGCAGGAAGAGCGGCAGCCTGAACTCGGCTGCCAGACTCAGCTGTTTCTCAAAGTACAACTGCTGTGTCTCCTGGCCACAGAAATGCAGGCGATCGTAGTCCAAGCCGCATTCTCCAATGGCACACACCTTGTCCTGATTTGCCTCAATCTTAGAGCGGAGCTGGTTGTGATAGCCCTCCGGGTCCGGCAAAAACTCGTAACAACGAGTGGGATGCGTACCCACTGTGGTGAAGAGGCGCTCTAAAGGGTAAAATCTTGATAAGAATTGTTTCAGAAGGTTATAAATAAGCTGGCTACCGTCTTTCGCGGTCAGTTCCAGAGCCTCGTCCACATCTTTAAGACAGCCGGCAGTAATGATAATTTTTTGCAGACCCTGCTTCCAGGCACGTTTCAAAACGACGTCCAAGTCGGCCACATGCTTCTGGGAGCCTCCGTAGCAGCCCTGGAACATGCCATCCGTAAGATTGGCCCCAATATCTGTAGGTATTATGGCATTAAGGTTTATAATTTCCTCAGATTTTACGTTTTTTGATACAAACCAATATATTTTAACGCCATTGGCCTCAGTTCCAAAAAATGTTTGCCAGCCATATATTGGGCCGATAAAATATACCGTCAGACCATCGGACCATCACCAAAATATACCGTAAATTTACCAAGGAAAATCATTTTCATCAATTTTGATATTCGATTTAATATTGCCAGCTAGTTAGCCCTCTAAGCTCTAAACAAATAATTTTATCAAATTCTTCAATAAATTTTGTACAAGAATGGCTAGTTTTCAGAACTTCTTTTCATTGGACTGTTTACATAATAGGGTTCAAACAAAGACAACATAAAACGAATGTGACGTAGTTTTTGTTGGCGCTGCCAGACTCGTGCAATTCGTAGTTGCTACGGGGTGCCCACCATGATATTTTTACATATTCATGTAAAACTCGACAGAGAACTCTAGCGAGGAAATGTCAATGTTTCTACTTGACAATTACAAATTTGCTACAGTACAACTACATATATATGTAACCATCAACAGTTGTGGCTCTAGTACGAATATTTTCCGACAGATCGCCTTGCTGAATTTAATTTAAGATTACATTTAAGTCGGCGAGAGGCGCCCCAGCCGTTTTTCTTCTTCTTCTTTTTGTTATTTATATTTAAGCCGGGTTTCAAGCCAGTAACACTAGCTATAAAAGAGCTGATTTGGAAATAGAGCGAATATATTCCACCAGTGTCGCCTTACACGGGAATTTAATTTCAGGTGACATTTAAGTCCGCGCTCTTGCAGTTTTCTTCTTTTTTGCAATAAATATTTTAGCCAGTTTTCAAACCAGAAAAACTAGCTATAAAAGAGCTGATTTGGAAATGTACGAATATATTCCGCCAGTGTCGCCTTACACTTAGTACCTTTGACCTCCGCTAGAGGGCGACTCTTAACTAGTGGATGTGTTCTTCGCACAGAAGGAAACGTACCCCATAAAGTATATATATTCTTGATCAGTATCACGATGTAGCCATGTCTGTCTGTCTGTCCGCCCTGATAAGCGCCTAGTTCCCAGAGACTATAATAGCTAGAGCTACCAAATTTTTTTTTCAGACTCATATGATATCACACTGCTACAAGTGTATTTCAAAATTTCGCCACGCCCCCTTCCGCCCACACAAAAAACGAAAATTTGTGACAGCCACAATTGAAAAGTTACGGTACGATGCACAGAAGTGCGAATTTCGTTGCAATTAAAAATTCAAAATAATTTAATGTTCAGCTACTTTAAGTCTCTTAGCAACGGTGCAACGCAAATAGGATTGGCTCTAGAATCTCTCAGTCGCAGAATTGAGCCCACACACACGGTGCATGGACTCGCTTAAGCCAATTTAATGCAACATCAACATTGCCACAGTAAATTGCATTCGGTATAATGTGAACCAATTAGGCCATTCGCTAGAAAAGCTGTTTATTGTTCGAAATGGGCGCTGGGCGGTAGATATCGACTAGAACACCTTCCTAGGGGAGATTCCCTCCTACCATATCGATATACGGATATGCAAATTTCAAATCATCACCAAAAACGTCTGCTTTAAGCTGGCAAATGGAGAATTTATGGGGCAATGCAATTTATAATTTGAATAAAATTCCATTAGTTACTTTTAATGGACACTGCGGTTGGCTTACTAGAAAGAGAGAGAGAGCGGATGATACGCGGGTCACGGCACTACTTTTAATTGATTTACTGTTCCATTTTCATGGCTCCCGAGCTGCCGAGCCGCCAGCTGCTGCTGCTTCTGTCATAGTGCTGCTGATGCTGCTGCTGCTGCTTTTAGTCCACCGGACACAGAATGCGGAATTAAATGTATTATGCAACGGAATCAAACACACTAGAGAGGGGCGCATAGGGACGTATTGTGGTTTATTTTAACGGACTAATACAATTGTCAATAATTCAATTTGAATTGAAATTCAATTAGTCTACAAAGTACATGACAGTGATACACATACGCACACCTAGAAAGTTATTTTGTTTTTTTTGGTTTTGCTTTTAACTATTTGTAGGTTACAGTATTTTTGGATTCTCTTCTGGTAAGTATTGGGATTTCCATTTTGGCTTAACTTTAATTGGTAGAACAATCGAATTACGTAGACAAATATGTATGTAGTTCAAAATTTGATTAGTGGTTTAGCCAGCTGATATACCAAGTACTGTGTATAGTGATATGAGTGTATAACACCCTTCGAAATCTTCAAAAAACTGCTGGCTACCCCAAGTGTTCCCATTAGTCGCTGATATTTGCATGTATGTATGTATGTACGAGGGTTACAGTTGGTTGATAAGATATTGAGCGCCAGTGAGGGCTCTTCAGATTTGTTTCATTTAACTACACCAAGTAACAATGTATAAACTGTATTACATATAAAACAAACTCCTATGTATATCTTATTCTTATACATATCATATATAACTAAATAACTTTTGGCTTGGCCTTAGCCTGCACCGAAATTATCAAAGAAATTATATTAAATCTCCATTTAAACTACTAAACAAATCAACATTTCTGCACAGTTATACTTTGTATGCATGTATGTACATGCCTTCACACATACTACATGTGTATACTCGTACGTATGCAGATATACTCGTATGTTATAGTATACTATATCATCACAATTCACTTTGCATCTGCTTTTATTCTTTTCATATACAAATCCATTAGTTATCTCCTGCCATGCTCTGTACCATCTAAAAGATTATTACGTAGTAGTATCTCAAATAAATCCTATTGGCTAAGTAATTCAGAAAAAGAAACAACACAAAGGGATTCTCAGTGCTCACACACTCACACACTTGCAACGGATTTACCCACCCACCCACACCCTTCCTAAGTATCCCCCATTCACCCATTCTTCTTATATGGCAGCTGTAACTTGTGTGAAAATGGAAAAAAAAAACGTTTGCACGATTTTACGAGTATTCTTTATAGTAAATCTCCCACAAAGTACCTCAAAATGTAAACAAAAATTGGCTTTATGGAAACTATGATATTTTTTTTTAGCAATTAAGCATATGTAGTTACACCCTGTATAGTCCTTGATAAACATTCAAATTTATTTTACAATTACGTTTTTTGCATAGTAAATGGTTTTACTTATGTTGTACTTTCCGTAAAAGATTATCTTATTAATTTGTGTTTCCTTAAAAGCCAAAAGAAAATGCCACGAAATTGCTTTATGGTATTTCATTCATTACTCTTTTTATGGTTGTGATTTTCTTTTGACCTTCGTATTTGATTTAAGTGGAGAGGAAATGCAAACCTTCTTTTACCTATTCACCACCACCATTAAGACATTTAGATTTTTTGAAACGCTTCAATATTGACTAGTACAGTGTTAGCTAGATGTGCAATTGAATATGTGTATACTTGTAAATATGTATATTCCTTTTTCAATTAACCTTAGTTTAGGGCTATGTTTAAGTTATTATACCTGTGGGTATTATGCTAATCAATCAATGGAAAACGCATTAAATTTAGTCTTCTTCCAGAATAACAACGACTGAGCCATTAATTTCTCATCAAAAGGAACTCTATGAACTGTATTACGATTCTTCGATACCTCGCCAAGCATCCCCCTTTTGCCCCGTCACTGATTAAATTTAAATTCCGCACACAAATTTCTACCTCAGGCAGGAATAAAATTTACAAAATCTAAATTCTGTAGTCGTATAAAAGTAAATTCAAATATAAATAAACTGGTCCCCGGTCCCTGGTAAACCGTAGTAACCAAAAACTCAAAATGGTATGCCATCCATGCCAGGAATTAATATCCTAATGCTTGCACGCTGCAGACTCAAAACCGATTTCCCCTGAATATTTGGAATTAATTCTGTTGAAGAGACTGACGAAAGTCTCTATCTAAAACTGAGAGACATTTTTGCTTGGAAATCTGAAAAATGGACAGCGGCCTGCGGTCTGGTCAAAATAGGAATACAATCTGCACTCTTTAAATAAACTGTGTACGCTCCTGTACCCATGCAGGCAAAGAGTATCTTTTTTGGGTAAGTCAATGTGGCACATAACATGCATACACTAATTTTATAGTTTTACATTTATTATCAACACATACAGGTTACTGGTTTTGTTTGCCTTTGAGCAGGTTTTGGGTTTCCACGAATCTGATGCTGTTATCGCGCCCATTGTTTATGCACACTAATTAACTGTCAACTAGTATAAATAATACATATTGTGTGGCCACATAATCCATAATTTAATTATGCCCCTGACGCCCAAAATATTTACTGCAAATTGCAGTCATCGGATGCGTTGTTGATTTGCTGTTTGGTCTTGCGTGAGGCGCGGCGGATGAGGGATCTAAAAAGGCAATGCATATAGATATAAAGGGTGTAAAGAAAAAGGGAAACCAGAATGCAGGCATGTGTGTCACTCACCTGGAACGCGGCTTCAGTTTCGCCTCGGCACTGGTGCTGGCCACATCTACAGCATCGACGAGGCTGGAGGACTTCTTATCGCCGCTGCCCCCAGCCCCGCCCAATGCCGGACTGTTCATGCGATTTTTGTCTATAACGAAATTGAATAATTCCTAATTATAAAATTTGCTGTTCATTTGGCCAAGCTCAAAGCTACCACATAGGGAATGCTGCAGTTTGCAATCCAATTTCCCGAATGCGGTTGTGTTGCGCGTGGCCCCTTGCTGGTTGCTAGAGAAACTGCTGCTGCCACATGGCTGAGGAACTCATTCAAGTATGCACTGCTGCCACTGAAAGTTGCCATAATTAACTTGAGTAGAAAACAGGGGTGGGGCGGGGGGCACCATACTCGAGAAAGTTCCTTGGAATTCATGTGCTCCTCGAAATGAGTTTTTCGCAGTCGGTTGAACAGATATGCACAACGAATTTGAAGATAAGACTGATACAAGACTCCTTAGTGTTTTCCTCTTATCACATCTCAGCACCGAAAAGATGATTGCTCTCTTACTCTCAAGGCAGCAGCATCCACTTACCCATTCAAGTCGAGTGAGTGACGCCAATGAAGTTATTAACTTCCGACTAATCCCCAATCAACCTGCCATTACCCTGCCAGAAGGTGTTGAATTTCAACAAAAGAGGTGTTCAGGAGCAAGATATTTGCTGGTTTGCTGAGCTGAGCTGCTGCTCTTTGTGAGCCATTCAATCGTCCAATAAAGCCAAAGACAAACAATGGGCTTATAGTACAATGGACGGTGGGATGAACTGAGGTGTGAATTATGGAAACCATAACGAAAGCACAGACTCCATTTAGGTATACAATTTTAAAGCCTATTAAGCTGTCTGAGTATTTATCTGGGTTAATGATCCGTGCAAACGGAATTATTGAACTCGTCAGCAGTTGGATTGTCTGTATGACAGAATGTTGCATGACAGTGGTAGTACTTCTTTGTGGCGACTGTCACCAGTAACACCATTGTTGTCAAAAAAGAAGAAAAAAAATCAAAAACCCGCGAAGGCTCTCTAACCCCCTGCACAGCTCGCAACCCACAGCAGAATTTCAGTCATGCAGAGTATTCTGGAAACCCTAACCTAGCCAGAGCGCAGCATCATAAAAATATTGCCATTCAAGCACAAAAGCAAACACATACGGAGTACTCGTGCTAGGGTGGAAATGGTTGTAGGTCTTTGCTTGGGGCTCGTTTTTGCAGATATAAATTGTGCATATGCGGCGGGAATTGATGCGTATGCCGTGTAACAGAAATTTAAATTAAATTTGTTTTATTTTCCCTTTTGTTTCCAGTGGGTTCTCATCAGACGGCTTCAGCCTCGGAGCTGCGTGGAGCTCCAAATGAAAGAAACACACAAAACATTTGTGTGCTCCAATGCTCCAATTTTACCCTTGCTCTTGTGTGACTAAATGGCATTTGGCAATATAAAATTGGTTTATGCGAGAACAAATTGCGGCCATAGATGTTAAATGGGTGGAATATGGTGAAGTTTAAGCTTTAACTGCAAACAGATTCAACGCATAAACGTGGCACCGAATGTATTTCACATTTGAAGTATATTAAGGAACTCTTCACAATTGAGTTTGGCCCAGGGCTGACAGGCTGCTTGCGGTGCCACGCGAAACCTCCCCAACGACACAATCTAATGGAGGGGCTGGGGAAGCCGCTTTCTAGCCACAGAATATGTATGTGGCCTGCAGCCTTGGCTTTGTCTCATGGTTTCAGCTTACGCGCGAGGCCATTTTGATGTCCTCACTCAAGCACATACACACATTCACCGACACTTCTAAGCTGTAAGCACGTGTCCTCACACACAGGCACACACACAATCGCAAAATCGCAGCCACAAAATGGCAGCGCCGTAAATGAAATTTCTGTGATTTGTTTTTGCATACGCCGCGTTGTACTTTTTAAGGCAATTACTTGACTGTGGCAAGACCCACTCTCAGCGACAGTCTCGGCACCTTGACTCCTCAAGTGATTGAGTGCTTAGACTCATTTTTGGGGGCACATTCAAGCCGACTCTTAGAGCTGTGCTGTCCATTGAACCAGAGGAGATATGAGTACCCCTGCCACTCGACCTTTGCCATTCCGACCACAATTGTCGCCGTGTTTCGTCTGCCTGTCATCGACAGTTGTGGCTCTTGGCACCAAATATTTGACAACATTTTTGGCCAGCATTTAATATGTTTTGTGGACACACGCAGAGAGAAATAGAGAGTGTGAAAAGTGTACATGAACATGGCTGCTTGTTTGCATTTAAATTTAAATTTTCTGGAAATTGTGTGCCTTAAATATAATATCCACTCTGAGGCTTTTGCCAGCGGCCAACTTTGCACTTAATTTGATAACTTTAACTGAGTTTAAATGGAAATGGAGAGGAACAAGCAAGAAAATGGGTAAAGGGTAAAACATGGTTTTGAGGCAACTAAAAATGTTATCAAAGGACTTCCAGGCAAACAATTAAATTATTGGCAGCGATGTGGAGAGAGACAGAAGGATGGCTGTGAACGGCAGCTCGTAATGATTCAACAACTTTTTTCTTGAGCGGAAATTAAATTAATTATTTGGCTGGCATTTAATGGGATGAGCGGGGAAGGATGGAGTCAGCGGCAACATTTTGGGGAAACATTAATTAACTAGATATTTATACTTTGCGGAGCCAAAATTGAAAACTTCCCCAGCCGCGACCCGGCCGCCGGCCGTCGGATGCCTTCTGCTGTTCTTTCTGTTTTCATATGCTGCCCACTAAGTTTGTAATGAGATGATAAACCATTCATTCCATTATTGGGTAATTAGAAGGTCAAGCTCTTTAATTAATACACGTGCTTGGCCCAGGCACTTTTTGATCAAATTCGGCACGGGGCTGCTGAGAAAGGTTTTTCCCTTCCACAAGCAGACTGTTATCTTTTCTTGTCTCTGGCTGGTCTTTCGTTTTTCTTTGGTTTTCTTTGCTTTTTTGCATGTTTTTAGCTTGGACCTCCTTTTTGTCGCCCAATGAATAATGAAAAAGAGTTTGTCTTTGTCAATTGGGTGGCATTGGCGATGGGATGTCCTGGGAGTCCTGATCCATTATGGCTGCCGAATTCCACAATTAATTAGGGGCCAGCAATTCTGCGATGTAGCTGCCATGCTAATTGCATTCAATTAGCCAAATTGGCAAAATTGTAGTCAAGTTTAAGTACCGCCCATTAATTGGCACCCGGTTTAATTCGGCCAGTACCGTTTTGTGTGATTTAAAATGCTTAAATTAATAAATGTCCATCAATAATTGATTAAGCCAACTGCGAGGCAACTGCGTCCTAGTCATAAGCCCCCAGATTAATTACACCGTTGACCTGGCAGAGACGTGCGCTAATTATTGCATTTATGGGGAGGCGATTAAAGCTCGGAATAATGTTGTAAATGGACTCGAGAGTGGCACGCTTGAAGCACCATTGAAGGACCCATGGAAGGTCGGGATTGGCCGCCGTTGAACTGTGAACTGCGCGACATACCAAACTTTCAATCAGAACTGGCGAATATGAATTTTTAATTGATATTTGAAGCTGCCAGAGCGGCGGAAAAGCTGAAAACAATCGCAAAATGGCTTCCATGCCGCTGGTTGTTATTTCCGTTTTCATTTCGCGCGAATACAGTCACGGCCATGGCCATGTTCATGGCAACTGGTGGCTTTTCACACTATTATGTCCCGCTCCGATCGTCCCATACTTACTGCGACTAGACGAGGCGCTTACGTAGGCTGATGAGCGGCGCTTGAATCCGCTGGGCGCCGCCTCAGCGGCCGCACCGCCGCCGGACCCGCTGCTGCCGCTGCTGGCGGGCAGGTAGCGGGACAGGGAAAGCAGGGACTTGAACAGCTCAGTAACGTTGCTGTCCTCTTTCGCTGAACACTCGAGGACTTTGGCCCTGAAAAGGAAAAAAAGGCAAAAAAAAAGGTTTGTTATAAAAAAAAGGATACTTTTTGAAGCTATGCATACACTGCGTATACGTAATGGATGCATCCGAAGTTTCAAACAAGCGAAAATGTAAATTCCGAAAAACAAACAGCAACAATACGAGCATGTTCGATGCATAACATTCGGTGTTTTTGTGTGCCGCAACAAATTGGGACATGCGGCAAGTGGCAAGGGCGTCAACGACAGCGATCCGAGGGCAGGAACAGTAGCAGTAACAGTGGCAATAGTGGCTAATGGACGAATTAAGCATGTCATGGTTTCGCTGCAACTTGCGGCCACCATGCCGATTCGCTGAGCCGACAAGCTGCGGCTAGGCCGGAGTCAAGAACGAGGCACGTTTGCCATGCCGAACATATGCATGTATCAATATCGTAAAATAAACTGAAAATATCTGAACCATGTGCGCTGAAAACAACTGAAATATGCGTAATATTTCAATGTTTTAAAATTATCAATAATAATATTCTGAGAATTTAATTTATTATTAATGTATTGCTTTTATTTCAAGTACTCAACAGACCTGTAGATATAATCCTTACGGCTCATTCAGCCAAAAAAAAAATATTTAATATTTATTTATTCCGCAGATTTTCATTTAATTTTCACGGTCGAATGATCCAAAAAAAAAACATATAAATGGCTGAATGGTTGATCCCATAAGCTGTCACAGCAGTAAATCAAACTAAAAGTGTTGTCCACATAGCCACAGTAATGTTTTTTCATATTAACAGCAAACACAAATGGCCAGAGAAATGCGCATGACTTTGCAATTAAATGCTGTATAAATACGTTGTTCCACCTTTGACAAAGTAAACCAATTACACGTGAGTGAATGTGAGCACTGTTTCTATACGTACAAACATATACTGATAGTATGTATTTATATTCAGTCAGGCTGATAAATGCACTCGAGTGGCGTACACTCGTAGCGTTTAACCGCAGACAGAACACGGACAGACGGACATACGGACGGTCAGGTAGCAACAGCAGAGCACAAAGTGCATTGCCGCTTCCTGCTGGGCTGGAGAATGCTTCACAAAACTTGCCACGTCAAGTCTGTTTGGGGTTGTGGCAGCGCAGTGAGAGCGGGAGTGGAAGTGGATATGCGGAGGGGGGATTGTGGTGAGCTGTGTTGAGGTGCGAGATTGTGGCCATGGGGTTAAGGCGCTTCTCAGCCCAGCCTGACATACCCAAAACCGCACCATCAATCTACGTAAATGTTTAATCCAGCAGGGATTTTGTATGTAATGCTAACGCGAATAGTCTGCTGGCGTGAGTTCTGTGTCCTGCCACCCCGTGTCCTGTGTCTCGTGTCCTGCTTCATCCTCTGTCATCTCCATTCTACGGTTGAGTGCGCCTTCTGTGTGGTGTCTGGTGCTTTTAAATAAGTTTACGCACGCATGTTTTACCCGCAACACGAGCCGGCCCCGACACGCCTCCCCTTATCCACCGCCCTGGGACTGGCCTCAGCTCCGCTCCGATCTGCTCCTCCTCACCTTAAATGGAATTATGCCAAGCCCCTTCAGGGCGGTCGGCACGTATGTGATTGTAAGTGATTTTTACGGGCCCTGGTTTGCGGTGTATTTAGGCCGCAATTACAACATGAAAACTGCCTGCTTTGTAGGCAAGTGCGAGGCTCCTTTATGGGAGAGGACATGAATCCCCCTTTCAGAGCCAATTGTCACGCGAGAAATGCATTAAAAGTGTTGATGTCGGAACATACACAAGTTAATCAGGTCAGTTCCAGCAGATCTTAAAGTGCCTTAAAGAAATATTACAGCAATTTACAGTCATAGTCCTGTCATCTCTCTCTCTCTCTCTCGCAGCCCGACAAACTAACATTGAATGTAGTTAGTCATATCATATTTCTGTTCGGCATGGTCACGAATACGTACTTGTATCATACTGGGACCAGGTGATATGCTACATGACAGCGACACCGATTGCAGTGCCATCGAATATGGCCAATTAGAAACTATTTCCTGTGAAATGCCCCACTGCAATTTGCAGTTTTTCAGCTGGTTCTGCTCGTGTTACTGCTGGAAATGGGCCATTTTTTGTATGGTAACAAATGCCATTTAATGAGCACCGCAACCCGATCCTCGGACAATGAAACTGATTTCAGTGGCAAATGGCTCCGGGAAGTGCTCGCCAGCACTCCCTTTCACTGCCTGCTGTCACGCTCGCCGTCGCTTAATTTCATTTGTAGCAATTTAATTGCGCCGTTTGGCGTTTGCCTTCTGCAGTTTGCAGTTTTCCATTTGCCATTTCGCTTCCTATTTGAACTGTTTGGTTGTATGGTGCGGGGCGTTGAGGATGGTTGAAAGGGAGGTTTCGTACAATTTATGGAGCTTTTTTAATTCCACTTTGTTGCGTTACTTATGAAAATTGCAGCTGTTTTGGTGGTTGTGCGGTTTTGGGGGCTGCCAGGACATGGCATTGGCTTTGTTGGCCCCTAATTGCTGTCGCCTGCCGCAGCTGTTGTGCAATTTTATTTGGGGAAATACATAGTTGTATTTTGTTGAATTAATGGCTGAACTTACCTCAAGCGCGGTAGCTCGCAGAACACCCAATCTGTCACCTCCTCCTGTTTGACCTCTCTGTGGGTGGGTGCCAGGTCGGCTTTGTTCCCGGCAATCACAATAGGAATGTCCTGTGAGATGACAAAGACGGAATTAGCAGTAAGAGTCGAGTCAAGTACGAGTATGAGTACGAGCAGGGGCAGGTCCAATTGTACTGTTCACGCTGAACGCAATGTCGGGAAGCTGAAAGCCACGGCACAAACAAAGCCACGCTCCCGGTGGAAGGGTGAAATGCGCTATAATTGACACTGGGGAACAATGGCAGCGCGTAGCGGTAAACGGAAAAGCGAATAGGAAAACAATAACAGCAGCCAGCTGCAGAGTCGGTGAACAAGAGAACTGAGTGGGGCCTAAGCTCTCAACTGGTGGTATTCCGCCTCAAAGGAGAGCATTTTTAATTGCTTTTCGAGCAGCGGCAATCACACTGCTTATGAGTGATTTCCCTCTAAAATGCAGGAGCCCATCTCCATTTCCATTTCCTCATGCAACTGCAACTGCAACACTCACCTGAAAGTCGCCGCGCTGCTCTCGGATCTCCTCGAAGCACTGCTTCACACACTGGAAGCTGGGCGCTGATGTGGCGGCATAGACGAGCATGAACGCGTGCGCCGTGGCAATGGAGAGGCGTCGCATGGCGGGGAATTGCATGTCACCGGACGTGTCCAAAATGTCCACCTGCAACAGAGACGGAGCATGCAACATTGATGAGCAAAAATTACGTGTAATGAAAAATCCCATGACTAAAATTTGATTACAGGCCGCACGCTGTACATTTTCATATTTGATGAGCCAAATTTAATTGGGTTTCCCGCAATTTTATTAAAGAAAACTGCCAGTCCATTGCCAGTTTCAAGTTCTGTAAAGAGTCGCGTTTTAAATGTGAAGAGGAGCCTAGGACAAGGACAAGTACCGTACCGTACCCCGTGGTGGTGTCTGCGTTTGGATGATGGTTCGTGGTTCGCGGCTCGTGCCTCGTGTCCCGTTCAATGCTCAGTTGATGCCACCTAATCCCTACTGTCGGCATCTGTTATTTTGTATATCTATCGTTGCTGTGTGGCGTATACGCGATACGCATTGTTCTCCAGCCGCAGTGTCAAAAGCGTGTTAAGGCCAACGTCAACGCTAAAACCTAAGCCGAACGTTTAGCAGTGTCAGTGTCTGCTCCCCCCTGCAGCCATCCAGAGTCCACCCTCCTGATCCAGCCACCATTCAGCCTTGGCCATTGTGACGCAAATTTGTAACCGAATGAGTAAACTTTATTAAAAACAGTTTACGAAATGACACAATTTATATTTGCGACAGCAATTCTGTTCGTGTCCATGTGGCAGGCATCGGCATTGTTCATTATTCATTGTTCGGTTCATAGGCATCGAGTTTATAGCTGTATGGCTACGTCATACACATGCTCGTACGACACAAAATTGCTTTTTAGACGCAGAAAATCGTTTAGTGCAATGTAATGTTCCCATTTGATGACCACACGCAGCTCCCAGAATCAGTCACAGCGGGTTGCAGTTGCTCCTTGTGTTCGCCAGTTCGAGTATAGGCCATTAAGCAGAGCCCCAACAGCAGCAACACTGTAGAAGGAGGAGCCATAGCAACAGGAGAAGCCAGTGGCAAATTTTCTAGGTAAAATTAATTTGGATGCATTTTGCTGTTGGAGACTGCATAAATCACTTTAAGCCACACTGACAGCCCACGAGTGGAATTCAATCTAAGCACGATTATTCAGCCCACGCCTTACCTCTCCCCCATTAAGATGGCCATTGGGCGCGAAAATGAAATTAATTAAAACATTTTCCTGGAAAGGGAGCCTGGGAATAACACTTGGCGACGACGACGCCACCACCAACAGTGTCGATGTCGCCTTTCAACATCAATTCTGCCAACATCAACAGCGATTATGATGATCATAATAATGATGATGATGAAGATGGTTGGTGGCTGGCTGGTGGTGATGAAGGTGACGTTACCATCAGTTACATGTCAGCAGTCGCCCAGCCCAGACCCCTCCTATCCAGTTTACCTATTAATCAACTTTGTGGCCCAACTTTTCCCGGATATACCCGTACTACTACTCGTGCGTTAGGGTGCTTGCGGTGTGAGACAAGTTTGAGCAGCAAATAATCAGCTTAAACACTGGCAAGTGTGGAGGATGGGGGAGATGTGCCATCGCAGCAGGAAGTTCCCAGCCATGACAAGGCCCCAAGAATGTGGCAGTTGCCAGTGTTGTCTATTCGGATGGAAATCTCTCGAATTCTGCTATAATTGGCTAGTTGGCTAGGCTCCATTGAAAGCACAAAGTTAACTTTAAGTGTCCAAAATTAGAGAATTTCACCATTCACAGTATATCGACATCAAAGTGATATATATATTAAAACGTTGAAGTAATTAAAAAAAATGTTCAGGAAAATCTTCTCGTCTAAACTAACATAAACCATTTCCGCAAACCCTGTACTGAGCTTTCTTTTTAAGGGCATCGCTGTGTGGAAAGTGTCACAAATTTCCCAATGGCATTTTCACTGTTTTGAGCGTGATTAATGAGCTTCACGTCCTTGTCGAGCACAGCAAGCACTGGTTCATCCAGATTCTTCTAGTGAAAATGAAGGAATCGTGAAAGAGAGACCCTGATACCACGATACCACGAAAAAACAATTAACATAGACTTGCCTCAAGTGCATATTAATTTACAACATGTCATTCGTTTAATTTGCGTTTTCCTGTTAAATATATGTATGCGCAATCCTGCTCATTTATGCCCTTGTGCAGAGATTGAACAGGTAATGAGCAACCACAACCAACGCTTAGCCACAACCTCACAGGCCGTCATCCCTTCCACTCCATGCCATACCGTGAGACCAAGGTAACCAAGGAACACACGTGTATAGGATTATACCTTGCATATGGAATTTAATACCTTCTGTTAGTGATGTTGTCAGAGACTTCAGTAGAGGCAATTCTCCAGAAATCCAATTAGTAGATTTCAGCCTAATTAATGTGCTTACGAGCAGCATTTCTGGCTACTTGATGGTATGCTCACTATGATTGGGTTAATGAATTCCGCTTCTAATGGCAGGCTTGCACTTTAACTTATCCACTTTGAGTGCAAACGAACAATACGCGACGGAAAACAAAGGTGCTCCTCCTCTTGAAAATGTCAGCAAGTAACCACAATGAATCCTAACACAGTACAAGTTTTTTTGCACTTTCAGTCTTTCATTTGCACTTACGGCATGGCAATGCTTTGTACTCGGACCCCGGACACAGACTCACCTTTAGCGTGACGCCACCCAGGTCGTACTCGCGGTTGTAGAGATCCTCGACGGTGGCACGGTACTTGTCTGTGTACGTTTTAAATAGGAAACGCTTTACAATGGAGCTTTTGCCCACCCCTGCACCGCCCAGCAGAACAAGGCGTATGCGTTCCAAGTCCGCCATTATATCGTCGTCGTTGTCTGTTTAGACTGTGAATCGTTTGTCGCTCAAGGGATTGGCCTCCCACTAAAGAGTGCTCTGCTCTCCAGGCACTGGTGCAGAAGGATCCTTCTGTGTCGTTTACTTTCAATGAAATGCCTTTGGCTTTATGTTTTATTGTGTTTCTGTTTCTGGAACATTATGAGTTCGCGTGTTGCGTCGCACTTTAGTTTGATTTCCGGTTTCCGCTTCAATTTTGGTGTGCTGGCAACACTTTCACCTCTGCCATTGCCACAGCAGCTAGAACCGTGCGGACTTCCTCTTTAGCGATTTCCGCATCCGCTCGAGGGTGGCTGCTATGTGCTAAAAGTAAACATAGAACAGGAAATTTTTAATTTAAATTTAATCTTTGGCTCTAGAGCAACCAACCCAATATTTCAGAATTTAATTTAAAACTTTTCCTTTTCCAAACTTGAAGAACATTTGTTTATGTTTGCCGGCCCTGATTGACTTTGCTGCCCTGCATGTTCAACAAATTGCGCAGCTCGAGCCAAAAGCTATGGTTGCAACTGCAACTGCAGCGGCAGCTTCCACTCGTATGTAATCATAATCGGCTCACGTGTTTGCCTCGCAAATCAGATAAGTCTGTAGTCCAAATAAACCCACATCGATACAGAAGCCAGCATCCAGCCATCTGATTCATTGCAGACAAGTAGCAGCTGGCTGCAGCGGCTGGAGTGGCTGCTGCTGTGGATGTCCCGCACCCAGTGTGTATCTGTACGCTATTCAGGCATTCTAAATATAGTAGCGATAGAGCACACAGATATAGTCGTAAGCAGATGAAACGGAAGGCCCTTTACCATGTCTATGTCAGTGTCTGTGCAATGTACTCGTACTTGTACCCATACTCCTGCATACTAAGTGCACGTAGTCAATTCAATTTTCAAGCTTTTTTTGCAAGTCAGTCGAGCGGCATAGCCGCTTTGCACCTGAGAGGCATATCAGCTACACTCAGCAATCTCCTTTCCACCTACCTACTCTAATTGCAACATGATGATATAATTAGGTTTGCTGGGGAAATTGGTATCTTTTCCAGGTAAGTGCACATATTGCAGGTGCTTCGGATCGGGGCAAGAACGGGGCCAATGCACATGGCTGGAAAAATTTTGTTTAAAGACATAACTGAATATTCAACGCCTGCCAACAGATAACAACTTGAGGGCTTCGGTGCACAGTGTGCATCTGGTGATAATTACCCCCAATGCACACTGGGAACTAATAAACTGCTCCCCCTGACATGGATGCTTGTGCCACCAGAGGCGACAGACCAGATCCAATTGCTAAATGTTGTTTCAGTTATGTTCAGCACGAACAGACAGCCGAATGAACTCTCACTAGCCTGCGTGCCAGGTGCTCTTTATTGACAGGTTAGACAATTGGAAGGATATCTAATTGCTGGGTTCATGCTGGAATACTAATGGAGTGTTTATCTGCAGGTTACATACAATTGTTGGAAAATAATGCAGATGATTGTAATCATATTCAAAGCAGACAAATTTCGATTATATTCTAGATACTCGTACTCGCCGCTAGCTGTTTCTCGTTTATTTGACTCGTGTCTTGTGTGTCATCATTAGAAGGTACGAGATATATATATATGCAAAATTCACAGCCATTTTACATTGTGATGATGATAAATTTTAATGAGAAATCTGTTTGCCTGTGAAGTTTGTTGCTCCACACAATATTTTCCTTGTTTTATCCGTTTCGGAAAACCCTGCGCAGCTGCCTACGCATGTGGGGAATGCATTTGCATCTGTATTGCTCTCAAAGAGCCTGGCATAGAGGGGAGGAGGGAAGGAGTACTTAGTCTGCACTGGCTAATGCGATGTGTAGTGCTTGTAGTAGTGGGTAGTGGGAGAGCAACTCTGAAAGCATTGGAGTAATGCTGCTAATTGCATGGAAATGCAGAGGAAAGTAAGATGATTGGAATATCAATATGTATGCGTATGCCATGGGGGACTATCTATCTTATAATTTAATTCACTGCTGAATGCTGCCCAGCAACGCGGCAAACTTTGGCACACGCAGCAGCCATGACAATGTTTTCCGCTACACAGAAAAATTTAATTAAATCTAGTAGGCCCACGCAGAAGTCGCAAGACAGCAGGCAACCGACATGGGAGTACTCGTACCAGCGACATCTGTGTCTGGGCCTGGGCCTGCGCCTGAACATACATATGTACATACTTGTACATACATATATATATTTTTAAAGAACAGCGGGCCCGACCAAAAGTTTACGCGTTTACATTTTAAAGCGCACTGAAGGAACGAGCGGAACTTGAATTAATTTTTCCTGTTTGCCGCAAATGAAAACGTTCCTGCTGTTGACATTTTCTGTTGTTTCTATCTGCCACCCAAACATGTCATCAACAACTCAAAGAGCGAAGGACCTCTGAAAACTTTTCCGGGACGTGTCTGCTCGAGCACCCAAAAATTGCAAATGTGTTCAAAAGCAAAAGCAACAGACACTGAAAAAAAGCCAGAAATGAAAACCGAAAATTGGTGCTTCCTTTTTCAATTTTTTAGCTTTGTTGAAAATCAATTTATGTTGCTACGAATGAGTTAAGCTACCTCCCGAAATCATAAGCTGAAAAACACGTGGATTGAAACTAGCGAAAACGGATTTATTGATTAGTTTCAGAAAGGTCGGATAGGGATCAGGCCAGAGTTGTTGATGTTGATGCTGATGGTTTTGCTGCTTTGGCATTTCTTGACACGACGGACGGCATTTAAAATGTCATCAAAAGCACATTTGCCTGCTTGCCACAACAATGGGGCAGAGAGATGCACTCAAGTACTCAAGTACCCAAGTACCCAAGTACCCAAGGATTTGTGTGCAATGGCGAGAAAATAGAGCATATGACATGATAGCAGATAGCAGTCCGACTCGACTGACTCTCTGACTCTGAGCTTAAAAACTCTTAGAATCCCCATGGGGCATTTACATCGAAAAGGAGAGACATGCAGATACAGTTTGTCTGTCCCTTGTGAATGACAAACTAACTTTCCTATTTGCATCTGGACACAGTTCAGGCCACGTCTATCACTGGGGTCCAGAGAGTTTACCAATATTTGTTAGTCTCATGCCAAAGCTGCCCAATGACTGTTCCCCATAGTTGATTAAAATGCCTCAAATGCCGCAGGCAAATCAAAAGTTCTTGGAAACCGCTCACAGAAGCTTCCGCGAAAAGTTTGCCAGGGGACGTTCTCGAATGTGTGGGATGTGTGTGTGTGTGCGTGAGTGCTTCCGCTCGATCGCACCTGGACTATGTGAACTGCCTTTGTTGCGAATGATGGACATGCGCTAACCTTTGGCCATCGGCAGCCACACAGCGAGAAATAAGCGCCACAAAGTGTCATGTTTCCTTAACAGATTCTACCTATAGATTAGTGTATGATATCTTTAGCTATTAGGCTCCCACATTAAATCAATAAATTACCTGAAACTTATTTCATAGCTAAATGGTATCGTGTCCAAAGCAGCTCAGGCAAGTCTTTATATAAATTAATTTATTGCCTCTCCAAGTTTCTTCGAGTGAGCTTGCTCGACGTCCCAGAAACCAAGAATTGGAATGTTGTGGCTAACCGCGACCGGACCACAACTAATTGAGATTGTTTTTGGGAGAGCAGCTTGATTTGTTTGAAATTTGTTAATGCAAAAAACCCAAAATGCCATTTATTTTGTGCTACGACAAAATTGCGCAAAACCCGACAATTTAGAAACTTTATTGAGTCGAGGCCGTGCACAGGGTCATTTACCGAATATAAAGTATTACATTTTATGTGTGATTAACTTTCAGCATGTGTGTCTATGCTGTGGGCTGTGCGTCCTGTGGCTTTGCGATGCTTAAATCATAAAATACGCTTTTATGTTGCACACACAAACGGGCCACGCGTCATGCCATCTGGCATCTGGCGTTGGGTTGCAAATTGCGGGTTTGCAAACGAATCTGCCCGGCCTGACGCCCAGCTCGAAGATTTATTGCCATGGATTTGAACTGCTAATAGGGCCAAAAACGGTCACAGCTATAAACAAATTATTTTATGAGGCTGATGGCAAAATACCGTTGTCGATTCTGGTCGTCAGGCTGGCGTCGCGTAGCACCCCTTTCTCTCCGCTCTAGGGGTCGTTGACACAGCTTCATGATTACAAAGTGGTGGCGCGAAAACGGGGCCAACAAGCATCGCCCTTAAAGTGTTGATTACAGCGATGATGGCGGCTCTTTATGGCTCCGTCTAACACACCACCAAAGCACAGCACACATGACGCCCCCAGAGGTGTGCTTGATGTTCAATTCAGACACAAAACTCTCATAAGCGCCGACCAGACCTGCACTGAGAAAAATCAGGAAGTCAATATTATAATTCTACTCTCTGTTATTTTAACAATTTTGTCGGCTTCTTTTTGGTCACTGTGTATGTTCCTCTTTTATTCGCTCAGTGTAACTTGAACTCTTCTTTCGCGGTGGCTGGTCTTTAAAGCCTTTTTCCTTTTTCTGGCTCAATGGTGTGCGGAAAATGGGTCACTAGCTGTTACATATTTATACTAATCACAGCAAATGACCGACGAGAACGAAAAGCGACCAGGGAGCTAGATCCAAGAGTGTTCTCTGCCATTTCCCCTCCTATTGCCTGGAACTCCTGGCGAACGCCTTTTATCTGCTCGACTTAAGTGTTATTAAAAACTTTGCTGAGGTACTCGTATCTAAAAATAGGTGGTGAGGGTGCGAGGTCGCGTTACTTTGACCGCTCGCCGCTTGGGCAAACACTTTACACTGGCAGCGTTCTCATTATGCTATCCGGAGAGGGCGAGAGGGTGTGAGTCCTTAGCGTAGACTCAATGAGCAAACTCTGCAATAGCCACAACAGCAGCCACATCGCAAAATTGTAACTAACAATGGTGGAAAGTTGGAACAAGAGTTTGATGTAGTTGGGATTCGAAGCCATGCGGCTAATTGGAGAGCGAACAAGAAGGCAGCAACAGGAGAAATTCCCATAACTGAGTTGGTCACACGAGTGCCATTAAAAGGTGCTTACATTTTACATTTTAGGCGGTGTATTTTATTGCTTTTATTGCTATTGTTTGTCCTATCGACAGCTGCAATCGGATCCCAATCGAATCCATAGCGCTTTCGCAATCAAGAAAAGGTTTCCTGGCACACGCAAAATTTCGTAATCAACTTTGTGCGATTTGTGGGATGCTGCTGATGATGATGGTAAGAAGTTTCAGCTGGGGGATCCAATAAATCGGATTGCAGCTGAAGCGTGAAAAGCCAGCAAGGCAAAATCTGGCAGAA